CTTGAGAAAAGCATTCGCTATATTTCAAACGGTTTTTGAGGAGAGTGTTTTCTAGTTCTTACATCAAATGAAAAGAGAGGCTTGAATGACGTGGCATTTTCATTATATCATAAACAGGATATAAAGTGAGACAGGAATAAGTATTTAATATGAAAATCCGTACTATTGTTGTAGCCGAAACATGCCTTCTGGTGGACAAAACCGACTCAAGTTCGACGAGTAAATTCCTATCACACAACCTGTCAACGCTGTACTAAAGCTAATTAGCTAATTTCGTAGATATGAAGCCTAAGACTTTAGAGCTTGACTTGCTATCCACCCTTACGGCGAGGTGGAATGGAAACAGGTGTTGTATATATTATCACAGAAGAATGATACGTCGCACTGTGGAATACGTTGAATTACATAACGGACTATAAATATATATTTCGATCGCTGAAATAATAATGCAAGTAAAATATACGCAATATATTGAATTTTTTAGGCTGTCACTCTCGTTAACTGTGAATCAATGTTTTATAATTTAAATACCCCCTGTGTATTAATTACCATTCGAAACAAGATCCCCTGTGCAAAAAGGAACGGAACCGGGACAGATGCTGTTAACAATAACTCAATAGAGAAAAGGTATAGAAGCATCCGCCCGTTATTAAAATAATATTATGACAGGCCGCGATTGTTTCGATGCAATGCTTCCGACAATAAGGCGGGGTCTTCGTAATAATCATGCAGTTCCTTCCTTGTGGATTTATTATATGCGGAACAGAGCACAGCCTACTTAGTTAAAAAAAATTATAATTCCCACAGTACATGACGAGGTTCAAGCTGTTAGAAGGGTGTTAATTTACATAAAAACTGAACATCGTTCATACTGAAATAAATGAGATAACATGTTATTGAATTGAGTGAATATTTATAAAACGAAAAATTTCATATTATGCTTAGTAGTTAGTCAAAATGCTCACCTGCTATTGTTCACAAAGATGAGCAAAACGAAAAGACATTAGAGTTGATGCAAAATTTAGACACAAGGGCCAAGCACGAAATTAGCTACGCATAACAATGAATTAACAGCGCTGATTTATTATCTGAGGTGATAATTGTTTTAAAATTAATTTTGCATCCTTCACAGTGGAATATGAATAGCCTAGGTGACCAATACAGCCTGGAATAATCTGATTTGTAGAATATTGGCGATAGAATAGAGTCTTATAATTGGCGTCATGCGAATATTAATTTCAAAAGGTCGCGGAAACATATTTACTTTCACTGTATAAGTAGAGAGCCTCATTCAATAATCATAAAAGCTTGTAAAAAGAAATATATGTAAATTTGAATTCAGATACTGTAAGATTGTGTACTGAATGCAACAATAGTCTTAGTGATTGATTTTCACATCAGCAATGATAAGATTACCCTATAATTTGAATGATGTGACTGCTTAATACTGGCAAAGGTAAAGTTATTTTATCGCAATACTAAACAAATTATTGGTGATATACTTAATGCAAATGATGATGTGTCCCTCGGCAAATTGGGGGGAGGATTCAACCTGTTTCTGGCATTCTGTTTCTTCCCCTGTCCATGCATCCGACAGGCTGAGCACACTCACTACGCGCGCTGCTAAAGCTTGCGTGTGTGCGCATGAATGATTGAAGACGAGCCTCAGTTGCATTTGACGTCATATCCTGGGCATCCCGGGTGTTAACGCGTGCATCGTTTAATATCAAAATATTAAAACAAACACATGATGAACAGGCGTAGAATAGCAAGCTTGTCGTTTTGAATAATATCAAAGGTTCATACAGTTGAAAGAATGAAGTCGTTTCAGGATTCTAAAATATCCAATAAACAATGTCGGGGGATAGTTGATGTGCCTTGGGCTAAATGAATGATCCAGGCTCAGCTGAAAACTAAGTATGTTTCCTTACTGGAAGAGCGTGTACCATTTGGCGCTTGTTAGGATATTCCCCAAATTGGTCGTTTCTTTTAAATTCTCCTTTTGTATACGGAAGCAAGTACGCGCAAGACAAGCAGTGCGCAATGTTATTCCGATGTGTTGTGCTGTATGGTTACAATTTTTATGTGTTAGGTGATCCAGTCCATGTTATGTGCGCGTATTTGCTATTCAAAATAACTGATATTAGAAGTAAAATTTATCAGTTTGACCTTCGATGAGGGTTATTGAGTTTGTTTTGACAACTTTATACTGCTATGTGCGGCATCAGCGGGTACAGCTGTAATTACCAAAAACGTATTTTTATTTTTAAAATATCATATCTAAAACGTTAACCGAAATCATTGTATATTTTTTACTGAAACAGTCCAGTTTTAACGTTTAGTGTACATAAATTTCCAATACCATCTACGAGTCTACGCGCTAGCCAATGAATCAATTCGACAAAACATGTTGTACAGATAGCGTGTTTCCCGATAATTAATGTATGTTTCCTGATTTATCTGTCTTAAATAATCTAGCATATCAGATGACTGTCATATGGCGGGGGTAGGGTTGCAGCAACAAATGACAAAAATCGATTGGCCAAATCAGAATGTATGTTTCGCTGTTATAATTGATGCCTAAATTTTGGCTTAAGCAAGACAGAATCGTTCAGATAATAGGTAGTTCATCCATCAGAATGTCTTCATTTATAATTCGATTCTTACGTTAAAATTGAATTTATTCCACTTCGCCAAAAACAGGAGATATTCAAAAATAAATTTTATCTTGAACATATCGTTGTGCGCTGATGAATCTATTTGTTCTTTTCGCGTTGGTTTAGGTATAGAGCACTAGTGAAAGTATATGCTCGTCAGAGTAGCGAGAACAAATAACAAATAGAAGACAAAATTCACTTGGAAGGTTTCACAATTATTATATAGTACTGGCTACCATTTGTACGAGTATGGATTATTCGTTTCATCCGAGGACTCAATCTGTGCCAGCAATTCGTGGTGAATTTGTTGTAGAGGTTTGACTGGAACAATTCAGTGATAGCATGAATTTGGCAGTTATCTATATGTATTCGAAAATCCGAAAACAAGTTGTTGTGCCTTTTCTGATTAGGCTACAGCACACCCTGTTATACACAGAACGCATCTCGACAAAAGAGGAATATATTATGAACAATTACAGGCGAGATATTGATCAGCCGCCATTTTGTCAGCCGCACCTGGCTTAGTGATATACAGAGGGGAGATTATTGACAAAAATGGTAATATGTAAGGATATATGGCAGACAGCTAGTAACTGCACTAAATAAAACCCACTGATTGCGATGGCAGCGATAAATAATGAAGCGGTAATAAATTATGGACACGAACCCTCTCTGTCGAGGAAGACGAGTAATTGGTACCGGATACTCTTGTATCATCACAGTGCAATGCATGTAATGTATTGCATGATTTGCAATTGTCTGTGATCTGCGAGAAGAATATTTTAGCAGCTATTTCCTAAATCAAACGTTCGGAAGTCTGTCTGTATTTTGAGTGTATGTTATGTGATACAAGTTTGTATTCTGATTTCACTACCGGCAGTTTTGTTGCGAAGGGTTACACAATTCTGTTAAAACATTCTGATTTTCACCGGGGAAAATATTAACGTGACAAGAGTTCAGATAAAAATTAGAAGGCTGAGACATGTCTACACATTTTCTTCGCAGTTTTTGTGTATTTTTCAAATATGTAGCCGTGAAAGGGGGCTTGATTTGGTTGTTGTTTATATTTAAGTATGTCACTGCATAATGAAATAGACAATATCCCAAAGTATATATAGTTTTTATTATTTATCAGGCTCATGTAAGTTGACCTGTTATTAAAATCGCAATTGAATTTTTGCGCGATGCAGACCAAAAATCGACTTCGATTACACCTGGGAACCAATAACCAAGCTAACGAAGTCGATGACTGTTTCATTTTTTTCGATTTCGCCATCATGGATTATCATAAAGCCGCCGGTCTCACTAATAATGCAAACATCTGGCAATACGATTGTTTTTAGCACATATGTCGGAGAGATGAAATTCTATTTTGCCTCTCTCCCTTCGCCACAAAATTAACGTTACGTTCCCCGTTGGCCCTTATTGATAAATCGATTTCATCCTAGTACACGTGCACCGTCTGACTCAAATATATATATACTGATATACTACTGATTGATATACTGATACCTAAAGTTCAAGCTTTTCCCCCAGTTTATATTTGTTATTGTAAGTACTCAGGCTAGCTTTCGCAACTACTCGACAAGTATAATATGTCAGGCATAATAAATATTAGTGAGATTTTTGTTGCAATTCAGACTAATTTTGTTGCCCGCATTTTAACTGAATATATCAAAATTTATATCATTTTATTGAAGGATTTAAAACTGGAGGAAAGGATCCATAAGATGAGGAAATGTGTGGCGATAGCTTGCCAGGAGATTATAATATATATATATGTACTCACAATAAGTGACAGTGGGAGGCATAAGTATACAGAATGTTAAGAAATTAGTTGTTCATCAGTCATTATTATTTGCATGATGAGTCCCTCGTATATATATTATAGTGCCATGAAGTAATGACTAATCATTATCTAGGAAAGTGACTGCAATATGCAAGTAACTTCAGTGTGGACCTAATATAGTATAGTGCAAGATATATTTAGCAAGCGGACCACGTTGCATGTAAAAAATGCAATAATGGTGAAATAAAACCTGGCTTGAAGGTGTGTCATTTATTATATACATTTGTATACACGTTAGTACCTGGGAAATCCGCATACTCAACGGTATGCATTTTCCGTTATTGTAACTCGGAAATACTAGCATATATATATATTACTGTATATAAATTGGTTCATATTTAGATATATTAGTGCATTTATTTGATTTTATTCTCTCGGGATTTCGGCTACCATCTAAAGAAGTTTTTGCAAAGAAGATTTTTTTCAACACACAAATGCAAAGAAGATCACAGTCTCAAATCACATTAACCTTATATTTATATATATTCTTACAGAAAAAATAGCTAGCAATACCATCGGCTCAGCTTTATAAACAAGATAATAGTTATCTATAATGCTTGCAGTGGCGCTCGTTTCAACAGCGAAGCAAACTAAAAGAGCGCCAGCTCCAAACGCCACACAAAGTTCCTGTTGCGCTGCCTTTTTCGGCCAGCTCCTGCTAATGTTTGACTAGATGATTATAGAGGCAGCGCCTCGTCTGGTGGTCGAACCATTGGAGAGCTATCCATCACCTCCACACGGATTGAAATTTGAAAAAACCCAAATAACTCGTGACAACAGAGAACAAAGTAAGCCCTACCAAAAACTATTTGCAACTAGAAATAACTGCAGATCTACGATTTCCGGCAACAGTGAAGACTTATTAAATTGTGACAGAGGGAACAAATCACGAAAGTGTTCGCACAGGACACATCCTTACGACTGCTCGGCTCAAGGGAAGCGCGCACATATCAAGTGGAATTATTTTTTGAATAATCTTCCTTTTCATGATAAGTGTCCTTTGTTATTGCCTGATTTCCGGATTCAGAAATCTTTGTATCGTCTTTCCACCTCCAACAAGAGAAAAGTACCAAGGAGTAAGACGCTTGATAGACAATTTACGCCAATTTTTACAGGTATGACGATATTTTCATGATGTTTCGTTTGTTTGTCACTTTTCACAATATGAATGACTTTGCTGCTGGCTCTCCTAAATTTCTGCTTTATTTTTCGTACTTTATGAAATGTATAACTGTAGGATGTAAGTAAATAATATAATCCATATAGAAATCTTAATCAAATTACTGATGTACCCTTAGAGTTCTTTTTTATCGAGGTTCAAAGCTTTGATTGCACTTCGAACTGACAAATTTGGTTATTTAATTGTAATTGCTGATAATACTAAATGTATTTATTGCATTTTAACTGTACCAATATAAAACCGAATTAATCAGCAGAGTTATTTTTTTTTTCAGCGAATGCAAATGAAAATAATGACAACTCTCCAAGTGCAACGTATTGCTGCAACCAGTTGACTGAGTCACAAACTGTAGACGCTATTTGTGATGCCGAAATAGAAGATTTAACTACAGAACACACGACAACATATTCAACTGAAGAAACAACCTTTGTACGCCAAAGACGAACAAGTTTAAATACGAACCCTCTGTCTTCAATCACCACGCGAACGAATCCACACGATCCTCTTTCGCTATCCCAATCAGACGATTTAAACCTTAGGTATTCATCGACTAGTGGAATAAAAGAAGCAAGGCGAGATAAATCCGAAAACTTTTATCAATTTATTCGTCAAAATATTTCATCTTCTCCAGGCTTATCTTCCAACGATAAGTTACCTGGAAAATACAACACGGCGGTCGAGAGAGAAACTTCCTCGATTGAACGACTGGTCGACTTTTTTGAGTCGAATTCATCAAACAGAATTTTTCGTCCTAGAATACCATCAGACCAAAGACAAAACAAAGAATCTTATTTGAATTTTACAAAGACACACTCGTCAAACCAACGAGAACCAAGAGAATCGCCCAATTTTCCTCATCTTTTCCGCAACAGTTGGGATTATTTTATAAAAAACTCAACTGACTATCAACAGTCAAGCGTCCCGGTTGGTGGAATATACAATAACAACGGAAACGCAGCTAGTGCACCACCAGAATCAAAGTTCATTTGGCCTGGTATTCAGTACGGTAGTGATAATTTTTCCTCAGCTGGACAACACGAAAGCATACGTAAAACGACTTCATCATCTCCGGTATTCTTTCCATCAAATCGTATACGTTGCGGTTCCTCATTAGCCCGCGTTTCCCCAGACGTTGAGCTAATAGACCTTGAATCCACGCGCTTCCCAGTGTGGCATTCAGTACCCATAGCATTTGATAAACGTCAACTCAGTAAGGAATTAAGTTCCAATAGCCTAATAGACCTTCAATCCAGTTCAAATCAAACTGTTTATGATCCTAATAAGTGGCTGAGACACAAACGCTATAATTCGGGATTTAAAAAGGCTACACGTTCTCAGGACGGAAACTGTTTTACGGAGGGCTTCAACCGAATTGATAAGGTAAGATATTGTCATAGAACTCAATAATGACCTTCGTTTTGCAATTGGGATTCGAATCGTGAATAAATTTGAGTCCTTACATATACATGTGTACTGCATGGTGTACTATTGGTACCTATTAGTTATACTTTATCGGAGCGATCCCAAACTTATGACGCCCATCATCAATGATGATTATAGCCGTTGCATCACACTTGCGGAAATACGTAATCCACGCTCCACGCGTTATAGCTAACGTTCAGTTATTGTTAGTTGGAAGCCTACAGAGTATTTATACGATACTGTTAAAGCGTCTCGCCTATCTCAGTAATGCAGAATATTTCAAGCAATAATGTGCTGGCGGTTAATTTAAACTATGTTAACTTTTTTGCATTGCCAGGTGAAAGAAGGCTTTGAGAGCAATTTTTGTCGGATAAGATCACAGGAGGGCAAGCCATTTCGGTTATCTGAAAACAACCATCATAACTCTCAAACACACTGGCATAGTTTTGATCGCGTAGAGAAATCCTATCCAGACAGAATACAAGAACCCAATTTTCCTTTCAACAATTTCAACCTACATCAAACGTTACTGAATCCTTGTTTAAGCAAAAGCAGCGTTTTCCTTCAAACTGACTCTAACGAAATGGGTTGTATACAGAGTATTGCAAAAGCGAAAGTTAGTCCAGATAGATGTCACTATCATGGTGTTATTGTGGAAGACATTCAAGCAGCCATTGACAGAACCCCAACCGAGATAGAGGAGAAATCGCCCATTGTGCTACGATATCGTACTCCGTACTTCAGGGCGAGTGCACATGTCATTGTACCCCCTATACCACGAAAGGAAACTTGGACAGTAGGATGGATACAGGCTTGTGATGCTATGAAATTCATCAACCAATATGGAAATTTAGGAAAGTAAGTAAAGTTTTTTTCTATCGAGTGATGTGGAGAGTACCTTCAGAACATCTACCCTATATAAATAACAGATAGGATTTACATATTTATCCCGGGGGAAAGGAAAACCGTTAATACGGCTCAATCACATGGTGATACAACGGCCGGTTACCGGTCCATGTAGGCTATAGGATTAGTTTGCCAGGTATATACCATATATACCAGTGCTTTCCTTTTTGGTAGTTGCGCGCTTTACGCTATAGGCATATATGCTAAACCCAATGTTCAGTCTTCATCCTATGAACATATCACTAGCCTGTAACGAATACCGTGTCCGGAAGAACCATTTCTATCAGTTTCTGACACTGATGACATTCATATTGTTATGGTCTCTGAAAGTACCTCAATCAGGGTGCTGCTTTTCCTATTATCGGTAAAACCATGGGTAAATGGAAAATATAAATCTGTAACTCTAGCGACTTGAATAAAAAGAAATCGCGAGATATTTTTAAAAGAAAAATATCGTCCACAAGGCAAGCTTTAAATGTTGCGTAAAAAACGCAAGTTCTTTGATGTGTTACGTTAACCTCGTTTTAACTTTACAATTATTGACCATAGTAATGCTACCAATGCTACGCATAGTCGATTGGTTTACTGTAAGTACTTTGCGTGAGGACTATTCTTAGAAAAACTTACAACGTCGGTCAAAATTTTGTAGAAGACAGATCAATTCAATTCCGTTTCTGAGAAATGGCTTGTTCTTATTTTAAACGCAGCCAGACGCAAATGTTATAAAACTCGCTTAGTTTTTGCCAACAAGTTATGTATGATTAATTTGCTAGCAACCTTTATACAAACAATATTCAAAAACTTATCTTAATATTTAAATTCTTTGAAAGAGTATCGTCAGCATTTAATACATAACTGTAAGATGCCAAATGACACAACGGTGTTGTCAACTCAGGCACTTCTGAATTATATTCTTTGAATCAAAATTCTTTTGAATCAAAAAGTGCAACTAATGCGTAGATATACTTACCTCAAAAAAAATTATTTATTGTGAATTCAATATTACATTAGTCTGCACTTTGTGTTTAGTTATTGCCCAGAGTTTCCACCTTTCACAATTTAAAAAAATTATATCAAATTTGACTAGCATTCTCTGTATCAAAGGACTCAGTAACAGTCACGGTACAATATTGTAACACGCTATTATATACGCGATGTATGTTGTAATGGAATAATTGAAAGTGTTTTTAAATCACCTCTGAAATACCATGTTTATAGTTAAGGAAGTTTTTCAAAATTTTTTGAATAAGATATTAGGCATTAGCCAAAAGATATGTTGTTAGTGTAGTTTCCCTTGTATACTTTTTAAGTGGCGCTGAAACTTCAAACACAAAATGGTTGACGCAATATCAGTTTTTATACTACCAGGGGGACGAGAAGGAAGAAAAAATAATCAAATTTTGTTTGAGCTTGAACTTCTGTTTGAGTATGATTATACCCAAAAGTTTCAGAAACCTCGGACGCTTTGTACAAAAGGTATGTTCGTACTAGCATAATGTTCCAAATTACCTCACCTCTTGGCATTAAAAACATTGGCATTGACATTTTGCACAACGGATGCAAGTCTGTCTCCAACACCGAGGAGGGCCTTTGGAACATATTCGAGAGAGAACATAACTTTTGTGTAAAATCTATTGGATTTCTGAAACTTCAGGGTATACTCATACACAAGCAGAAGTTCAAGTGTAGACGAACTTGAATAATTTACTCCATTTTCGTTCAAATTCATGAGTTTATTGAGGGGACATCCTGTACATGTAGTTTGTTTACATATCTACATAAGCTACAGTACAAGGTCTTGCATTACAAGCAACAAACGACAGACTGTCTGCACTTTTCCGTGTTTCTTTACTGCTGATTTAGTAAGCGGAGCAGCCTTTTATGTTAGGAAGACACTTATAAATAATGCAAGACGCAATGAGTCTCTGGTAGAGCTAGTATATGGATTTAAAAGTTAAGCCACAAAAGCGTGACATTACGTTGAACGGCTATGCACCATAGTCACGAACTCCTGCTATTGGTAATTCTAAAAGCTATCTTTCAACTTTGACCAAAAGATGAAAAATGACTAAATAATCTTGTACAAAAAAAGAATTGAAGAGCAGGAAATTTCGTTTATAACAAACTTAAATTGTCTGCCCCATAACTTCACATGATAAGACTTATACGGTTAACCATATAAACAAACAGCCTATTTTGACTTTGCTTTTATATTTGGTAAGTCAAAATTTTTATCGTAGTCAAAATTTCAAATATATATACAGATATGAATGCACTGCTGAATTAAACGCACCAACGTGACACTACTGTACGTTTTGGTTAAGAGATTATCATTATGGGAGGCATTCAAACAAGACCTGGAAATTTTGTACTAATTATAACAAATATTTAAAAGATTTGAACTAGTAATAACATGAAAACTTAGAAACTCTGGATGATCTAGTTTAGCAACATGACATTACGTTACAGAAAGCACTTGAAATGTTTGCAGGTGAAAGACAAACCCTAATCTACGTCATTTTTAATATTTTAAAGCATTCTGGTGAGTTCTGAAGCACAATTATTGTTCCAATTCTTACCCTCAAAAGTAGGAGTAACCCATGACAATCTTTTAACATTATGTGACTTTGCTCTTTGATATAACTGTGAACGGTTATATATATCAAATCTTTATATTTTGAAAATATTTTTCTTTTAGGTTGAAATATTAACTTGCGAATTGTACTGCTAGTTTGGAATTGATTTTAATAATCTCATTAGAAACTAGACTGATAATTATTGACAGAACTTCTCACATTAAACGTGTCTTCGTTTAAAAAAATCTAAACTGTATTCCTTTAAAAATATTTCATTTATAGTGTGACCTATTAAATGCTTGAAATTCTTAAATCATTTTGTATATATATTGTGAACATTTTATTTCAAAATGTCCTATAGATTTCAATGACACTCATTTCCGTGACTCTCCAGCGGTGTAATATGAGGTTGTTTCTAAAACGGTCTGGCATTTTGTTCAAAAATTTAGTATAACTAAATTTTGGTATTTCCAACTTAAGTTTGTCGTCTAGGTTTATATCACACATATTATATGACTATATCTACTTACTAAGGCGGAAAAATATGCAAAGCTTTCATTTAGTTTAGAAAAACAACACGCATGCTATAAGCAAGCACGAATAAGATAAATCTACCATCATTGTGAAATTTGAATATTATCAAGACAGGAGAAATTAACGCATACGCAAAATATATTGGACTTTTTTTTATAAAACGTCATGTTCAATAATCACTAACATCGACGTCGTCATTTTTATTTTGGTTCACATCGCTCAAATCCCTGCAGTTTCGATCTGGCGGGTAATGTAGGTTCGTTAGGACAGTAATACAACGAAACTAAGTCGCGTCATGCATATAACAGAAATTGGACCCGATTTGACCGAGAGACATAGCATTTCCTTAAACGAACTTTCATTTTACAATAATAGGTAAATTACCATCTTTGTAACTCTCTTAATAAGATATTTTCTTTGTCACAAATTACTGGATAAACGTATAACAGTATTTGATCGATGGATTTTAAACTATGTGAAAAATAGAAACATTGAGCATTATTGCCAGATTAACGTTTTTAGCATGCTCTTGATTTCCGCTGTAAACCGTGACCAAATTCTCCTTTTATTATATTTTTGATCCATAGAGACAACAATGTCTTCAGTAAAATCCCGCTTGCATATTTGTGCGTCACGTTCAGGCTATATCCGGAATATCACATTGGGACTTTCCAGTGCATAATTTTACCTTGTTTGTGAGGTGCAGATGATCAGACGCCATTTTAGGACCAAATTTGATCTCTGTCACGTCTTTGATGGTTGAAAGTATACGCTGATTAGAGATGGTTACTGTAAATTATATACATATTTCTTTGTCGAATTACTGTGTTCAAGCGAGATCAAATAATGTTGAAACGTCTATCACCCGCTACATTAACGTATTGAGGGAGGCACATGGTGTCATAAATGCAAGTTCATGGTGACCGTACATTCGAACACATACATTTGCACCCGTATATCCGCGGATTCAATGTATATGAGGGTGCTAAAATCCATAGGTTAGGGCAGGGCTACTCAACTATTTTTACCGAGGATCCGCATACACATCTTCAAAATTATTTGGGTCCGGTCTTTCCTTAAATTATATTTCGGCATCCTTAAACGCGCATTTCCTCGGCCGACTAATGATTATTAACTAAACAAGCATGTTTATTATGGTGTTATAGTTCTTTCCATGTATTTTCAAAACTATAAGAGTCATTTTATAATAGGAAACCTAAAAAGTGGGGCTAATGATCCAAAATAAATAATTAGGTGCGGTCCGCCAGTTGAGTAGTCCTGGGTTAGGGTTAGTATGGGTTCAAATATCAGTAAAAAAAAATTTCATAGGTGCAATAGTATGCAGGTGAAATTGTCTTGGGTTCAAATTACGGGTTTAAATGTACGTGGGTTCAAATGTAATAGAACCCAAGTTCCTATATACGGATCTTTCACGCTTTTAGACCTCGTTGTCCATTATCATATTACTTTAATCGTTCTGTACTCTGGTTTTTATATGTCAATTTGCATTTTTCAACAAAAAAGCACATTTTTGTATGGCTTGTGTTAGCATGTAATATTGCTGACCATGAAGTTTCCGTTTTGCGTCCTCACCCAACGCTCCTGTCAAATCAGTAGAGTAAAGTGTGACAGAAAATAAGACTGCAGAATAAAAAAATAAGACACTCCTTAGGTCGAATCATCTCTTCGTTCCTACTGGAATGAATGAACTGACCATGATGTCGTCAGAAATGTTCACCACGGAAGCACGATTACGCATCACGCACAGCCTGCCAATGCTGGGTCCGAGTCAGTAGCTTCATTAATAAAATCTCACTGGCAAACGGCTGTTTGCATAACTTCCTGTCATCATTACAGGGTTTGTTTTGATGCTGTATATCATCACGATATAGCGGATGAAAGTTGAAACACGCATACATCGTGTTGAATTTGCAACCGAATTCAAACATATACACCAGACTGCGTGCAAAGCCACAACAACGCTATATTTTGCAATCCAGATTCTTTTAGCTTATGAAGCCTTGAAAGCTGATTTCAGTTGTTATCAGCCTCCAAGATATACTGTTTAATGTACACAACATGTACCATACCGTTATTCATGATACATTGTGCGAACTCATCTGGCATGCCGGCAATTCCAAGGTTCTGATTGTACGCAGAAGGGATTGTAGAATAAAACAGGCGGGGTTCTGCTTCATAATATCCGAAACATTTTTCACATCATTTACAACTTTTTTAAAACATAGCTGACATTTTTTTATATGGGGGTCAATCCTTCTTCAAATATGGTAAGCATCCATTGAAACCTTGCGACTAGTATCGACGAATAAGGCAACTTGTTTTGGTGAATGTCAGTATAGCCGAGTCAATTTTCAGTCCAATCCGGCAGTCTCCCCAGACTACCGGTATTATATTCTTCCGTGACTGGCAATATAGCGCCACATGTATGAATGCTGTTTCTGTAATATTCTGTGAACTTTCGCCCGTAACTCGCATTAGTTCGTCATAAATATATTTATAAAAACATTGCACAGGGTGTTTTATATAGTGTGCTTAACAGCTGGCGTAGGGCTGATATATAATTCATACCTGCAAAGACATGCAATAGCAAAACACAGTTTTATCCTCTGTGTTGTACTCTTCAAATCGATAGCTCATAATTCTCTAAACATGGCAAAGTGGGATGACCACAAGATCTTGGTTACTGATTTCGAAAATAGATATTATATGTGAATTGTGCACCAAATAACGTGTTATTGAAACAACAATTCCTACAAACCTTGGGAAATGTCATTATAGGAGAAGGGCACAATGATCAATGCAAGCATTTTAAAATGAACTATTTGACCGATGCGAAAATGCCACAAACATATTTCAACAATTTCCAAATTGAGATAATACTGGTATTTTTTCTTTTGAAAATTTCAGCTGAGCACCTATTTACAACAACGAAAGTAACTGAGTTGGTGCTGATATTGAATAAATGAGTAACTAAATTGAATAACTGTTACAACATGGTTATAGGGTGAAATTTATACAATGTTAACAGAAATTATACCCAAATCTGTTCACTCAGTACACCTGCTTAAAAACAATTTTAAAACAATAAGCTTTGAATGAGAAGAAACTAGTGCAATACTGGTTCAAGTGACCGAAACTGTCTCAGTCTAATGGCCAACGAACAATTTCCACAGATGAGTGCAACGCCTCTCTGTCGAAATGCCTTTGTCAATGAGAACAAAGACTTCAAAAACGATGACAAACTATTCCTTCGGGAAGGTTGCCGCTTTATTGATTAAAGGACTCGTGTATATTGCAGTGCCTTGCAGTTATTAGCTATGAAATCCATACCAAGCCTAATTTATTTCAAAGATAGGCAGAAAAATGTAATTACATACCGGGAATTTTGTAACAGTGCTATATTCTATTATTCACCTGGTATGGCCGAAGTTATCGGCGATCTCATTTTCTGCCAATACCATTAGCAGGTACATTGAAGGTTTCTACTCAGTAACGATTATGAATAAATTAAAACTTTTTCAAACGGTGCTTTTGTATTGAACTTTCATAATCAATTCAGTGCTGCCTACCCTGTCTACCAATATAATCATATATTCAATTAACGGTATAGGTAAGTCCTAATAATTTATGCTTCAACATTAAACTTTTTTTGCAACTTTAATAAATGTGACTTATCCCGTGTCAACCCTAACCCAAATATTGGTAGCCACATTTCAAAGTTGAATTGGATGGAGTATGTATCATTCGTAACCTTCTAGTACACCTAATTATTTTTACTAAATGCAATCCCTGTCACTTGGGGGATACATTAAACATATGAAAGAGGCTTTTATCCAGGTTTGGGATGCACTGTCTTCAACACGAAAAGATAAATTTTTATACATCAAAGACCACAATTATTTTCCATGTTTCATTTCCATAATTACAAAAACTGAGAACTACAACGACATAATTATTAATAATAATAGGATTCCAGTATGGTTACAGTGAGACAGTGACGCCAACAACAGTTGTAATGCGGTGGGCTTCATGGATTAGCTTTTGTGTCTTTTAATGGAGATATTAAAAAAATTGTATTTTTCAGGCAAATGGGCGCCAACTTGTTCTTTGCCATAATTTTTAAAATATTCTATGAGTGATTTAAATACCGCCGGTCTGACTTCAATGTGACCGTTATTCTTTCAGTATATGAATAGGCCTACTGCATTCACATTCGCGGCAATGCGCGTCTAAGCTGGTATATTTAAATAAGCAGATGAATAGAATTGGGGCTGCACAAGAGATGAATTCAATTCTGCCTTCTGCGTAATGTAATACGCTATGCGCTATATAGGAAAGAGGAGACGTTGCCTTCCTTCCTCTGTCATGCGCTGCATAGCTATATGGCACAGCTTGCCTTTTTTGACTTATGAGCATATAAGAAAATACAACATAAGCTGGTCATCAGCAACCAGTCATTCAAATATTTTTCAATATGGTATGGATTTCCGGACATCCTCATTGGTGACTGTTATAGTCACTGAGATAAGGATTTCGTTACGATTTCAAAGCAAATATAAAATCCTATAAATGAATATTATTTTTCTATTTATTGAATGAATATAGATAAAAATTATTTGTCTAAAATTGAAATGAAACTCCATTTTGAACATGTAAGACTTCAAATTTGTCGTCAAACTCCTTTTGCTTATAGTCGAATGATTTCTTATAAAAGCATTCTTAAAATTTTCAGGTTATTTCTAGATGAAAAAAAAAACAGCCCGTCCTATCCAAGTTAATTTACTCTTTTGCTTTTCAGTTCAAGTTGGGAGATACCTGCATTGAAAGACAGGAGAATAACAGCTGTTAGTGATAGTGACGGTGTATCATATCCTTGGTATGGTAATACAACGGAAATTGCTACCGTTGAAGGTCCAACAGATACCTCGAGGAGTTTGACTCTTAGAATGAACGATAATTTTTATCCGTCAGTCACGTGGGACATTCCCGTTAGCGAAGGCTCAGAAGCGCACTTGACGCACATAGTACGTGATCAGAGCTTTACGACGTGGCTTGCGGCTGTCAATCAAACAACAGGCCGACTTGAAGTATTAAGGACTGTAAAATGGCATTTTTACCTCGAAATTGACGTAGATCCTACACAGGAATTGGGAAAAAGGTAATTCAGAATATATTATCGATTCCATTTCGTAAGGGACTTAATCTTATAACGTTAATTAATCTTAGTTACTTCGGTAAGCCTGAAAAAAACAAGTGAACTTAAACGTCGGGCTAATAATACACTACTGGGGCAAGTGGAGGCAAACTATTTAACTAAATTATTCTTTCTGATATTGAATACATTCATTGGTACGAAATAGGAATGTTTATTATTTTATTAGCGTGGCTGATAGTGTTCATTCAAGATTCCGTTTGGCCCTTTATATCGATCAGACGATTGTCTTTCACTAGGATTTTGTCGTACTATATATGCATATATATCGATATAATTCATTCTGTTTTTGTACGTAATTTTTGTAATGATGAAAATGACATTTTGATTTCTCCATGTTGGCCATTATTGTATAATTATCAAGCAAAGGTAACCTACAATTTACAAGGCATCATGGTAGATTGATGAAAGCCCTTTCTCATGGGCGATTCTACCATATTCGTACTAAAAATATGTTCCCTTGTCACAGTTGATATTTATAACTGTAGTATAATGTATAAGTAAAGGTGAAATTCTTTGTTTCAAGGGCGCGAATAGTCAGTCCACTGGTTCAGAAGCAACCAATCATTCTAAAGAACAATACAGAGCCAATATACATTTCAAGTCCTCGTCGAAGCAGCAGCAACGGTTCTGCAACAAGCGGACGAACGAAACGTCTAAACCGTAGGCCCGGTGCAGGTGGAGATAATAACAGTAATAACCACACAAACTATATTCCGAAATCGGCACTGGTGCGACCAAGCGCAAATAATGCACAGACTTTGATATGGAGACCGACAAGGGATGTCCCAGTCATCGTAGTTCCAGCTAAAGAGGAATACAAAGAGAACAATGAGGTTGTTTGGTTCACACGAACACCTACAATGCACGGACACGATCACAACGTGCGTATTTTATCAACCCAGGAAATGACACAATTAAAGAAGAGTATCAGCTGAGCTTGGAGGAAACACAGTCACAATGATAGATGAGTACATCGGATTTACTACTATTTTTTGTGCAAATAGGCCTTACATTTTCAAACATCTATACGGGTTCAAAGGTCACACCAATCATATAAAAAATTTAGTAAATCTGATGGATTTTTTTAACTGCGTACTATGAAATCCGAAAAGAAGCAAATTTATTTTGGCGAAGCCATACCAGGTGGACATAAACACATGTGCAATATACTTATTTAGTGACGGAACAAAAATGAATTAAACAGTTTGAGAATGACGATGACTGCTTGATCGATAGTAAATTCTTTATGTTCCCCTGCGTTATACAAGGCAGATGGCGATTAAAAGCCACACTGCAAGAAAGCTGCACTATTTACGACTATTCAGAAAAGCACACGGGCACCGAACGCACTTAACATACTATTATACATAAGGAATTATTTATTACCGCAAAGTCGATATTGCTTTTGCTTATTGCCTTTTTTGTTTTGTTTCACTACGAAAATTGATCGAGTAACGCGCCATGCATTTTATATATTATCATAACGGGTTTTATACTGTACAAAAGTTTGTTAAAATAACCAGCATTTGCTTGCAAATGCAGTTTTGCGATATTTGGGCCTAAATGAGTAATCAAGAATAAGCTATTTAATTCTCATGAGCAATTTTCAAATCCGATTAGGTATGACTTATCTTTTCAAAATATTTAGGCTTGCGCATCGTAAACATCCACAAATGCCAGTGATTTTTACGCTTTTTATCAGTCATTATGGATCTTCATCATTATTGGGAATGTAATGTGTCAAATCCGTCACCGACTTCCTAATCACGACAAAAGCAAACTCTACCTCTTTGAAAACAAGGCATGTCATTTATTCACGCCCACCCACTTATATCCTCCGATGGAATATATAAGGGATCTCTGAGTGCATTTGCCTTTTAGCACCAAAATGGATTAACTATTAGTGGCATATGTAATACATATGTCTGTATGTTAGCACTTTCGTACAATCTGAAAGTGATATAGCTAAAATGGCGTTTCATACTAGTAATATCGGTTGCATAATTATAATCACTAACGATGCCCTATTTCAGATAAATATTAGTTTTATTGAGGGATTGCGGACTTGCTTTAAGAAAACTCACCCAAAAAACACCATTATGAATTCGCGTTAGCGCTAGGCTTTTGACACAGTTTTTAATTATCCTTAATTAAGTTATTTATCCGAGGAAGTCGTTGACGGCATCAGCGTCCGCGATGGATTAGAAGCAATTTTATATCCAATCTAAACAATGCAACGTTCAGAAAAACATTTCCATGCGACCCAAAATTTACTAAAAGAAAACCGCCTCGTCAGGAAACAGGAACGTACTCAAGCGCTAATCACTCAAATGATGAGGAGGAAAAACAGTCGAGTAATCGATGTCAGTTTGTGCTCAATCAATCAAACACGACCCAATTTTATACAATTCAAACTTTAGACGTCAAATCAACAGAATAGCTTTACTTGTATGAGAATTTTGAAACTTTACATTTTACTAATCACTACCTACATTATGTCGATTTATACAGTCCCGTTTAACGGGTTTACTTGAGATTATAAATGGTCAATTCAAACCCAATACCACAGAGCATCGTATTTCATAACAAATTATATCTAGCTTAAATGGTTATTCTCAATGAACGTTTCGTCAAATATATAATTATGTGGATACAACAATTTGACATCAAAACTTGAGTCTGCCATAAATATGTTTACATTTGAAAATGAAAATTTTTTTTTCTGGTCCGAAGTATTTTTTTTTTTCATTTTAACCTTTTACCCCCACCTCAAAGATATTAAAATGCGATATATATTTGTCATTGCTATCAAAGTTCCAGTAGACACCAATTTTCTTCATTTTTAATTTTATGTTGTTTTTTTCATCAGCCCTTGTGAATATCACTGCATAAAATGCACAAGAAGTACTAACATTTTCTGGCATAATTTGCATATCAAAATGCGTTTCATATTAGATATAAAACCCAGGCATGGATAAAACACACACTGATTATTTGAAAAAGCCAGAAAATGCTAGTAATTTGAATGCATTTTTGCAGTGTGCGATGGTGTCACTGTGCTCACCACAAAAATATCTTCATAATTAATATGCAATTATCATAGTAATAATATTAATAATGATATTATTAGAGCAAAGCCTTGTGACCGTTAGACGGCTGCTTCAATTTCTTCATTATTACTCTATTCGTCTGACAAACCCGCACTATGTATTTCTATGAATACAAAATGCTACAGCACTTTGCACTAATGTAACTTTAATAATTCGTATCATTATGTATAACTTCTTCATTTTTCAAATTGTGTTTTTTTTCTGTTTGAAATATTGCAGTTGTTGCCCCAAACTCGCATTTTTGTTTTACGTTTTTGTGCAATACCGCAGTTTAAGACAATACCACAATCAGAAATTATATCATTTTACCGTTTATGATCATTTTAACGAAGAAATAATTGGGAAATACCAAAGGCAGGAACATTTTAATGATAATCGCTACATTTTTGCCTAAAATAGATTATATTTGCGTTGAGATTATTATGTTAAATATAAGTTACTTATGTCGCTTCAATTCATTTGATCTTTTGATTTCCACCATTTTTGTTTTTGCACATTTCACAAATATTTACGTCCGTATGGTTCTTACTCTTAATGTGACTCCGATTTCGAACCTAATTCAAATGGCAATATTTTAACAAGAAAAGTAGTATTAACGTACTTTTTGAAAAGTAAATACGAAATAACGCCAAAAATAAGTAGCACATGTGCCGCAATTTACAGATAATTATCAATTCTTTAATCCTACTGGCCAGGAAATAACGGTTATCGGATATCTAATATTCACTTCAATGACTTTCTCTAAGGAGAATTAGTGGGATGTCCTATAAATAGCAGGTGATTTTCAACTCAGCCCTTGTTAAGACCAAAAAAACAACAACTATTACATATTTTCTGGCAACTCAAAACAAGTTTGGACTGGTGCTTCAATTTGTTTATGACAATCGGGAATAAACACTGTGTAATTGTTTTCCCACCTCAATACGGACAGTACATTAGGAAGACGAATATCATTTTTTCAACTATTTTTTTCTCGTAACAAAGGCTAGATATTGTTTTTTTCTTGCCGTGGAATATAGCGTAAACTCATTGGCTTTCACAGTATGTAGGCTAATATTGAAAAAAATGCCATGCCAACCATAAGTGATAGTTAGGCCGTGAGTAAGAATCCTAAATGATTTTTTATTGGTTTTACATTACTTTTGCTGCATATTTATATGTGGTATAAGTCAGCTATTTCCGGATATTTTTTCTCTAAGTAATTCTTACAGTCAGAAATAGAATGATGGATATACTGACGCAAACGCCATTCGAATGACCTCCTCCGCAGTTGGCAATTTGGCTGCCATCATTTTTTATGGTCGCCTAGTACCAATAATATCTAAATATAGGCATGTGACATTGCTCACAATAAATTGTCATTTGAATATTTTTGAAAAATTAAACCATCTCGTCATTGTCGTCAAATAACGGTCAATCAGATAGATGTCAACCCAAAAATTTGTATCGTTTTTTGTTCTTCTTTCTCTCTTTTATTTATAATTGCTAATTCTTCAGTCGGTTAAGAGTAAATAATCATTTTGTAGTGTTACTGTTTCTATTGCTTCATTTGTTATTATATAAAAACTGTTATAATCATTATGTTACTATTAATTAATAAAATTAATTATTATTTGTATTGATCTTGATATTATTATAATTATTAACGATATTGCTGCGATGCGTTGAATATTTTTTTAAAGCTCTTACATTTATCCGGATCAATTCCAATAAAAACTTTTTCAAAGATAAAACATTGTCTACGGTATTTTTTAGGGGGAGGGGGCGTGAGTTATTTTTTTCTAGTGTTTATAAATCATACGCATCTCCAGTTTTATATCCAACTTCGGTTTCAAAATAATCTGACTTCGACTTCATCACGTAACTAAACGTTCATTTTTGATAAGCTTTGTCAGCCTTCTTGAGCTTCGCGACTAGTGGAGTATAAACTTTTAAATCCCGTTCAATTTCACGAATTCAGGATGTTTATAAACACGCCTCCGACTCAAATATAAGCAGGAACAAATGTATACATTCGGATGATCAGAAGCGAATTATAATCTGCTGTGAGTTACACAACTACAGTCGAAACTGAGATATCAGTCTCTAGGACCGAGATTTGATCAATTGCAAACGGTGAAGCGCTAGCAACGATGGCTATGCTATGTAAGGGAGTCGTTGCTGCACGTGGAAAATCATTTGCGCATCAGTTTCGTCTGTACCCAATCCGTTGGAATAAATTCGAAATCTATCGCAACTCCCTAACCCATAATGCAACATTGAGTTCCGTTTACATACAACCAACAAGCTTCAATTGCCCGTTACAGCGCAGAGTTTCTTTTTTTGGTGTTGATCTGCCACTACAGACAATATTGACGCTTTGCACCTCTTTCTGTTATACTCCACTGAATGGAAAATGAACCACGGTTGGTGACAGCACATTCCGGTGATAACCTGCTTTTCAGGCTTTTTGTGAATATTCCCTCTCTAGCAAGAAAATACATTCGTGTAATCTTATAAATAGAAATGTTATTGCTCTAAACTTGAAGATTACAAAGAAAACGGATCTATTATGGTGCGACCAACTGCTGATATAGTTTTGGATCTGATATGGATGAGATGCTTTATAATATTCAAAATGTTAACAATTGGACGGAGTAAACTTATGGTGTGAATTCCTGGTACAGTTATTGGGTTACGCAACGCATTTATCCAGAAATGACATAACAAGAGTCACATTTTGAAATATATAAATACATAATCTATTATACTCAAATTATTTCCTCTCTCAGATGAAATAAATTTTATAAACTCCAATATTACATGCAATATCGAATTACATCGCCTTGACTAACTTGTAAATAAGTGCGAGATGTAGTTGAACATTCGACTTTCAATTTGTGTTCACAATAACGAAGTTTAGATAAGTAAGTGCGCTTCTCACAGCTTCCTATCCGAACTGTATAGCACAGAATTCACTCTTATTTTTAGTTTAACTTTCACCTAAACTCAATGGCTATAAATAGATGAACATATATATGTTTATAAAAACTTCGTTGAACGTTTCTTAGGCAATTTAATGTGCTTCCGGGTTCAGTTTTTAGATATAAAAAACTCTATTTTACTTTTCAAGTACTCATATTCATATTATTTATAGCGTACTATCTTCTCTTCTAAATTCGTTCTGTTCATTTCGTAGAACGTCTTGTTTCATTATCCCTTGCGATTGTGCATTGAACCAAAGGAGGCTGCATTTTTTTTCATTTGGGGGGGGGGGTGTAGACTCAAAATAAAGAACCAGAAATCTGAAAAAACGAAGTGGAAGGGTGAAAGTGTCTTGATGTGGTTGAAAACGATCAAAAAATATAAACTATCAGCGTGAAATTCTCGTCTAAACTCTTGAATCATAAAAAACAAATCCGTATCATCATAAATGTTTTGATATATGTGCGATATAACCATGTTTTTGAACACTAATTTTATGAAATCGAGTACCAGAAATAGCCTCAATCCTCATATTAATGCAGCATGTATAAACCCAAAACTACACAATAACAACCAAGGATTATAAAATTTGCAAGATAAGATGCAATAGCAGGTTTCTCATTGATTGAATATCTGTGACCCACATTATTCTGTTCCTAATAGAAAACTAATTTTTGAACCATGCATTAAAAAAGGTTCGCCATCCATGGTCTAGAATCTAGATCAAAATCCAATTCCATTGCTTGTATTCTTATCACCGTATACCATTCAGTCTGAATCACGTTCCAGAGTGCTGGACGCAAATGCTAACCACCTCAAAACATGTGTGAAATTCGTTGATCATGTTGTACTAGTGGAGAATAGTGATGAAAACTGGCGGACATTGCGTACCCAGGTCTGTTCAAAAAGTGTTATCTTTTTGTTTTTTCATTGTCTAATAAACAAGACTAAGACAAGCAAATCAAATTACACATGCATATACAACATATTCACGTAACATTCTTTTACTCTCTTAACTTTAACATAGGATTCCGCTTTTTATTAAGTAAAGCGAATTTGCCTCGATTGATTGCATACATTTTTTCGCCTCCTCTTACACTTTGTTAACAAAAGACCAATTTTTGGAAGAATACGTTGCAGTTTTTTACCGATATATATAAAACTAAGCACAAATTGTTATGCAACATGTTATTCGGAGAGTCACAATAATCTATTTTTAGCCCATAGAAAATTCAATATTGTCAGTAACAAAATATAAATATATTTTAACATGTACTTCAATTACATCTCCACAAAATCCACCAAGAAATTTGAATTCACCAAGTTAAATTCATATAAAACTTTATTTAGCACAATGGTTTTTAGAAAAAAATATTTTAAAAAAGATCTCAGTTTAGTTTGTATAGTTGAATAATATTTATTTGAAACGTATAACAGTCAATTAAAGTTAGTTTGTAAATTTAGATTTCTTTTAAAAACCGCTGTTGTTTTTACGGGGGAATGAATTCATTTTTAATAATACATTTATACGCCAAGCTAATGTTTATGAAAATCAAACATGTTTAAACAAAGAATTTTCAATATATATATTCCATCCAACATTCTGGTGTGCAGCCAATTGGTTTAAATAGTCTCGATACTCTTTGAATTATATTCTTGAAAATAAGAGAATAAAGAATTTCTCTTCACAAACAATGGAATTCACAAATTCTGTGTGCATTCCAAGCTTTTATAATAATGGAATTCTTTTATACTGTTAATTCCCCATACATGTACCAGGTACGAAGTGTATCCTTAATTGTTTGGAAATGAAGACTTTCCATAAAGCATAAAGCAGGATGTTTTGTAGAAGTGCAATGGTCTTCCAAATGCGCTCTTTCTTCTTTCTGGCATATGTCGATGTGTGTTACTCAATTGCACCACCTAGCAGATGAATGTGGGAAATTATGCATGACCAATAACCTTGTTTCGTCGAAGAGCTTTAACGCAAAATGTATTGTATAATACATGCACATGCTTTACAGTGTTCTACTGCTGTTCTAAATATTTTTCACTTTAAAGATTCTATCAATTAGCTTACGCCTTCCGCTGACCGGCGCTGGTATTGGTCACATCTGAAAATTGAAGACCTCATTTCTCCTATTCGGATTCGACAATTCGTAAATCAATACAATTTAATTAAAATAATCTCTAAGTCTTATGTAGTGAAAAAATTTGAAAGCGGGGAAATGCAAATAAAAATCGCTATCGTGCAAAGTCAAAGAAAAAATATTGTTGGTGGATAAGTTAGTAGCGGTACAAAGAAACAGGCTGCGGTATAGTATACTGAGATGAAATTTCGATGACCGTCAATCCTATAACAATAATATGTTATATTCTCATATATATGCTATGAATGCTGTATAGTGTATACGACAGATATATTTGTAACTTGTTGTAGGAGCCACGCCAATTCTATACCCAGTTCTGTTTAAAAAGTGTTATCTTTATTTTACTCTTTTCTTATTGCATAAAAATAAAATCCAAAACAAGTAAATCAAATCAAATTACACATGTATAACATATTCACGTAACATTCTTTCACTCTTTGAACTGGAACGTAAGATTCTGCTTTTTAATATGTATATACCGCTTTAAACAAAAGTAACTTTGTCAAGGAAATTGCAAAACAAAATGTATGTTTGAATATTCCGTTAAGTGAGATAAATGAGAGAAACATCTGCTAAATTGAGTTTGAATCCCAATCCACCATATGACCACGACATTTACGAAAAAATTTACACACACCACTAGGTTTAACACAACACAGGACTCCGATAGGCTACGAGCCTTGCTGATTGTTTATCGTGTTCCCTACAAATGTCATTGAATAATGAATGAAGTTGAATTTTGAGTAAGGTTGTGTATAGGGCCAATAAGCGCAAGCTTTTTAGTTTTCAAGAGTCTCTCGGACTTGGGAATAACAAACATTCGAGAGGTCGCGAAACGCACTTGTGAAGTGTATCCCACATAGAGTAGTGTGTTCGTGTGTGATATATCGTGGCGAATGGCATCAATTATAAAACGAAGGAGACCAAAAAAACAAGATAACTTGAAGATCATGAGTTACAGCGATACAACCATTCAAAGTAGCAGTGGGAGTAGCCAAAGATCAGTCAGCGATAACGTTACAAGTTTTCAGGTAAACACATTTTTTAGCAAACATTAGTTTAATGATGGTTGTAAAAATAACTTTTATGAAGCATTCAGCTTAACTGTTGCTCTTCTATACGTGTTTGGGATTATGGGTGGAGATCTATCGAGTTGGTTCGACTATGTAGCAGTGAGAAATTTATTTCAATCGAATATATATAGTTCGTTCAAAGCGAATTATATGTTTCCAAATTTTCTACCTTATTGTAATCTACGTGGATCACAACGTAAGCTTATGAACGTTTTTCTGAAGTGGTATGGGTGATTTTATGCATTTGCTACAAAGAGACGCATCAAATATTTCATGTTCTTACAAAAATTATCAACTTTGTTGTAATTTTTTGTATACAATGCAGTTATTTAACATTCCACGGTAAACTTGACCGGTTGCGTACATGTTTGCACAAACGATCACAGTTCAGAAGTGTGCCTTTAATATTCGTCAGAGTAGACTAGCGCATGATACAAGTTTACAAATATTGAATCTCGTGTATGAGGCGTTTGCGAAATGAACAAAATAATTGTGGTTTTATTTCTATTTGTGTTTCAAGGTGTAGAAGCTGAAGAATTCACCTTTTCAATAAATTCACTGAATACGAACTTCGTTTTCTATCCCTAAAACTTGGGCTTAAAAATGTACCTAACAAATATATTCTAACAATTTCAAGGGTGCCATGAGAGTATTGTTGAACGAAGCCGATCGCGATAAGTTGACTGATATCCTGGCTTATTATCACCGAAGTAGAAATGTCTATCATTTAGTAACATCGTTGGAAAATGTGTTAGATACTTCAGCAAAAAGAAAATTACTTCCAATATTGAAGCAGGTATTGAATAAGCATATATAGTTAGATAATTCTTTTGAATTTGAAGGTTTTTTTATTCGATCTGGTAGTAAAATATTTCATTTAAATGCTTTTCAGTTAATTTTTTAGGATCGATATTGAATGAATTGAAGTAATCAAACTATTAAAATCTAAGATCTCACCCTTTGCAGATCCAGTATCCCTATGCGTTTTAGGATTCTGTTTGCCCAATTTCTCGTTAAATTTGAAGGTCAAATACCTTATTAACAGATGCGTATATTCCCATGCTAATGCTAATGGTTGAACCTAATCTGAATTAACGAAGCCCGTGAGGATTTGTATATGCGAATAAAACTGACTCTAAAATTAGACAAATTTTGATACATCCACCATTGGAACAACAAAGGTGAAGATTTACACATGTATATATATATATATATATACTGTATAACTCAAAATCAGGTACTACCAAAAGCGGATCGTGCTCAGTTTGATCGTTATACATCTCAAAGTCAAGCAACCAATGGCGACAATGTTGTGACGACAGACGATTCCGGGATTGGGTAACTAATAAAATTTGGATTAGATCCTATTTTGTTTTCGAGATATTTTATTTTTTATTTCATGATTTAGATCAAACGCTACAACGCATAACCATGAAGATAGAAATGACTCTCATTACGCTGTTATAGATGGGTACGTAAACATAGAATTATTTCCCTTTTGCAACATATCGGTTAACTATTAATGGCATAAATTTTAGGCTGTCAGCATTCGAAATGTATCAGTTTCGCGAAGCGGCAATAATAGTCGTACATTCTCAAAGTACCAAATAATATAAAAAAAAGATTCTAAAAAAATTCGCTGGAATTCAGTCTCAAAATTCATATATTTTTGAAATTTTGATGTAACGATGTAGACAGAGAAAACTTGTCATAGCTCTGCTGAAATTTTTGTCAATACACGGCGCCTCAAAACTTCCACAATGTATGCAAAGACAAAATATTTTCTCATACTATAGTCATACTCTGGACAACGGTAAACCAGCAAAAAGTAAAAATCGTTCGTTTGGATCTGCGGTTAGAAGAAAAGTAAAGGCAGCACTGCAACAAAGAAGTCGAAGTATGGAAAAATTAAATGGATCAGCGCCAAGAAGGCGACATTCTCTCACAACAGCGATGGATGGTCCCGAATCAAGAGTCACAATGACAAACAAGCAATCTTTAACTGTTCCTCGAACAAGGTAGCATCTACTTGCATATAATTTAGGTTCTGCTTGGTGGTACTTCAAATGTTCAAATTTGTGGCGATTGGCATTCTCCTCGATATTTCATGATTGTTAGTAATGCCAACCTTGAAATCGTCGGGATTTAAAACTATCATGCAATTTTGACAGGTTGTGTTGTACACTTTTCAAGAGATATATTTATCTCCATACTTATGCAAGTTGCCTTTTCATCTTTCAAGATAAAAACTATTATACCGTATAGTGACTTTATCTCGCGACCATTGACAGTATGGTAACGAAATTCTACAACCGTTTCCGATCATTGCAGAATCTTCGAAAAACATGTATATATATATAAATATCAAGAATTTAACATACTTAACAATAATCAAAATGCAAATAGTTATGATTTTGTTCATTTGAACAATATCACCTTTATTTTCCGATACAACCGCACTTTCGTGGTAATATATACATATAATTATTATAAATAGTTTATAATGTTTGTACGAATCCTAATTGCAGGGGAAAACTTTCGCCTTATTGGCCACGTGATGCATATGACGATGTCAAAGTCATTTTCATGACAAAAAGAAGTCCCGATGAAACAATGGGATTCAGTATTCGTGGAGGAGCTGAGCATAACCTTGGTAATACATTTGTATATAGCACGATTCGAAAAGAAGGTCTGCTTGATTTGCGAGTAACCGTGTCTGTAGGCCAAGTTCGGAGTAAATTTTCTAACATCAGCCCAAAATTTTGATTATTCAGTCGGTATAAACATGAAAACTTTAAGCGCGATAAATTTTCACTATATAATATATATATTATATCTTTTGTGCTATATATATACGCTTTGCATATCTACACGATGGCACAAAATGAAGGTATACCGATAAGCATTCTTGGTGTTCATTGAAGAATTAATAATTCATTGCGTATACAAACATAAGGTAGGCAGGCTAGCAACACAACTGCAAAGTAGAAAATGTATTCTTTGCCAAGTGTAGTAAAACGGCGAAAAACAATAGTAGCTTTGGTCGCAATAAAAACTGCGATAAATTGTGTACTCAATCTACCTCAATTTGTCACAACCTTCCTTATTTATGCAAAATCAAAATCTTTATATTGAGAGTGGTGGAATCGTATCTTTGTTACCGATGGACATTATCAAAACGTTTCTAACAGTTGAGCCTTATTCTACTCTGTTCAGGAATTTATGTTTCCCATATCGAAATGGGATCACCAGCCGATGAATGTGGTTTATTACTTGGTGATCAGATTCTACGAGTGAACAACACGCCATTTCTTAGTGATGTCACACACGCAAGAGCAGCGCAGGTGGGGTATCTGATACGTCATATATTGTTTTGCGGCCAGGGCTGGATAAATTTGCTGGCTCATAGTGGTAATAATAACCATTCCAATTTTATTAGTATTACAAAAATTATTAATAAAAAAGAGATTGCGGCCAAGTACTCTCAGATTTCTTTACCTAACTGAATGTATTCAAGAACCAATTATGAAATCTGTAATTTTACTATACTGTAATAGTTTCGGGAAACCCGGTTGAAAACCAGTCCTATATAAACTAAACTAATGTAATGAGGGTTGCTGCTCATACTAAATTACAAAGTTTATGGATGACATAATGGACTTGACACCAAACTCCAGCGTTTCAACATATTAATGATATTGATAATATTATGAAATAATATAGAATGTTATGGTTACAATTTTTATTTAAGCGTTTCTGTCGATGATTCGAATTTCCTAACTCGCTTGTCTATTTGAAGTGTACTCGACCCTTCTTCAAATGTATTGAATGACATTTTTAGCTAAATACAGCGCGTGTTGTGCTCGTTGGTATATTGTCTTTAATTCTAGTCATCCAACCCTCAATACAAGCGGTGCTTTTCAAGAGTCGCCACGTTATGCCAGGCCAGTAATTAAATCATTGCTTCAGCTGAATGGTTATCATTTGGAATCGGGCCATTTTTTTTAATTTCGTTCTAACAAGAATGCACCAATATCTTACCACCATTCCTAAAGCTGACATCGGGGGAGCTAGTCAGTTGGGGGTTAGAATTGACATGTGCAAAATTCAGTATGCTACGCCCACTAGAAGTATTTGAGGTACGAAACTACACGAGACCCCAACAAAGGGTGATACAAACTTTCGGATTTTTCGGTGTGAAATTATAGATCTTACTGGCATTCACTAATGAATTCAACGATTGGGTGAACTCAGACATTAGGTCACTATTGCAATTGCTTGTATATTAACTATTTACTCTGCATTGCAGATACTTGCACATACTGCCGGTAAACTAGTCCTATACGTACGTTCTGTTGGACAAGTACCAGAAACTATTGTCACGTCACATAATTTTTCATGGACCGATGCTTACGGAAGGCCAACCTCCCCACCACCAGATGTTCGCCGAGGTCATGGACCGGCAAATAGAATGCTTAGGAGTGATTTGAGACTAATGCTCACAGATGAGAGAAGGGTAGGAAGTATCTGAATAACCTGCTCTTAAACCTATTTCCAGTTTCAATACCTCGATGTCAGATTTTTCGATTCGTAATTGTTGACATTAAGATACATATCAGATAAATTACGAAACAGTAATAACTCTTCTTTAACTCCTATAGTTCTGCTGTTCATCGCAGAATTTTAAGGACAATAATGCAGTGTTCAAAAGTATTTATTCATGCTCTAACAAACAGTGCGCTAAACCAAAAGCTATTTTTATTATGATAAATATTGCCCCCATATTGAATTCACTATGATTTGTGGTGTCTGTAATTTGTGACGTTAATATGATGAATAGGCAAAACGTTTGTGTTTTTATCCTTATATCATACCAGACGTGTAATGTGTATTTAACAGGTGAATTTAACAGTTGAACCGGGACAAAGATTAGGTTTAATGGTCAGAGGCGGAAGCGATTACGGACTTGGAATCTATATTACTGGGGTGGATCGTGGATCAGCATCCGAACATGCGGGTCTTAAGGTCGGAATATATATATATATATACAGTATATGCAAATACATTTTACTCATATTGTAGCCCATTCTCATTGTATATTTTTACTTCAGGGTCTCCTTCAACCACATCTTGCCTGTTTGTTTTGCTAATTATTAGAACGAATGGATCATTTTGGAATTTGTTGTCGTTAGAAAAAAAAATATTTTTGCGATTTGCCCATTGCTCTCTCATCTTTCTGATTTCGTTTTTTATGCCTCCTCTTGTTTTTTCATAGTATTGGATACCAACTTGACATGTGAATTATTTGGCTAAATTTTTGTTGCTGTTTGTCGGTATTTTAGAGCTTGTCGCTATGAACAAATCTCCGTTCTCCGCAACCAATCGATCAATCGATTTCAAATTTTAGGATAAAATTATTCTTTTTTTCGAAGTTTCCTCCACTGAGACGTAGAGAACTTCAAATATATTTCACGCACGCTTTGCCATATGACATTCGGTGCCATTTTTCCATCATTTGGAATTTTGCTGACATTGCAGTGGCCATATTTGTCACATGACCTTCACGGGCATGTATAGCAGCATTGCCATCTTGTTGTTTGTTTCACTTTTCAACAATATTCCCCAGTCCTATTTTGTGTATGTGTATTTCTGTTTCCTGTGTTTATATATGTTAACATTTATTTATTTATGTATATATTTGTAACAGCCTGGAGACCAAATTCTTGAAGTAAACAACGTCAGTTTCAAATCTATAAGCCATGCTGATGCGGTGCATGTCATCAGATCAAGCAGAATGCTGATAATGATGCTAAGGCACGTCGGAAGAATTCCACAAGTAAGACGTTATGTCCGACATCAATCATTAAAATGCTCTGAAATAAGTTGTGACCCAAACGAATGCTTGTCTTTCGTGTCTCTTCAATTTAAGTTTATGTTAAATGTTGCATGTCGCCTGATCTTATTGTAGCTCTTAAAAAACATTAGGTATTCCTAAAAAGAAAATAGCCCCAATTCTCTGTACCGGACCCTTTTGGAAACGGAAAAATTTTTGCTTCAAAATATTAATCCTATTTCAAATTTCATTCCATTACCATTATATAAAAACGGTAATTTCACTTTCAAACCTATCGTAAGATGCATGTGCAAGTTTTATGTTTATAATGTTATGTTTTGTAATGTATTTATGTACTTATTATATCAGTGTCATATATCACAAGAAGAAACAAAGTGGATGTCTGATGAGAAAATATCATATCATAGCTTAAGATTAAGTAAAGGTGGAAGTTTACATCGGATGCCAGGAAGTGCATTGGTAATGTGTCTGGTTCTGGCTAATATTTCTTTGTTTTATACATAAGTGTTGCTTACAGGCAAATGTCGTAATTTATGTGTGCTCAACCTTAGATATAGTACAATGGTTGTGAGAGTTCGTGTATAGGGTAATAGTTCTCCATTTTTATTACGAAATATCAGGATCAAGTAGATCTACAAAGCATGATATCTTAATACGAAACTGAAATCCCCGAATGTTACTTCCATTAGAAAAAGGATCTTTTAGCAATAATACTCGATAGTGAGTATATTCTTTATTCTCGCGTATCATACATATGAGTGAACTGTGAACGAGTTTTTCAATAAGGTAACTTGACAACCTGATAAGAACTTGCCTTTGAGAATCGCACCCACTAAAAATTTCAAAATGCGGATGATAAGTGCTGTCCTCTTGCAAATATTGAGTAAAATATACACAAAGGTATTAATCCCTTCCTTAGGGTTATCAACTATATTTAGATGACATCATTAAAGTAATAAAAATTGGTCCCTTTCCTATGGATTACTAATTTAAATATCGACTAATTATCGTTAGACCGGATGTAATTCAATATTTTCTGTATTTTAGGGTGTATTCCAGCGAGGACTTACTGGATCCGACCAAGTGACATTACGTCACGCACAAAGTTCAACGTCTCTCTCACTGTCATCTCTAGAACGCGCTCTCTCTCGAATCATGGAGGACGTCGAAGATCCCGGTATATTGGACGAACGAGAATTAAGTTCGTTGAGATATTACGTGAATGAATACATTCTTGGACATGTGTCGGTAGATGCGCTTGTTTTATCGCTTGGACAATTACTGGATACATATGAAAAAGTAATTCTCTTTTATTTATTTACCTCTACTTCCGCCTGTACGGTTTTAAGCTAATTTAGTTCTCTCTTGATAGAAAAACCATTCGAATTCGTAAGATATAAATCTCAGAAATGCTTTGATGAATGCTCTCTATTCAGTTTTCGCTCATGGGTGCAATAAGAAGATGTTTATTCAATCGTGACGTTGATAGGTTTGACGTATTAATCTTGAGGCGAGAAGTTGATGAATTGAGAAAACAGCATATGGACGGCAAAGATGACTTTGTAGTAAGTAAACAAGAAATATACTATGAATTCTCTATATGACCAATACGTTTTTTTTATTCTTATCTGTTCCATAGGAGTCAAAACGAAGTATATTATCCTGCTGTCATTTCAAATTCAAAGTTTGCTTTTAATGGAGCTTTTGTGGAAAATCCTGAAATTTAAAGACATAAATATTTAAGGGTATTGGTTGTAGCTTCGTTTTCTGGTGGCAATATGCTTTTTTTTTATTATTTATTTTATGTATTGAACATTCAAATAATGATGAAAAAATACCCTAATGGACTAATTTTTGATATAGAATAACAGCGAAGAAGCACCACATCGAAGAAAATTGTTTAGAAATTCTGATGCCGTCGTTGCGAAGCCCCGATCGCGTTCGGTCCCACCGACAAGAACTATTGAAAGCGGTCCTAGGCAAAGTTACATCGAATCACTGAGCTCCAATGAGTTGAACAACAGCTACATATCACCACCGCAATCTTTTTCAACTCCAAATAGCTCTTTAGAGCAGAAAGAAAATATTTATTCCACACCGAGAATTATTGGGGCATCGATAGCAGACGTGCCAAGCCGATCAAAGAAAAAGATTTCGCCTATATTCAAAAACAATTCTGCATTGCTGCCATCACCAATGAAACTCGTACCTCCAGTAAAACCGAAACGAACCGCCCCTCCGGGAGTGGACGCACAAAATCAATCACCACGCGAAAAATATATGGAGTCGTCTGCGAAATCTGAGGTTGCAAGACACTCCAGTTTTAAAGGTTCGGATCATAACCCGATATACAGTACAATCAAGAAAAGTTACCCAAAAACATTTATCTCCAAACAGAACTCAAATGCCTCAAAACCCGAGAGTGAGATTTTAGGTAATATAATGACAAGTAGAGAAAAAACAGCAGAAGTTGAAAGGAAACCAAGCTTTACCACATTTGGTCATACTGGGCCGATTCAAAACTCAACTAGTCGAACTCCCAGCAGTACTATAAGTCGTTTGAACCCAATGAAGAACGAATGGAACGCGAGAAATTCTTCACGGGCACCAACCACTCAAATCAAAGACACGCATTCCGCTCGACCATCCAGCCCATTCTCCCAGGCGTTAGAAACACAAACGCCAAAGTCAACTGGTCAAGCGTCTACCAAGTTTACAAAACCTTGCATCAAAAACTTGTCGAGTTCAATGAATTCAAACACTAAGCCTCAGTCCACAACCGCAGCCGCCATCGCTACGACCTCAACGTCAATGTCGGTGCATAGAATAAGCAACAATGTTCATATTATCGAGAACGCAGATTCTGAATCGGATTTTCCCGATGATCATTTGCCGCCGCCACCTATGTCATTCTTACGAGAGGTAAAACTTAATTAGCATTTGTTTGAAAGATGGAACATTTTCAAACAATTAACATGATCACAAAATAAACTTCTCACTGTCGTGGTAGATGTGCGACGTTTCATTTTGAAATTGATCCTTTCATTTTGAAATTGATCGTGTAATATATTTTCATTATTGTCGTATCATACCTGTTGCAGGGTGGCGACAGCAGTTTTTGTACGCGATAAACTTTCGTGAGCATCATGGGCTTCCCTTTTTCTTGTTTGTATTACATACAGTTCAACTAATACCGCTTCTATATATATTGCAGCATTCACTATCACCTCCAACAAATAGATATCCTGTAAAGGTTGATGTTCATCGGTCAATAGGATCGAATGATAAGCCTGGATATTTGGATCTGCCTTCAGAACCCAGGTATGACAATAGGCGGTGGTCAAATAGTATAGCATATATATATATATATTTCATATACTCTGTTAGCATAGCCGCACGCATTTACAGATTTTGGAAATTACGGTTATTAGGTCTTGGTGATTTACCGTGTGGGTAAAATATATGCCATTTATCAGTCAAGTGATGGACAATCATAATAGTATAGCCACTTGTCTAACCCCAGGTCTTTAATTTCTTCGTTGATGGAAAATAAATTTTATGAACATGTTTTCCATTTTGTTTCAGCATAAAATCATCTCCTAATTTACCAGGAAGTTCAGCATTTCGTAACACAACAGTAAGTAGTAAATACTTGAACATAGTCATATAATACTTCTAAACATATAGTCTGATTATTCTGCACGAATTGAGCGGAAAAAATAACTATACAGTCCGATTTATATACGTGTATATACATCTAATCTAAGCCTTAACCAATGCTTTAACACGAAGCAAGGCGCAATTCGAGCATTCTGTGAGTAGTCCGGAACTTGTGCAATTCATCCTTAGTCTCCCTAATTAATACAGTTACATGCATGCTGTTCGTCCTAGCGACCTAATCTTCTAAATTAATATTCTGTATTCAGCACAATAACAATAAAAACGTTGACCAAATCAACGCGCACGAACCATTTCAATACGCTAATTCAATTGAGAGTGACGAGTACGACGACGGTGGAATTGAGTATGAAGATATAATTGATCCTAGGGAATATTTGAAAGACGTAGAGAAGCAGAAAATCATAATTTTCAAAATTGCTCCGACATTAGGACTTTCCATCGAAGGAGGCGCAAATACGAGACAACCGTTGCCTAGGATATCAAGTGTACAAGTGAGTTTCCATAAATAAGTAAAATAGGTTTTTATTTGATATAAACCTGACTTATGTGAGGTTCCATTTGTGATTTATGAATGCGACCAGATCTGTGTCTTCATGCTCTCATATATATATATATATATATATATAATAGGGTTATTTCATTCGCATTCTGCACGATATTTAATTATGTTTGTTTGCGGTATACACACACTACGGGAGTACCACTATTTTTAATGCATTATCTTTACACCATATACTTCAAATTGTTTCAGTCTGGTGGTTGCGCTCATATGTGTGGAAGGCTCACAATTGGTCAAGTTATACACCAAGTGAACGGGATGGAAATGGCTGGCTTAGAACACTCTGATGTAGCCAAAGCAATTGCAATAGCCTTCAAAACCGAAGGTAGAGATTCTCTCGAACTCTTGGTTAGCGGTCCCCATGAAAATACCACTTCCTAATTGGAGGCTGATAAAGAAAGTTAAAGGCTCGAAGCGGATAAAAAAATTCAAACGACTTCAGCAAATAATTGTTTGGATGCTGAGGACGAGAATGTTTTTTACTCTATTCAGTTGGACCATCACTGCCTACTGAAGTCAAAGAGGAAGAATTGGCTCGCTATGGATCTCGCCTCTCTTCTCGTGTTATTTTAGTGTTGTTCAATTGCAAATAAATTGAAATAAGTATTCAAATGGTGATAAATTTGCTTAATGAGGACAAAAACTTTCATTTGTCTAGACTAGATTCTAGAAACATAGAATTTATTGTTATTAACTTTTCTTCTATACACCGTACCTCGACTAAGTACACTCGATTGTCCCGATTTGAGTACTTTTCGCGCCGCCTTCTGATTTCATTATTTGGACCTCCTGTATGCGCACCAAGATGGCGCACAACCTGAACTCAGGTTGTGTACCAGGTTAGGGTTCAGGTTATGCGACATTTTGGTGCGCATACTTCAGGAGTACCGAAAATTAGTAATAGAATGAAAACGCGTTCTACATGTCAAAATATCCGTAAAGCGCGTCCCCATTCAATATAATCTGGCTCGAAAATTAGTAACAAAATGAAAACACGTTCTACCATATCCAATAATTTTCATTAATGTTCCTAACTAATGTTCCCCAACCCTGTCACGAGCCACTATCATGACCTGAATAAACGTTTTCCTCGGAGCCATATATAATTCTTCTAGTTCAGTGATGTTTCCCCAAAGCATCGACTTTCGTAGCTTTGACTTATCAGCAAAAAGTGACGCAAGAACAGAAATTTTAGCAGCCGCTCAGACACTTTTGTCACTGGTACAGATTTTCAGGTATGGTTGTAAGCATTCTCTCGTTTTCGCGGTTTTAAATGCTATTTGTCAGTTTTTGGCTGTGTTTAAGAAATTCAACTATGATCAAATAATTTATTGATCATTTTGTCTTCCCAACTTTGAATTTAATTAAGTATTTGGCCCGACGGTGTGGCGCATCGCGCTAAGCGTGAGGAACACGCTCGTAACCGAATCTCTGATTACCCTGCGTGGGTTGGCATCCCGTTGGGGATAATTATGTGCGAGGGGATTGTTGAACTCCTCGTCGCCGGAGGCAAAATTTAACCCTAAATTCCGGACGGTATGGCAACCCTAGCATAGATTGGACTAAACTTTTTTACCGGTACCTTTAAAATGACAGGTGATTTCGAATCAAAATGACGGTTCGGAACATGACAACCAGTTTGTAGACACAACTAGAAGCCACTCTTAAAATGACAGGTGATGAACTGGAAGCCACTCTTAAAATGACAGGTGATTAAAATGACAGGTGATTTCGAATCAAAATGACGGTTTGGAACATGACAACCAGTTTGTAGACACAACTGGAAGCCACTCTTAAAATACGCATCAAAAATTTTGTGATGGTAAAGTATGGAAAGAAATTTCTTGGGCTCAGAAAGTTCGGGAAAACATCCATGGACTAGATCTCCGTATGCTGTACACCTCTTGCAGTGCGGTAAACAGGAGGGCTAGACCATAACGTGACTGGTGGATTCTCGTTTCGTTAAATATCCGGGACAATGAGAAACATAAATGATGAATTAAAATAATCCATTAGAAATATGAAGTTGCGCGGTGGCAAACAACGGGACATAATTGCCCATGGTGTGATACTAACTTAAGTTTTCTTATTAGGCACATTCAATAAAGCATTTCAATCCACAATATTTTATTAACTAATAAAACTACTACACTAGACAAAGTAACAGAAATAAATTACAGGAGGCACGATTTCAATAAGCACAATGCTAAAAAAGAATATTTAAAAATCCGCAAGTAAATCTAAAACATTCTATATGAAATACTGTATTTATCGTACAGAAGTCAGTGTAAATATGAAGTGATAATACAAGTCAAAGTCTAGTAACAATACGGTAATGTAAAATCAATTGTAAAACGTGACCAAAATATTATATGAATCTAAATTTTAAATTTGACAAGAGCTGAACTAGATGGTGTACATAATTTCGTTACCTTTACTTGTACCATTATGGTATCTATTATTTGTTTGAGTTCACATAATTTTTTTTGGGCAATTCAAACTTTTATGGCTTTACACCCCAATTAAGAAAAATTAATATGGATGTTTATTATAATAGCAATTTCTGGAGAATTTTACGTTCGACTATTTCGATTCTCAGAACATGCCTTTTAAATTTTTATTCAGACTTCAACCATAGACAATGAATAATTTTAAACATCAAGACACTGTGAACATATTCTTATTGCAATGTCAAACCAATCAGGCATTTAATTGGTTTGAACAAAATCGCTATACGTGCCAAATTTCTCCTCCATGAAATCGATACAGCAGATGACAAAACTGGAAAATGCACAAAAAAGGAAATAGTGTGTGTACCAGGTTAGGGTTAGGCCATAATATTATTCTGATTTTCCCTATTTTAGTTCTATTACGAATTCGGGGACTGTCTGTGTAAGCCAAGTGAATATACCCTTGTGCCATAGACTTCAGTCCCTTTACACAACTTAATGTAAAGTAGGCAAACAAAATTAGTTACTTCCCTATTAGTACACACACCACACACTTCTGGAGCGCCAAAAGGAATTTCTACTATCAAATATCATTAGGAAACATCTTCTTTTGAACAACAACAATTACGAAGTCAGATTGATCCAATTTAATGGAATATCACTAGTAGGGCTGGGCATTTCGAATCGAATAGTAAATTATTCGAATCGGTTCAGAGCTAAATTTCGAATCGCCGCCATCTTATTTTTATCTTTCCGCTAATGGTCGAGGTGAATTCCCCAATTTTTTTTTCATTCGAGTCATATTTTTCAACGGAATTCTAACATATGACTATTTTCTGTAGTGAGTTATTGGTAAAACGTGTTTGTTATTCTGTGTAAACGCTCAGTAATCTATCTAAGTGAATCATTCTATGTCTTCAGTAATTCATTTGTTGAGAGATTACTATAATAAAGTCGCTTACAATTATATATTTTCAAGTATTCGAGATTCGATTCTGAAATCACAAGGTATTCGAAAATGCCCAGCCCTAATCACTAGTAAGTAATTAAAAAAGGTGGAAAAAGTTTGAATAGCTACCCTAGTTTATACCAACTACATGTAAGATAAAATATATATAAACATACAACATTAATTAGGTCTAGAGTGCATGACCTTGGTAACAATATAAACTAAAGAAATCATCAATGAAGTTACACACAATTTTATGTTTTACAGTGAATACTATATATTTGGTAAAGATGTATCATTCGCGCCACAATGTTTAGATGTATGCCTTTATCAGTGCTCTGTATGCCTCTATCAGTGCAACATTTTCAAAAATTTAGTGTACTTTGACTATCTATTTTGGGTTCTACAATGACAAATTGCAAGCACACAAACTACAACATCATAAAATTCACTTTTATAATTGAAAATATTGGAAACTTACAATCAAATGCAGATTCTGAAAGGTTTGACTCGGAATTTTGATAATTCAGATTCTAAATTCTATTAAAGTAGGAAATATTTTGCTGACAGCATAGTCTCCATTAAATATAGACATTTATCTTCCAGGTAGGGTTCAGCTTGCACATCTTACATTCATAGCACTATTCACAATAGCACAAGTCTGTACTTTTTTGGTGCAAGAGTACAGACGATAGTTGCATATACTTAGTTCTAATACAAGACAATAAGGTCATACAGTACAGTAAAGATAGACAAATGATTTAGAATCTCTTCAGTGCAAAAGCTTTGCAGAAAATAGAAAGATACTTTTTGGCAAAGCCCAAGCAGGATCGGAAAAAATCATCATTGCTGAGGTGGTGGCGCTTTCGTTGCCTCATACATAGTTCTAGCTACTTGGTGGACATGCTCGATACCTGGACGCTTATCTGGATCAGGATTGATACACATTGATACAAGGCTTCGGAGCTGCAAAGGAAATTTGTATTGTATTGAAATGTAAAATTTGTCAGTAACTATACAAGAAGCTCAAATATAGGGCCACAAAGGATGAATGTCATATAAAATGTTCCCATAAGCCATACAAAAGTGCTCCCATGATTCAAAATCGAACAGCAAAATTTTGGGTCAAGCATCGAGCTCTGTAGCGTAGGTCTCAGAAAATGTTTAAAAAACAAATTTAAAGTAAAGACGACATCAATCACTTTCAGTCCGAAAACAATTTCATCAAATATGGGCAATAAAGATGGACATTGTATTTTCAATCTTCAGCCAAGCTCATCAAGATAAATGTTCATCAATATGACAAATATATAGACATTCAGACGAACGAGACTAGATATAATCATAGCTTGAAACATTTCGAAGTCAGAAAATGACATGGCATATATATATATAATAATATTTTGCTATGCTTAAGCGTTCACGTTGAAAAGCCAAATTATGACTATTTTCCACGATTCGACTAGATTACCAGTCTCCATTTATTTTAGAAAAACTGTGGTACGAAAGCAATGGTGACCATTGACCACAATGTAAAATAGTAAATACATTTCCAAAAGTTATCTTTTGCACCACAAGTGACATTATCGAATATCTAAAATATTTTTCCACATTCGCTGCTAAGAACATAACAGGCATTTACATGTTAGAAGACACTAAGATCAAGGGAATAGTGTCTTTCTGATTTGAAAAACCTTAACCAAGCCTATAAGCAAAATCGCATGATGACGAATACAGATTTTCCTCAAAAAGTAAATATTATATTGAGTGTGGCATTTTATTTAGAGACATATAAAGTATAATATAAATCGGGCGTATTTTATTGTTTCTCCATTCAATATTTCTTACAACATACCAAGTTTTCCCAGGTTACCAGATTATTTCATTTCAAGCACTGAATTTTAAAATAGTCATAAACTAGTATTCATATACTACAGCGTCATTATTATTTATTTGAGTGAGCAAGGTCATGCACTCACTCATAATCAGAGGAGAATCATCCTTGAGTATAAAACAGTCGTACAATGGAAAATGAACTTTAAAATTGAATACTTTACTCAATTTGATATTGTAATAAAAAAATACCATACCGGTTCCGAATAAATATCTGAAGGCAAAGGGGGATATTCACAGCTTTCAATTTTCTTGCAAAGAGCATAGAGATTCATTTTATCTCCATAAAAAGGTGATTGAAGTGCTGCCATCTCATACAATAGACATCCTAGCGACCAGATATCGGATTTAAAATTGTAGCCGTTTTCGTGAATTCTTTCAGGCGACATATAATACGGCGTTCCCACTAAATAGAATATATATAAATATTGAGGTGAATGAATTTCAAAGTAAGTTTCAAACTGTTTTTGATAGAAATCCTGAATTTACTCCCAGTGAAGCAAAAACCATAATTCCACTTAGAAATTGACTACACACCTATGACTAGTTCAAGCTCATTTAACTAAAATGTTCATCAATGTATGCAGACACAAAAATGTCTTAAAACTCAGACGAACGAGACTAGATATAATCATTGCTTGATTAATAGCCTACCAGACTTTTGGCTTATTTAAAACACCAATGATATAATTCTTGATAAATATTTTATTAATTAAAAAAGGTTCAATTAGGAAGGGTGCGAGAGACCTAACCAGTAAATTTCATCTGAGTACACATTGGTTAAAGCCTAACAATGTCATAATAAGACAGGAACAAAAATACAGGTCAATCCATACAGATTTTGTTATAAATAGCATAATATACTTCATAAAATAGAATCCAAATCAAAATTTTGATGAAAAAGGACATATTTAACAAAAAGAGATTAATTTCATCCATTAAAACCTTTTTTTATAATATCATAATCTTTGCACAGAAAACTGAATTTGCTGGGCAATCCCACAGGTAGACAAAATATGTTCACAAATATTGACATAATAACGAGTACACATTGTATTTCATGGTTTGAGTCGCACTATACTTCAGTTATTTCCTAACTTTCTCAAAACACAAATCTCAGATTACACATAGTTAAATTTGGTCCATATATGAAACCCTCACATGGATAACAGACCAAGTATGATCTATACTTAAAAAATAGACAACTTCGTTGACAAAAGAAAGATGAATCCAAGTTATCAGAAAAAGCATAAAGAGAAAAACCACAGAACTCCGGTTATTGTGATGTAATAGGAAAAGGAGGTACATAAGGAGTTTTAACTAAGGAGAAAAGCCACAATAAATAAATTTCTACCTAGACTCTGCGCAAAACTTGTTTTTGATGAAAAATACCGACCAAGACCAAGATCCCCGAGTTTGACAATACCTTGTGCAGTAATGAAGACATTGGCAGGTTTTATGTCACGATGCATAACTCTGAAATTTTATATAGGAAATGTAAATTATAGGCCTACAATTTTTATTACACTATTCATTCTTAATGAATTTCGAATCTCTTTCTGACTTTTTGGTAAAATCTTGCATAAAATCCATGATTATCAACGAGAAAAACAAACATACGATGTACCTTTTACATAAAAAAATAGTTTATCATTTTTTATATGCCTAACTTTTTATACAAAACAACATATAATGAAATATACAGTTTATTGAACAGGAATATTTCTTTCAAGTACGCATATTTATGTTAATAAAAATTCCGAATTAACATACAATGCAACAAAATTATGAATTCACAAACAAACAGCGAATCACTAAAGTAATAAGAAAAACAAAACTTCTCAAAACAATTTGCCTACTATGATAACTGGAAATTTAATTTTAGCATAGATAAATCGGTTGTTGAGGGCAAAAACAACAGGCAACAAATTTGGATTGCTAGTAAATTTACTGCAACGAAAGATTCAAGCTCATTCGATAATGTTCATCATTGAATAGAAGACATCTTTAAACATCTTTTATTAGTCAGACGAACGAGACTAGATATAATCATTGCTTGAATAATGAAAACCAAAGAAATTTTGAATGTCAAAATTCCTAAAAGAATTTTTCTAGTATAATATACTTCGAAATTCTTTTAACTAAATTAACAAAGCATCACTACCACCAGTACAATAAAGTTAATGATGCTTCAAACCTCCTCGAGTGCATGTGTTCAACGGATGACGCAAGTTGTACAAAATATTTCCAAATTGTTCTTTCTGGAATCAACCTTCTTTGTTTTTTGAAATGCTGAAAATAAAATTTTTCCAAGTTAAGTTTTTTCCTACTGTCATTGTATATCCTTACAATTAAGAATTATAGTAGTGAACAAATTCGAAGTAAAAGATAGTGTTAACTGTTAACAGAAAAGCGATTTTCCACAACATAGAGAACATCAACCACTTTGAGTCCAATAACCAATTTCGTCAAGTATGACCAATAACAATAGACATTGTATTTTCAATCTTCAGCCAAGCTCATCAAGATAAACTGTTCATCAATATAACAAATATATTGACATTCAGACGAACGAGACTAGATATAATCATAGCTTGAAACATTTCGAAGTCAGAAAATGACATGACATATATATATAACAATAATATTTTTCTATGCTGCGTTCACGTTGAAAGTCCAACTTATGACTATTTTCCATGATTCGACTAGTTTACTTTTATAAAATGTAGGCAAACAAAATTAGTTACCTCCATATTGGTACACCCACTTCTGGAGCGCCGAAAAATGTTTATAAAAAGACTTCTGTGTGTCACACTTTCACAAATTTTATTTTTATTACCAGAATTAATTTTATTGGCATGGAAATAATAAGTGTTCCTATTCTTACCTTTATCATTCGACTGAGATCTCCTGCATCTGCAAGTTCTAAGACAATGTTGAGTTCATTATCTTCAATAAAAGATGCGAGATATCTTATAACATTCTGATGATTTAATTGCTGAAAACATTTTATTGATACAGATTTAATAAACATGAAATGACAAAATTAGAATGACATAGCAGAATCAAGTCAAACAAAGATAGTGTCGATATTATTATTAATCAATAAATACCTATAACTGAATAGTTTCATTATTTCAGTAATTTTTGTATAAGTACTACCCTACTTCAGAAACATACTGCTTCCAGACTCCGGAGTATTGAGCATTTTTGATACCCATAATTGTTTGCAAAATTATAAAATCTTAAAGGTCAGTAATATAGTTTTCAATAATAAACGATGCTTTTCAATTTGAATACATATCCAATAGTCGAATAAAAAGAAAAGGAGTAAAGTATGACAGATTTAGTTGAAAGCATTTGGTCTCGAATTTTCTTCCACAAAACAAAATTTTCCTCTTTAAATGATAACCCTCAGGCCTCAGCTTATTCAGAAGAATGGCATACTGAATATAGTGCTTATACAATAATTGTAATAAAATATTTATAATCCACCTCGGAAACCATTTGCCATATAAATTACTACCTGTGCTGAAGCAAGGATAATTGCAGCATGGGCCAAGGAAGTACACCCAACAATTTGTATATGAAAATTCATGAGTCAAAAATTGTCATCGTTTGCAGATAAGCGTGGATAAAAAATATGAACATGGCTCGAAGAGTCTCCCAATAAACCAATTCAATATTAGATTTCTTGACTTAGCTTTTGAGCATCACTCGGGTGAATATGACAATTTAGTTAAGATTAAAGATGTTGCCATAGTTAATTCTGTGAATTGCAAATATTAATAATAGAAGCATACAAACCTTTAATAAATCTATTTCTTTTATACAATCCTGTCTTGCTTTTGCATCCATCATGTCAAATATCTAGGAAGATAAAAAGAAAATTCAAATAAAACAAAGTAAATGTTCAGAACAAAATTTTATATTCTTTCAATTAAAAAGGCCATTTATGCAGTAAAGGTGTTAACATGCAAGGAGTGCAATTAAATCATGTTTTTCTATATAACAGCTTTATCACAAAGTTAATAAATAAAATAGAATCTGGAAATAGCTGTTATAAATCTATTTAAAGCATTATGATAAAGGACAAAGGATTTGATTCATGTTATAATCAAAACCAATTCTCAACAGACAATGTATTATTGATGAATGTAAATACAGATGGGAAGCGGATGGATGGTGTTATATACTTTTGCTTCGTTTTCATGATACATGAATGAACAGTTCAAATTTACCAGTTTAATGAAGCAAACAAGAACATCAAATAAAATAAAAAAAGGTTGGAAATTTTGGGTATTTCAATGTTTTCACAGGCACAATACTATTTTTGTATAGTGTACCTAACCAAACAATTTAAATTGAATCCAAAGTTTACCTTAAATACATGAACCCAAATCCAAGTCATTTTAAAGATATTAATGAGTCCAATAATATTAACATTAGCAATCAGAATTAGTTTTTTCTCTAAATTATCATGTCAGGTTTTAAAACGTGAAACTCAGTTGTAGATCCATAAATCAACACGAATCAAAATAAAATTACAATTAAAAACCTCATAATATTAATCTGTTGATATTATCAACAGTATTTATTATACTTGCAGCATGTTCAAAAACCACATACTGCTGACATACATGATATTGTTATCAATGAAATGGTTGGATGATGGGATATTTCTCAGTAGAGATATTTTGCAAGACATACATACTCCCGAATAACAATTTTGAAAAAAATTCCAGAAAATTTTTTTTTTATATGAAGGTTATACCTTTCATTCCAAGAATTCCGTGTACAAATACCCATCCCACTGATATGTATCGAGTCTGGAGCTACTGTTTCTTTGGAAGGAGCATAATCTTTCCGGTTTAGCTACCCAATTTATACCACCCTAGGTAAGTTAGGTGACGAGTGTGGGATTTGAACCAGATATGTGTAACCAACAATCAGACAATACCAGGTTCGTAAAGTCTAAAGCTTCAACCGCTATGTTTGTATGTAATTTTTTTTAGGCTTCGGCTGTTGATGGGCGCTAGAGGCTTCCAGTCACTTCTTTCAGATTTTTTTATTGGCATTTGCTGCTGCCTTGGTTTCTTTCACCCTTCGACATTTTTTGGTAGTTTCCTTGATGACTCCAACATATTTTACCAACTTTTTATTCATCATTCATGACATTTTAAGACCAATATCTGAATACTGGAATATGGAAATAATACTATACCTTCACTTTCTTTAGTGCAGTCGGTTTGTTATCCAGTAGACATATCGCTCTGTACACTTCACTGAATTGACCTCGACCAATTTTTCTTTCAATGTGGTAATTTGCAAGTGAATTATATCCAAGTTCTGGTTTTAAAGGTTGTGGAAGCGGACGCAATTCCGACTCCATAGTCAACTGTCTTCAGTTTAAAGGCATGAATAAATTTCACAATATCCAAATCTCAGAATTTGCTAGCTATTCCGGCAATCAGACTATTACTGTATTAGTATAGCTGTATGGTAAAGAGATAAGATGTAGGCTATGGTAAAGAGATAAGAAAATAGTAAATCATCCAAAAAATGGTTTATGTCCAACAATTTAAACTATGGTAGCCTACTGTGGCATATCGCTGTGTGGTGAACTCTTGTCCACAGACACTCAGACAGACATGACACTATCTACAGATCTATGACAACATGCAGACATGGCCAAGCATGAACAATACCAGAATACAGTAAATATTCCTGTATTCTTCTTACCGTATAATGGCAAATTCCTGGAATTGTTCTAAGATCTGAAGATTGAGAAAGTTCAGGGGTTTAATCAGCGACTCAAACCACTGAACTATGCGAGTTGGCGAACATTTCTTGTCAGCTTGTGGTCCCTCCGTCTGTCCGTAAGGCTCTGTTACTATATTAATTGGAATAGGATAAAACTCTTGTCCGTTTCACCAGTTACAATCAAATTGAGAACATCTGCCTCAACATAATGAACCAGCGGAATGAACCATAATGCAGAAACACTGAACCAAAGAAATATAAAAACGCACCAAACAACGTGAAGCTAAATCAAATGAGCAATGCTCCCCAACATTTTGACTGAGATATGTCATGACATCACAGTTCAACTCGTGCGTGACTTAGGTCAAGTCCTGCCGGAATGAATGGACGTTTCTCCGATCATCGGCTTTCTTATTTTTTTATTTGCGAAACATTGACTAATCAACAAGACGCCTATTTTGACGTAACAATGAAGATTTTAAAAACTACTCTTTTTAACCTCATACAGATTTTCCGGTATGGTGATGTTTTCTGGAGAGTTTTAGTTTAGTCTCAGTGATCAAAAATTAGTCCCAATATATACTGTTTCTGGGTACTATTTCAATTTTCTTCCGAAATATAACACTAGGGCAGTGGTTCTTAAACTTTTTGAGCCGCGCCCCCCTTTGAAAAATTTCACAAACTTCGCGCCCCTCTTTTTGCTCTGAAAAAATGCTTTTGTGATGGGCAGGTTGCTATATATTACAATAGCGCTATAAGAGTGTTGGTCTCATAGCGTCATTGCTCGGATTGTTTAGGCATAAAACGCATCGGAGTACTTCCGCCATTCACTGTCGTTTGTATAAAGCCAAATAGTGGTCATCATACATTCTCGTTTTTCTGCTCAGTTTGCAATACCTGGTAAAGTCAAACTATTTTTTAAGTAAAACTAAACACGCAATATACCTATGCATGAATGTATTTTCGTTTACATAAGACACGTGAAATTTCAATCAATTGTTTACTTCATCACTATTGAGCAATGCAAAAATTATTTACTTTACTGTTTATTTACTAAGCAACAATTACAGACTTCTTAGCTCTCCTAACGTTTCCAAAATTCACTACCAATACATTTGAACAACCACCAGGTTAAAAAATACAGTTTACAAAATGGAGAATTGCGAATGAATTTATGTAAATTTAAAAGCATTTAATTTTTTGTTAGTTATTATGCATGTGGATGTTTCCCCGGCCCTTTACTGTTTATTTACTAAGCAACAATTACAGACTTCTTAGCTCTCCTAACGTTTCCAAAATTCACTACCAATACATTTGAACAACCACCAGGTTAAAAAATACAGTTTACAAAATGGAGAATTGCGAATAAATTTATGTAAATTAAAAGCATTTAATTTTTTGTTAGTTATTATGCATGTGGATATTTCCCCGGCCCTCGATCGCTGAAAATAAAGTCGCTAAGGCGTTTGCGATTGCATTTTGTTTAAATCTCGATTGTTTTCATCAATGTGACGTTATTTAAGCCGTAAATATTGCAAGGACAGCTCATATTGGTGTGATTTGCAGGAATACGAATCAAAACAAAATGTAATCGGGCACTTTGCCACACATTTTATGTCCGCGGATTACCGTGGCATTTTGGGGCAGTGGTGCCCTTATTTTATCGACGCAATCGCAGATTTAATTTACCACAATTAAATAAATAAAACAACCATTAAATATGTATATCGGTCATGGATTAAATATTTTATTCAACAGAAAAACCATGACATATCCATTGAAAAAGTTGGATTTCTCGACGAGTGGCGTAATCTCGATGACTACCTCAGAAGCCGTACCGCGGGGATTTCGAATTGTTGAATATGTATTTTTCATCTACTAATATACTTTATATTTATTTTCATTGTACCAAATTGAATATACTTTCTGGAATATTATACCAGATCTTTCTAACGACGATAACAAATTCACATGAGCGCAACATATATATATATCAAAACTCAGTGGCGGCGCGTGGTCATTTTGACAACCGGGGCAAGCTACTGCGGGACCAAGTCACCCCCATCTACGGGGACAGGATGAGCGCTGTAAGTTCTCCCATCATTTTATGAGTATAAAAACCATTCCATCGGTAACAACCAATCGGCAAAAGCGACAATTTTTAACGATAAGAAAGTGTCTTTAAAACCGGTCCAAGTCAAGGGATTAATAAATATAGACATAGTTTATTTTGAAACCTCTTTCAAAAGGAAAGGCAATATTTACCCAGATAAATACAATGACATATTAACAGAAACTTCGGGAAAGCAGACAAAACCTAAAATAAGGTTTAAAACGTTACTATGAAGAAAGGAAAGGTAATGCAAAGATAAGGACATGCGTCGCTCACTCATAGATATATATGCTGCTAGACTTCTACTGCTTGAACATATATGCAACACGCCGCGGTTTCTTGGAAGCAAAATGCTCAATAACGCGCTGATTAAAGTCATGCATCCCAGAAATAACGTCTCTGTGAATTGATAAAACAGCCAAGGAATTTAATCTATCTTGCTTCATTGTGTTTCTGAGATACGTTTTAATACGCTTCAGCGTGCTGAATGTTCGCTCTGCGTCGGCGGAAGAAATAGGCGTCGTCAAAATGATGACCAGAAATTTTGCAGACGCCGCAAAGGTAGTTACTAAAGTGTTATCTATGAGGAACCATAGAGCGCGCAAGTTGATGTGATGTTCAAAAAAGTTTGATTGGTGTATATACATCGCAATTCATTTTCCAATTTACCCACGTTTATCATGGGGTAAAATTTGGAGATAGTAGCCAACAAATGGATGGGAAATTGACGTGCAAATTTTGAAATTTTTTTTGGGTTCATCAAAGAGAACGCGGCAAGGTGTTCAGTGCGCAGACGATTGCCTATTTGATTCACCAGAATGTCACAGAATTCCTTTGCAGACAAAATCCAACGCTGCGTTGTTTGCCCGCGGCGTAAAGAAGCACTCCATGTGTCGTCGTATTTTATTGTTTCCCGGATACGAGATACAGCATCGCAGAAGTCTGAAATACACGACTGCACAGACGCTCCATCCATTAGCCTTGACTGCAATGCGCCGTATAATACATCCACGTGATAGAATATTGTGGAGAAAAAATGAAAACTCACCATCTTCTAGCAGACGCTTTAGACCTGCCGCCTCCCTCACAAAGCGTTCGTCCCAAACCGGAGAGCTCTGAATGCCATTGAAACACTCAATGAGCTCAGACCTAATTTCGGACACGCCCTGCACCACGCGTGATTGGAAGTTCCAACGTGTTGGTGCACAAGCTGGGAGACGGCGGCTACATATCTGGCGAAGGAGGTCAGAGCGCTTCGGCGAAACGGAAAAAAATGAAGAAAACCCCGAAACATTTGCAAAAAATATACGGACGAGAGGGGTATCAAGACACATATTTTTAATAACGAGGTTAAATTGGTGTGCATAACAATGTAAAAAATGCGCATGAGGAAAATCTTCTTTTATATAAACTTGAACACCATGTTTCGACCCACTCATGACTGCCGCGCCGTCATAAGTTTGAGCTATCAATTTTGACTTCGCGTTGTAAGGCTGTAACACTTCTTTCAGTACAGCCGATATCCCGTAAGCCGTGCGATCAACGATTGGTACAAAGCTGTGAAATCTCTCGGTAGGTTTACCATCTTTCACAAACCGAAAAATCACAGCCAGTTGGCAGAGGCGTAGCCAGCATATTTTGCGCCCGGGGCAAAATATAAAATTGGCGCCCCGGCCCCCACGTTTAATCATGTTTTCTATTGCATTTAATTGTGTATGTAAAAAAAAATTATATTTCGTCACGCTAATAACCGAATTGCGTAAGTCATTTTTAGCTGTTTTGAGAAAAACGTAAAAAAACTTCCTAATGATATTGCTATGCCATTGAGAGTCTTTAATTTGCCATAGTTCAACTTTTTGATCGTAGCCGGATTTAAGTTAATTTGTATGACGCAGTCATGTGACGTCATAATGGCACACTGTGATTTAGGCAAAAATGTGTCTATGGCTAGAGGACATACGCAATTTTGCAACTTGTCTATATGTACCAGTCCTGAAAACCAAACAATCCAAAATCCCCAAAATAGCTAATCTGTTTCAATTACATTATTTTTTATGTTTAAAAATATATATTTCATCGATATAACACGCTCTGCACATCACCGAAATAAGACTAAAGTTAAATATAAAGAATAAAACAGTAATGTACTCTTATATAAAAGTCAACCATGGTGAATTGGACTCAGACAGTAAATATCACAAGTGCACGCCTTCCTATACAGTAGTATAAATTGAAAATTATTAGCGCTAAGCTAGAATCAGAGATGCAAAAACTCGAAAATCCTTCGCCTAGGTTATTTTGCCTTTGTTACGTCACAATAGTCCTGCGTTAACAATGATAATTCATTATGACGGAACAATTGAACAAATTTGCATATCATACAAAATTTCTATTTTTATGGGTTTCGGAATTCTTAAAATAAAATCTGAGTTAACAGACAGGTGCGCAGCATTACATAAATACCTATTTTATGAAAAATTCAAAACCGCCCAAAATGACTTACGCAATTCGGTTATTAGCGTGACGATATGTGAATTCAAATTTATATGTATTTATATATTTTATTATTTATTCAAAAATATATGTATATGTAAATTCAAATTTTAATGGAACATTTTATTTAAAGAAGAAGCAAAGCTATACAAAATAGAGCATATGTCCCACTCAGTTACTGTCAAAGATGATCTACATAGTCTAAAATAAATTCATTTTTTCAATTTCACTGTCGTAAACTGGTTAACACGTCATCAAAATCTGTTTTTTTCCAATGTTTCTCTTTCAACACTTAGAAGTGCAAGATCACGGAGATGATCCTGTCCCGTTTGCAGATTGAATAAAACGTCGTCTCCAAAAGACACAATAAAACCAAGAAGAGCCAAAGGAGTTTCTGGTTGATCTCCAATTTCAGTGAAAAGTTCGTGGCCATTGATGTCCGTGTGGTAGAGATTTGCAAAATCTGTGCAATCTCGACGAATTGTCGAAAACGGCATTGAGGTCTTTTAGCATAGTATAATATATTTTATGTAACTCTGCCGCAAAGTACGGTACTTTGACAACAAAATACAAAACCACGTATTACTCAAAACATGTATTAACATCATTCAACCAAATTCCGTTTCCATTTGTCTCCAGCACAGAACTAATATCAACTTACATCCGAGTGCGCAGGCAAGAACTTAACGATACAGAACCACGTAATTAACCCGGTGCATTTTGTTACCTAACGTTACCAAATCAAATTTTGCTTTGTTTTCCGGCCAGATTTTTTTTGGCCATGTAATTACGATGGAAATCTGACCGTGCTATGTGCGTGATGACGTCGGCAGTCGTAAGTGGTCTGACCAAGTGTGCAGTTTGCCATGTACTAAGATTAGATGTCTGCCGCCGGTGCGATCTTGCTTGTGACCGTTTTTTACCTTTGTTGTGAAATTTTTGCCAGCCCCATTTTGGCGCCCCTGTACCTTGGCGCCCGGGGGCATATGTACCCCACTGCCCCCCCCTAAGCTACGCTTCTGCCAGTTGGGAAACGCACGTGATGTCAGTTGTCTCGTCAGACTGAATCGAAAGGAACTGGCAATTCTCAATTTCCAGAGCCAAATCGAGCAAATTATTTTGGATATCCTTAGATGTCCCTTTCGAAACAGTTGCGGCATCAAGATGATCTCTCAATACTGTATCTAGGGATGCGGTGTATTCCATCATATCCAAAAATACCCCTCTATTAGAAGAGCCAGCACGTTCATCGTGCCCACGGAGGGACAGCTCGTGACAACCAATGAACTTCAAAACATCTATCAATCGACCGAGAACATGGCGGTTTTTCTCGACCTTTTGGTTGTGCCGACGAATAGAAACCGCGCGTCCTTCATCCAACTGTGCTGCAATATTAACATTTCCGAATGTTCGGTATTTTACTGCATTGTCCAGTTGCTCCATAGAAGATCGATGATCCCTGGCACGCTCGGAAAGATGTTTAAGATCTCTAAAACCAAATTTACACCAACGTGAGTCACGGGCGGTAGCAAAAAGTAGGCAATAAAAACAAAAAAGTGCATTTTTGTCCTCGCTGTAACACAACCATTCGTGTTTTTTATACCAAGTTTCTGCGCAGAATGTACGCCGACGCTTTCCTCCGTCATGGGATTGTTCCAGTGAACAATTTTTTGGTTGATAAGGCCCAAGACGTTGTACCTCTAATCTTTGTTCCAGCGGCAGCTGCGAAAACGGAGTGCGAAGTAATGCATCAACCTTATTCATTATGAGGTCTAAGGCTAAGAAATGCGAAGCCGGAAAGAAGTGAGGTGCTCAAAAGGAATGTGGAAAATCGAAAGCAAATGGACTAAAGGTCTCTAACTGATTCAAATAGCGAAACAAGCGACAAAAACGAAGGCGAGGAAACTATCAACTCTTCAAGCAACCAACGAACGAGAAGGAATGCGTGATTCGTGAATATGTCAACACGTTGTTGTAAGAAACGTCGGCATTGTGTCGTCATAATTTCGGGGCTAGCCCCGATGATTTAGTAAAAGAAACAGAAAACAAACGAAACAAACGCGGCGAGTGGAAGATAAAAGAGAGAATACGATATACAATGAGCAACCGGGGCAAAATCGGCGTCGCCCCGTCGACGTTCGGCGAAGGCTTTGCGAGCGAAAAATGAACCATGTCGGGAGAATATGGCTAGTGTAAAAAGTCTGTGCAACCGATATTGAGGTATTTTTCGAATATTTTTTATTATACCGAAAAAACAACCGGGGCATTGCCCCGGTTGGCCCTATTGACGCGCCGCCACTGGTCACAAAACTAAAAATAATCGGTCAGTTGATCACGCATTATTATGTCCGTGGATTGGCGTGGTATTCTATAGATTGGTAATGACTAATGAGTTTATTTTGTCGTGAGTCGCCGCAACCGCGAGTTACCTTGAACACAAATGAATTGAAATAGTGAGACATTTTGAATTCTTGTAGTTGTCATAGATTGAATATTACGAGACAGAAAAATTTACGGTACGGTAGCTGTGATACCGGTGGCAGAAGAGTTTGATTCAAGGTGATGGTTTGACCATGCAAACCAGGTTATGATGTTTTGGAAACCAAATTGAAAGAGGCCCCCTCAGATAGTTCCCATTGTGTGATATGACTTATTTGTGAACATTCCTGAACTAAAGCAGAAGGTGTATATCTATAAATTCTTGAATGTATCAAATATCATGTGCGAGATGATCTTAGCTCAAACTCAATTAAATATGAGGATTTGAAAATTTGATCAGTTCGGATCAAATCGTAATGCTAAAAACATTAGTATTGTAGCTTATATGGAAACCCATCATTTAAATATGATTTTTTTTAAATAAAATCGTACCGTCCTAAAGTGCAGCAGTTAGTCCTTTTGATACAGATCATTGCTTATTTTAATAGAATATAAAATAGCTATCAGTATAATTCAATATGGCTTTTCTGATCATTTCCCTCTCATGGCCCATATAATCTAACATGCCAGAGGTCTCAAATTAAAATACAAAGACGTGACTATAGTGATCCTAATTCTGAGCACTTCATTGACCGTTTTAATTTTGTAATAGAAAAAGAAGTCTCTTGTGAGTCTTCTTATCGACCAAGTCAAAAAAGAAAAATCTCGCGGCATTGACTAGGTTTTAGGCTATTTTAAGGGGAGGGCTTATATTAAAATCATTTTCAAAACTCAGGCTAGGTCTTATTTTCAGGGTAGGTCTTATTTTAGGGGAAACACGGTAGTTCCCTTATGTGCGCTGCAAAACTGAGAGATAAACGGCCTCGTCTCGTGGCCTAGTATTTGTTTTCGGAAGCATGGACTTGGTGGGGAGGAAGACGTAACCGACCAGCGGTTACGTGAACCACCCTACGGTGGCGAGGAGTCCAGCAGTCCTCTCGCACATAACCATCCCCGCATGGGATGCGAACACGCGCAGAGTAATCAGAGATGCGGTGGCGAGCGTACTCCTAACGCTTAGCACGATAAGCCACACCGCCGCGTCGTGATACTTAATTAAAAAACAAATCGATAAATTACATACCAATAAAGCTGTGAAAATGTTTAAATTCGCCAAGTTTGTTTTTATCGCCAATTCTATCCACGCTTTTTAATCAGAGTTTAATTTAAACAACGGTATCCATATATATATACTGGAAATAGCCAAGATAATACCACTTCATAAGAACGGATATAAGCATGGTCCAAATAATTATAGGCCTATCTCGCCGCTGTCACAGGTTGCCGAGATATATGGTGAAATCTTATATTATCGGCTCAAATATGTTTTCGATAAACATGGAACTTTGAGCCTTTCCCAGTGTCCGGAACATTTATTCAACCGAGCTAGTCATTGCTCGGCTCAAAGAAATTATAATAGATAATAGCGCAAATAAAAAGATAACATGTTCGCTCCGTTTTTGGACCTTGCAAAAGTTTTTGATACTGTTAACGACCACATTTTACTAGATAAACTAGGTTGTTCGAGGGAGGGCATATCATTTCATTGCATTATATTCAAGCGATCGCCAACAATATGTTCAAAAAGGGGACTGTGCCTCTGAAACGGGCTTCATTAAATGTGGAATTCGACAGGACTCCTTGATCGGCCTGCTGGTATTTTTGTGCTACATAAACGATCTGCCTTATGCCTCTGAATTTAATCAACATCGTTTGCATTACATGAACCACCACACGACAGGAAGCAGTCGAACAATCCTCTCACATACAAATTTCCCCATAGCAAGCGTGTTTCTGATGCTTGCCACAATTCTCCCGTCGTCTTAATAACAATGCAAATATGATTTGTACTAGTATATTGAAGTTTACTGCAGCGCCGAGCGAGCCTTCAAAGTCTTTATGACAATCAAAGTTATTTTCTCATCAAATAACAGTACCAGTACTCATCTCTAACTCTGAAGTCAAATGATGAATCGTGAGTTAACGGTTTAATGTGTTAATCATCTGGCAGAGCCAAAACCCATATATTCTCACCTATGTTATAATTGCTGTGCAATCTCGAAACTTCTAGTCCCATCTTTTACAGCAATAAAGAATGTCCTCAAAGAAACAACCACACTACCAAAAACCATTGCAATCTTATAAAACGATGAAAAACATGGCAAAATCATGAAACCACTCAACAGAGGGAATCACAAACAAAAATGAATAGATGTAAATGTCAAGTTGACAAAAGTATTTACCGCAGAAAAAAAAACTTTGCAGGGTTGATCCTGACTTGCATAAACCGAAATTCCATGTGAAACACTCCGGCAAAGATGAAAGCTCCAATCCCAAACTAAAGCACATGTCATAAATCGCTTAAATCTACAAAATTTTGCATTCAATGTTTCTGGTGTAGGAAAACTTGTTGCTACAAATCCAGCAGCATTTTATAGATAGTACTTTCAGTGGAGCAATAAAATTTCAAACAATCTTACTTTCGAAATGAGAATTGGATTGGTTTCATAAATTAAATGGCAAAATGCAAATGAGAATTTCGGGATTTTTTTTTCTACATTTGATTACAAAATTTTGCTTACAGTGGATACAATAAAAGAATTACTGCATGGCTAAGCTAAATACTTCTTCATGGGCATCTCAAAAATGTCGTGTATCTCTTGTTTGAAAATCACTTCATTAGAATAACTTTCTATGAAGATAATACTTGGCATAAATTCTATGACATATGCATGCTTTTAACCATTTTCCCGTAATATACCAACTCAGTACTGTGGGACAAGTGCGCTAAAGATAAACTGGGAGATTTTCAAAAATCGCTTCAGCATCTCTTGGATTCAATTGATTGTCATTGTCATACAGACGTTGAATTATTAGCAAAAAACATCAACTTTTAAACAACTTTCAAAGTTCAGATTTGTGAAGCACTTTTCGTGTAGATAGATTAGATTTGCATTGTGAGCGAATGGATTTATCATAACTTCGCTTGGGCATGAGGATGGCATGATACCAATAACAAGAAAATTGATATTTGTACTTTTGCTCCTACACCACACAAAAGAAATAGCATTAAAAATATAGAAAAATAATGCAATGGGAAATATGAAAGAAAGTAAAAAATACTAAGGATGCAGGACTACCATCAATGTGCCAGCTATTTGAGAATAGAAATGAATGGATATATCCAATTCATGGTCTAAAATCAGAAATACAAATATACCAGAAATCTATCCCACTGCATTAAGCACCAACACACTTCAGGAAGCACAAAATACTTGATCAAAAACACAGAATGTCAAATTGATAAAAAAACTGAACGAAGCATTGCAGAAGACGATTGACGATTCTTGATAACTCATGAGGTATTGACCATGAATTCATGTACTTAATCCTCCGGAATCTGTAAAGCAACACATATCATGGATAAAAGTATTGTCTGTTGGTTGCCTAAAAAGTGTATTAGTTATAATTAATCTTGAAAAGTACTTGAAAAATTTAAGCAGAAATGCTATCAAAGTGTTTTTCGCTACTCAACTTTTGGAAGGCACTAACAAGTCCGCTAAATACAAGGTGACACTATGAATACAATTCATCATAAGAGCGGCAATAAGAAAAAGATGTTACCTGAAGCAATTTTGTTTTTCTCTTCCTCTTCTTTTCTAAGTCTGTAAGCTTCTTCAGAATATTTGCATTGTTGAGATCCACAACCACAATTGAATGAACGACATTTAATATCCCAGAATCGATTTCCATAATCAAATCTAGATGAAGTAAGTTACAAATAATTAATTATTACCAACCAAATACAATACTTAATTATCATGCCATTGTGGACAACAGTTTCGTACGATTTCTTGCATTAATGAAAGTAATGAACAATCGTATGTGATATTTTTACATATTCAGGTTGCACGTCAAAAATAATATTAGTGGCAAATGTTGTCATTACGACCTGGCATAATATCATGATTTTGTAGCAAAATGGATTCATTTATTTACAGCATTTATTGAATTGAATAAAGAGGTATAATAGAATTTGTGTTTTCCTTCAAACTCACCCTAACTCTTCACCGGCTTTAATTTCCCTTGTTGAAAAATATGCGAGTCTGGGAAATCTTTTATCGTGATGATCAATAAATACTCTCAAAGGCATCAAGTTGGGATCACAGAGATGATTGATGAAGCGTGACACATTACCATAGTAACGAGCATCAATGCAGAATATTTCAGCTTCCTAAACCGATTACAAAACCATGAAATACTAAATTTTCTGAGTTAAAATGAAATATTAAACACAATTTACTGCTGATTTAACTGAAACTAATCCTTACGCACTCAACGTAAGGGAAATAAATACTGGATATTTGTTAATCTACCTACAAGAACAATGGCTTTTTTTTGTTTAATTGTTATCAATACATGTAAATTGGTAATAATTACACTTTCAGCATTTCAGACAACTGCTAACAGAAAATATCATACAGTCCGAAGAGTTTGAAACTACTTTTGAAAAAAGATATCTTTTTCTTACACTATTTTCTAAATCAAACAGATATGAATCATCTTCACGGATATCAGCTTCAGCATCTGAAATTAGTTCTCCAACATACTCGCAGACAAATGCTCCCCATGGTATGGTATCAAGAGTTCGTACACTCCAGCCCATTGTTCTCGTCCTGTGAACTTGCAAGTTATATCTGTTGAAAAATAAAATGATGATTTTAATGAAAACATCGGTAAAACCTTGGGGATGGGCATAAAGATATCTTAATAATGAGTTGTTACTTGGAAAAGAAGATGACCAAAATGGGTAATCATTTTCCAACCTGAATTCATAATTAAACATAGCAGTAGTAATGCAACTACACATGGGTATTTACATTCACTCTGCCTTACATAGCAGGTCAACCAACCTAAATTTAATACAGATAAACATTGTCTGCTAAAGATTTCAAACTAGAAGAAAACATTTTTGCACAAAAACATAAAACGAGAATATCGGTCAGAGACCGAAGACTTATCGATCGAAAGTTAGGGGATCCCCCAAAACAGCGCTCTTACTCCATAGTGACACCTTGTGTCCCATCACTAAATAATTAATAACTCGCTAATTATACTACATAATTCATCCAAAATCAATAGGCTTCTGGTACGACATATGATGAATGCACACAGATTCAATCTCGCTTTCGTGAGATATCGCGTGCATCTAACAGACAGACAGACAAATACCTATCAACATACTTACCGATTAAAATCGACAAGTAACAACTATTTCTAACCTTATTCCTTTCTGTACAACTCTGTTATGGCAAGATGGAGGACACCAACATGTTTCACTGCATTCTACAATAAAAGGAGCATCAACGAAGTCAAACTCGGGTATAAGATGTCCTTGCTTATTGTACCAGCATTTGCTACTCATTACTCCACATAAACAAGACCCATCACTGCACTCATTGTAGCAATAGCATGACTGTAATTGAAACCAAACCAACCATTAATATAAAGTGCATTACCATCATTGTCAAAGAAAAGACGCAAGGTTACTCAATAAATTTTTTATCGATAAACAATGAAAAGAAAAATGAAGCGAGGTATGATCCTTGTGGTACGCCCCCAGATACTTCTAGATTTACCTTTATATATTTATGAACCAAGTGTTAAAAAACTAAGGAGGACAAAGGATAGTTTATAACTATGCAAAACAGTATTTTATATAAACATTTCACAACAAGAATATTTACATTAGGTATTGTACCCAATCTGTCACTGAACAGCGCCAAAATGTTAGTGAAACAATATAGCATTGCCAACACATACAAAATTTTATTACTCTCAAGTCTCCACTTTACTAAATGATGCTGACTATACTTGGGTAGTAATACATCCACTAGAATCGAAGAGCATATCCACATAATTAGAAAATAAACAAACCTGCATTTTGTTGGTAGGATTTTTCACAATTGATTCATTAGAAGTATGAACATTAGCAGTTACATAGTGAAAACCATCTGCGGCGTCTGTGGGACATGGCGCATCGTCAACAGAGTTAATACAAGAAACTGGTATCTAGAAAAATGTAATAATAAAATAAAAATATAAATAATTTAAAATTTTTCCAAAGAATAATACAAGCATACACCCATTCATCCTAAAATATTCAACATATATACAGCCCTATTTAAAAAATGATTTACATAATTCTTGGTCAAGGATGCGAAATACACACATATGAATATCATTTTTGACCAAGCTGAGCTCAGAAATTTGGAATTTTCAGTAAAAACAAGGTAGAGGGTTCTGTCCAAGATATTTCTAAAAGATAGCATTACACCATTATAATTGTGTTTCTCATTTTTATTTAAATAAACAATCAAACTTCAATCGAGCCGAGCCTCACATATATATACATAATTTTAGAATTGTAATTTACTTTTTCAAATCCCTTTGACATATCAGCACTCAATATACTTTTCCTCTGATTATCTTGTTGTCCCGGTTTGGACATTGCTTCTGCCACTTTGTGCTTAAATTTGAGCAAAATTTGAGAATCTGTATCGAGAAAAGTACACTGGAAAACAAAGAAAATAATTAGTTGAAATACAATGAATAAATAAAATATAAGCCAGTGATCCTGTGATGTCACCACTATCCAGATACTTGAAAATGGCCGAAAGTTCATATTGCAGACTTTTAATTTCAATTTCTTCGAATTTAAAACTTTTTTGTCTGGGCCACTTTTGAATGTCTGACAGTTCGCGGAGTCTGGTGTATATTCTCCCAGACTTCTTTACCTCGAACCATACCATAATGCATAAAAGTTAACAAGAATACCTCCAATGCGGTCTTTCCTTCATTATTTTTGATAGTATGATCAACTCCCCAATTCGCGAGGCAAAGTACACAATCAGCATGATCTTGTCTAGCAGCAATATGTAAGGCAGTATCTCCATGTTTATTTCTCTAAATAAATTTCCAAATGATATTGAGCATTTATTTTCCTATAAAGCATGGCCTACAATTATATTTCATGAAGGATATTTTGAACAAAGTTAGTACTGTAAAACATACAATTAAAGTTATTAAACTTACATAGTTAAAGTCACATCGTCGTTGAAGACACATTATTAAAAGTTCCAAGTTCCCTGATAAAGCAGCCCAATGTAGGCACATATTTCGCTCCTGTAAAAAAATAGTTCATACATTTTATATTAACAGGGCCTACTTTGTTATTATCTCCTTTCTAGAATTAAATATTTAGAATTTCAATATCTTTGATAATTAAGAAAACTAAGTTACTATTATCACTGACATGAGATTATATTTAACAAAATTAGTATCGCTTGCTCAATCAACAACTTGATGACAAAAAACAAAAAGATGTCAAAGCAGTCAATCTAAACAAGTCAATAGGCAAGTAGTTACATAGACTTCCTTGACCTGATTGAGTTTGTCTGTAGACTTTCGTAATGTTGGCTAAACCAAGGCTTCCAAAACTGGAAATTCCTTATCTACTACCTTATCAGTTTTGGTAACGTCCGCTCCAAAATGTTCTAAATACTTTGCAGTACTTGTGTGCTTATGTTCTGTTGCCCATACAATAGGAGTCCATCCACCATCATCGGGCATATTAACTATGTTAGAATCGTTTGAAAGCAAAGCAGCACAGGATACTATTCGACCATGTTTTGCTGCTTGATGCATACATGTCATGCCTAGAAAAATATGCTGCCATTCAATAATCATTTTAAATTTTCATTTATTGATTATCGAATAATTTTAAAATTATATGCTATACTTTATGACCGATCGAACACAGATTTTGAGTAAACCATTTGTGGGCAGGATGGTCTAGCAGTTCTAACTGTGTTGGCATTGCCCACAACCTTAGTGGGAGGAACAAATTGGGTAGTCAATGCCAAATCCAAAAGATTCAGCCATCCTTCCAATTATAATACTATCCTAAATATTGTTAGATATCAGTGGTTACTTGTATAGGGTCATGCTCAAAGTGAAAGACACAAGCGCCGTACAAAAAATCGGCGGAACATACCGGTGTGTAGAAAAAATCATCATTTGTATTAGAATTTTGCGAATTTACATCATTGTATGTCAATAAGTGTTAATGCTAACATTTATTTTCTCAACATACTGTCTGAGGAAAGATTTTTGTATGACCTGATGTTACAGAAATTAACTTCTGAGAAATCTTAATTCAACAGTGATCAACACTCTGTATACAATGCCTAATCCTATCAAAACACCTACCTTCTGCATCCTTCATACTAATATCTGCTCCATTTTCAATAAGGAAATTAATCAATCGAACATGCTCTCTTTCCTCAGCGTAAAACTGTAAAAGCAGATCAAAAGAAGAAACCATTATATCAATTTCTGACCAAATTCTTTCAGTAAATTACAATATGACAATTTTGATCAATTAGAAACTTGTATTTCACTTTGATTATATCAGAATTATATCTATAATTTCCAAAAATATAACTCAGTCATTTTCGACATTACATTACTAAGTACCTTGTGCACTGTGCATGGAACACCTTGCAAGAACCTATCGCTCTAAACCAGCTTTTCTTCAAGCAAACCAAATTTTTTTTAAATAAATTTTGTAAAACCTTGCGACCCAAGAATAAGCTCAAATACTAAACAGGATGTAGTACTTTTATGGATGCAAACTTAATGACTAATATAAAACAATCATTTTTATATAACATTTATTTCCCCAGATTTCCTGAAATGGTGGCGTGGCTTTCATAGCTAAATGCATGTTGCCAAGTTTTTAATACTTCCCACATATACAAGTACTATTGCGCAACACTTCAATACCGAACAAATTATAATATTACCAATGCAGTTTTTCCCTTTGCATCTTTGTTGTTCAATTTAACACCGACAAGTTTGAGAAGATAAACGATTGCAACGTTTCCATTCATTACTGAACGATTGAGATTCGTAGGATTTTTCAAAAGATTTTTAAAATCAATTTCCTCAGCTTCATGAAAGAACTGAATAAGCTGAAAAACATTAAAAAATTGTTTTGTTCAGCAAGTCTAGACTAAATATTTTTAATATCCATGTTAGATCATGTTTCAAATTAAAATAAACATACCTTCATTAAATCACCTTGTTGAATTACTTGAGAAACATTTTTTGGATGAATCTTTAATTTCTTATGACTGAAACAATTAGAAGCAAATTAATTCAAGCCTTATATCTGGATATTGTAACAAATTTTACAGGGTTACAACCAAAAGTGTTTTGACATAACACAAAAGTTTCAGTGAATATGTTGTACTGTTTGGCAGTAAACGGAAAATGCTGTCAAACAATCCAAACGACTAGCATAAAAGTCAATAGTTTCTCAAAGTTAGTCAGAAACCATTCAAACATGAAACATTGGAACCAGAATATACACAATATTTCAATTTTTTGAGAAGGTATGTTATGTTGCTATTACCAAATCATGCGCTCAATCAGACATCATCCATTACAGTTTGTATATTATTCTAAAATATGAAATTTCAATGTACCTAGTTTCAAAAAAATTGCATAGCGCATTCTCCACAATGTCTTTATCTTTTCCTGGAGGTAATTGAGATGTATGAACAGTAATACCAAGTCTTAAAGTCTTTACAACTCCTTCCTCTTTCAGGATTGTTGTTGTTTCCACTGTTGATTTATGCCCCATTCTTGCAGTTTTTTCTCTGTTGGGAAGATGAAATTTAACAACATCAAGGCATTCAAGTAATTAATGAAACATGATGGAAAGAGTAATATGAACTTATGGTAGTTCAATGAATGTTCGTTCTAAAATGCATGATCTGTAACTTTTTTGCTGCTGCTATATGATTTGTAACGACTTCTTTGCTGTTGACTAATTTGTAGGTTGTTGCTAGTTTCCTCATTTAGTTATATAGTCTAACCTGGCATGGGCAAACTAAGGGCCCGCAGGCCAAATCCGGCCCGTTGGGTAATTAATCTGGCCCACTTGATGCTGCCACAACCAAACTAGAACCAAATTTCGATGTTTCATTTAAAAATAGCACAAGAAATTTTCTGAGATTGCGTTCAAATTCAGTTTTTGCATGGGGCTTGTTGTTTTCCACTTTTGCTTTTGTAACACTGTGAATATTGTTTTAAAAACGTAACTTTTCAAGTCACACTTACATGACCAGAATTATGTATTTGAATATTTACTTCGATGACTGTATGGTTAAAAATCGCCAGGGTATACTAAATTAATTACATTGTGTATAGTGTATACTATCAATTTTTTGTTGTGATGACTGATTTCTGATTGACGAAACAATAAACATTCCAGTCTCTTACTGACTGTAGAAATCGGGTGAAATAAGTGACCTGTCTTGAAATTTTTAATCTAGTTTATTATCATGTTATTTTTTCTTCCAATTAAAGGTATGTTCAATACAAGTTATAAGGTCCATGCTTATCAACAAATAGTTACAGAATATGTTATTCTATAGCTTGCCACATCCATTTTTAATATTTAACATTTGGGCTGTTGACAAGGATGCTGATGCAACAATGTGCAGATAGCAATACTTAGGTGTTCTGGAATTAGGCCTAACAATCCCTAGTTTTTCCAATAATTCCTCTAAAAAAATGCTTACGCCATTCACTCCCAAACAAGACCTTGTACAGGCAGTCTCTGATATCTAACGATATGCAAGACGCTAATAATTTATGCAAAGACCAAAATCTTTCTGGTTTGGCATTGCCTACCTAATTTATTACATCCTGGGTAAAGTGGAGGGAATAAGATTTTAACCAGAGATGTGGAACTTGCAAAGCCAATATAGTTAGCTTATTTGCTTTAATCACTAGGCTTTAATCACCACTCACCAGATATGATTATCAACTTGAATTAAATTAAGTACAAAGAACAAAATTTTCTATCTTTCGAAAATACTCATTGATTAATTTGTCAATGTTGGTGAATCCAACTTCTTCTTGCATTTTCAAAACCAATCTTGGGTAAAATCACGACAACATAATTCGCTGTACCTGTTGGCAATTAAACGTTTCTTCTCCATTTTATTTGCATCAAGTCCAGCCACCAACCATTGTAATTTATATTCTTGACGAGGTTCGACAGTAACTTCACGTACTGTTGACATTGGACCACCACAATGAAGACAATGTTTTGTTTGATGGTGAAGTAACATGCAGTCTCTGTGGTTCAAATAATGAAACAGGAAATTACTTATAAAGTTTGTAAATACAGGAAAAAAGGGCATTGCCAAAAAAAGTGTATGACAATATGACTGAGAAATTTGTTAAAAATTTATACCTCAAAGGTGAGAGCATGTAGACATGAGTTCCCAAACGTGCAGAGCTAAATGCTTGTTTTGAAAATGATTAAATGTAACTAATGGACTCTCAAAATAAAGTAGGAGTTGGCAAAATTGCAAACTCAAGACCTACATGTGACATACACACACAAGACCTATATATGTTGACAGATACTTGAGAGAAATGGATAATTTGCACTTTGCAGTACCGATATTAGGATGTTCACGGCCTAACTTAGGCATGCTGATGAAAACAACCAGCAAATATAACTTTACAAAAGCAAAAAAACTATTTTGACTTTTTCAGAATTCCGAAAAATATCAAAATGGGGGAGGGGGTTGAACTCGGCTACTTCACTGACTATAAAAATATTTTAACTTAGTCATATTTACTTATGAAATCTGTGAGGACACTCTGATGATTGCACACAAATTAGGTAAGTTCCTCCTGCACAGAACATTCCACAACCAGTGCAACATTCGTGACGAAGCATCCTTTCTCTAAACATTGAACAAACAGAGCAGACAATAAAGTAAAGTTTTTTTTTGAACTTCTTGAAAGACGCTCTTTCATATTCCATTTGAACTGAAAATAATGTACAAAAAAGAACTCGAAATCTCCACTATTTGAAAATCTTCCGCAAAAGGCCTATTATATACTTACAAGAGACCACTACCTAAATATGTGGACACTAAAATCAACTACCGCGACATCACAAAAAAATTCAAGCCAAAGGATAAAAAATTGTACTGATAACATATGAAGTTGTGCCTGAGAATTATAAAGAGCAAAATTTAGATGAAAACGACAGCCTTCTGGGTCTTAGACACTTCTTCCATCTTCTAGTACTGAAATCGTAAAATGAACTTCTCTTTTAGTCATAAAGAAGAGTGATAGTCCACAATACCAACCCTGATACCCTACCCTAAATTTTACCCTGGTATGAACTGTCCATAATTAAACAATATTTACCTGTGTTCATCACACAGTGCAAGCAATGGTGAATGGCGAGATGATCTCATCATCATTGGAGTACTAACAGAGTTTATACATTGTGATAACTGAAAACAATGCAAATTGTATAAATAGCTTTGCAAAAGCATAATAGCTTAGTACATGGTTTGTGTTGGAGGTCCCAGGTTTGAGTTATAGCCTAGGGATTTCCAAGCACTTTGAAACACAGGGGTCACCAAACTACGGCCAGCGCCGTCATTTTATCCGGCCCGCAATAACACGCAAAAATGGCCAAATATTTTTCCAAGAAAAATTTTCCCGAGCATCGTCTTCCTTGTTTATTTCCTAACATTGGCCAATCAGCAAGATGCAAAAAAGTGACGTAATAATGGGCCTTATCGCATCCGCTCGGACACTTTCGTCACCCTGACAGATTTTCAGTTGTGATTGTAAACAATACTTCGTTTTTGAATGCTATTCGTTAGTTTCTGGTTGTGTATCCCTCACGTACTGTAATCCCTCACGTACTGCTCCAAAGTCACACTAATTTTTGTACTGCTTAAATGCGGATACTCATGTAGGTAAGTTACAAAAAAATTAAAGTTCATTCGATTTGAATAAAACTGCGCCAGTGGATAGATCTGAGCGAAAATAAGAAAGCAATACCCAGTTTATAAAAAACAGTCAAGAAATAACAGAATTTTAGTACCGCCCGACAGGCCAATTTTTTCCATAAGGATTGTATAACTTTCTTGATAAGAACTGTAATAAATATGAAAAAGAGCACATATCAATCACTAATCTTTCGAACTGCGTCACATCTATGGAATATTGAGACTGTTTCACGATTTCAATCTGGCCGTTAACGGTGTTGACACCGCCGAAAGATTGTCGCAAATAAACGCTGGAGTTCTGCATGTTAGTTTGACAGTGGTTCATTGTGGGTAATAATTAATGATGTTCTGATTGTACAAACTTCATAAAAATTGGTACGTATCAAGTTAGGAAAAAAATTCACAGACAATATCATTAATTTGCACCCCGTATAACTTGAGCGTAATTTTAAAAGCTCCAAATGTTGGGAAATTTATGCGCTAATGAATAAAAATCGAATACCGGATAATAGTTGTTTATTTCATCTAAATTATGCCAAAATTTCATGAAATTTCATGCTTCAGCAGGCAGTCAGTAGTCGTTTGTATGAGCCGTATCCCGTTCCGACACAGCGTAAAGGTACTTAGCCTACGTGATGCGTACATTTTTTGGCACGAAAAAGCGGATTTCGTAACATTCCTAATTCATGACTGCAACGTTTTGATAACAGGTAAACTCAGGATTGTCGTCTATATATAGAAATCTTGTATATTTGTTTTCCTAGGATATTCTCGATCTATATTCAGCGATATATATAGAATTTAATATTCAAGTCTTCAGAAGTGTAGAATATGTATTGTTGAATAAATTGAATGGATTTCCCAGTTATTGTAAATTTATTGTATTGCATTGACAAAAATATTTGTCCGGCCCGTTTCAACACAGTTTGAGTCATACCCGGCCTGCGGTCAAAAAAGTTTGGTGACCCCTGACCTAACACAAAGTTCCAAAATAGAGCCGAACACAGAGAAAATAACCACAAATATTGAATATTTAAAAAATTTTGAAACACAATTCCAAAGATGAAAAGTTTTCATTGTGACAGACAGAAACTGTATCAGGTGAACAGATTAAAATTCCGCTAGATGTTAATAACATTTCAACCTTTTCTCTATTGAATTGTAAAGTTGAATCGAAACTCGAAAAATAAGGGTGCGGTGAGCTAATGGTTGAAACCCCCCCTAACTATGGAAGCATCGTGGGTAAAATCTGTTTAAATTCACAAGCATGACTTGAAAAATTCATGTATATTCATTCATCTCTTTTATTTTAGATTTTCAAAAATTCAGAAAAGACTTGTTTTCCTCGCATCACACCAAATAACAGAGACAAACATGTTAACTCGCATATTTTTATTCATCTCAAATTCGAATACAATCAAGAATCAACAGTGAACTCACCCGACCATCAACACTGTCCAATCCCATACATTTTATTGGATAAACACCAGTATGTAATATGTGAGGACTCTTCTCTAAACATTTGCATTTTTCCACTGTACTATGAAATCCAGCAATTTGTTCATGTGATTGTAGTTCTGTATCATTGTCCTGTTATGGATGACCAGAAAATTGCAATTTTTATATTGGATCTTTCTTGTTTACTTATTAATTTCCTTTATTTATAAATAGGACAGGGCATTTTGACAAATACAATAAATATCTTTCAAGTAATCTAGATTCAATTCGAAAAAAAAATTGCTTTGATTTTGAAACCATCAGATATTCAAATATGCCTCGCCCTATTTAAAAAAGGGTATTATCAGCTGACATAACAATCTGAATTTGACAGGTTGTTCAGACACATTTTTAGTGACTGACTAAATTTAGATCATCGCTTCGATTTAAAATTTACATCATAAGTTTCGAAAAATGAGAATAGAAGGTCAAACACTGACACTGTATTACATATTAAAATGTAGCATATAAATTGAATTGACTTGAGAGTTGAGAGCGAAGGTTTTACATAACCAGTTTATTTACAACATACCCTGACATTTGGAAGTATAAAATTTGAAGTTGCACTTATAGTTGAAAAGGGCGTTGTCAATGTTTCTCCAACTTTTGGACTGTTATCTCCAGGTGGTTGATACACATTGCGAGTTTCTGAAGAATTCTTTTTGTACTAAAATATAGAAACAACAAATTAGATTATTTGAAATTAACAATATACATATTATGCCGAAAAATATGGATATCTTTTCATTCCCTGTTTCAATACACCTTTATAAAACACACACCATTCATTCATTTCACCATTTTTATTCATTTGAAATATTTCTTCCACAAAAGGTTCCACAAAATTTGTTTATCAGTACAAATCTTGTGCAGCTACTCCAAAAATCCCACCCATTATCTAAATGACAGTCTAATTGTCAATATGGAGAATGATATTCAAATATCGGTTGGGACAATCGACCATAATATTCTCATTCCTATTCCTAACTTTTGAAAGGGGGAATAAAATTTCATGTCAAAAAATAATTGTCCCTCAAGACAGCACACATAATCGAAACAGGAATCTGACTTATGAATGTCACAAAAACAATACAACAATCCCATTCATTGAAACCTTTAAAATATTCTGAATAAGAACTTCAAAAATATACTTTTTTTTTGTATTGCATTAGGTCAACAAGAATGGAAATTGGGAAATCATTGATCAAGCCTGTTCTGTTGTTGATTGTATTGGAAAGGTAGAATTCGCCATAACAAAGTCAATGAATAGTAAGGGACGAAGGAATTGACAACTTCCTTCAATTTATTGAAATGATATAATATTGCAATTCTAGCATGGAATACTCACTCTTCTCTTTGTTCTACCTTTCCATAGAAATGGATCCTTTGGACGTTTCTTCTTTACAACAGCGGCTGGTACAGTGGCAGGTTCGATATTACCATCTTAAGAATAATAAGTGCAATTTTAAAAATGGATGACATTCACATATTAGCGAAACTGGACCGAGTAGAAAAAGCATTGCGACATACTGACCAAGTGCATCGCTGTTTAGAAGATATATATTACATAAGCTTGGTGGTCTCGCAGGTTGAAATCCCATGCCCACCACCTCAACCTTGAGTGTGATAAATTGGGTAGACAATGGCAAACTGGAAAGAAATCGGTCTATTCAAAAATAAAACAGCTCTTTATATATCAGTGACTGCTGTGCAGAGCCTTGCTCGGAGTACTCATATTTCAATTATCGGATTTCTGAAATACGAACCTTACGTTTATAATAACAAAATATAAAATAGGAAAATTCGCAATGACTCACCAGTTGCATCTTCTGTACTATTATTTTCCACAATATCTGGCAGAATTTTGTTTGGCTGCGATGTTACTTGAATCACTGACTATAAAAAAGAATAATTTTACAAATCAAATTCGAAAGAACCTAAGTAAAAAGAACATGGAAAACAGGAAAATACAACGTTATTTGGTTGATATGCTATTGAATATTCCATTAAAAACCCTACATACTTATAAATTCAAATTCTAGTTGAGTGCAGTAAGGAGAAAAAAAAATATGTTATACAGGGCAGGCCCCAAAGGGTATAAAAATTTAGTTCAAATAAGAGCTCATAAATGGTATTCTGAACATTATCATTTATTAACGAAAAATTGTTACCTGCAGGTTTTAATAAACAGATCCAAGACATAGGCTACTAAGCGTAGAACAAAAAAAGTGAACATTGATATTATCTTTTAAAGTAAGTTATAACAATCCAAAATACAATATAATATAAACTGATTTTGACAGCTTGCAATTTTCTTACAATATTATTGTGTCATTCAATATTAAAAATACTATTATTTACTCAAGAATCCCAAAATAATATATGCTGTGGCATAAAGATTCCATAATTATGTAATAATTTCACGAATTTCCACAGTTTAAGTAACTCAGAGTCAAATTCAAAAGACCAATCACATCAACAGTGCCTCTGTAAGAAAGGTAGTAAATGCTATATTCACCTTTGCATCTGGGCTCAATCCAGCTTTAGCTCGTATTTCATCAAGTTGGCTTTCCAAACTAATGCTTCGATTCGATTTAGGAATAGATTTTCTTGCACGATTTCGTTGAGCAGTTCCAGGACTGGAGAACAAAATGCATTATTGTTATAAGTTTGATTCAACTCAAAATGAATGAGTAAATAAAAATTGAATAATTAACTTATAATATAACTGTGGAGTCGAGAATCGATACACCACAGTCATGGAAAAAGTACGCTGGAATGAAACTCCTACTTCATTTTTAAAAATGCTCTCCAACATTACTAATAACAAAGATAAAAAGGTACAGGATTTGAAATGACCAGAATTTTTTTGGTTTAAACCACTAATAAAGAGGAGCTGAACAAACAGTTGAAATAACCAGAAATCTTGGCCTACAATCCAAACATTCCAAATGTACTTCCCATTAAACATTTGCATTTTCTTATTTAACCTTTCAAGAATAATAGGGTATGATTTTCATTTTATCCCAGGAGAGAGAAAAGTCGATAAAACAGCCAGTCTCTCATCATAATAGTTGAAAAAAAAATTGAGAACAGATAATCAGTCATCGGTTTCAGCTGCTTGAAGGTACAGGATTTAAAATTAAATATGGATAAAAAAAATAATAAATATGAATATTTCTTAACCGTGTGACTAGCCTATTATTTCCATACCAAAATTTACTTACCTTACAACCATATTTTTCTGTGGACTGCTAACTGGAGAATTAGGAACATTTGTTGGAAATTGTAAAGACGGTTTAATAATTTTCTCCTTATCAACTTCATTTTGAGCTAAAAAAAAATGCTCAGACATATTATTTCAAACCACAAATACCAAAATGTTACAGTAAAATTGACGCTTATGCACATATTGTAAGTCTTATTACAAATTTAAAAATATCATACCAGATGTCCTAAACTGTAAATTAATTTAAACTTAAATCAAAATTATTAATGACATTCAAAGGATGTATTTTGGGATAGTGAAATATTTGTGGTGCATAATTCAGCTGAAAAACTCCAAAAATTGATGGATAGACATCTTTTAATGCAATATTTTTTTAATCTTGAGTTGAACACCCAAAAAAACTTGCACAACAAAACCTACTTTGATCTGTTTTCTTCTTGGAGCTGGTAGTTGGAGAATTATCATAACTGACTGGTAGTAAACTTGCACTATTCTTAAGATCGTCATGCATATTTTTATGGGGATCAAAATCCTGAAAAATAAAAAAGGAGGAAACTAGGAATGGAATTATTTGGCACCTTATGTATATGAAAAAATAGAGTTTTAGATAACCAGATCCATATATTTGTTAGTTTGGCTTTGTCAGACAAAATAAAAAATACGGTCATAAAATTTGTGAAGTGTGATTTAACACCCAGTGTTATGAATGCTCAATTCATTAACTAGAGTTGAGCTCGAAGCACCATATATCAAAGACTTGAACTACTTGAAAGGCTCGTAACTCTTGGTTTATAAACTTCTACCAAACACTGGCAAGTCCTATGAACCACTCAAATTATTCATATCAAACATTAGAAGATCAGTGTTGTTCATGTCCAACATTAAATTTTCATATTCCATGAACTCATACTCACAGGCAAAGCAGCAATTTTGTTTAGAAGTGATTGTATTCGATCAATGATTTCAGAAACCTAAATGAGAAAAAACATGGATTTGTTCAATTCTTTGGCTGTGATACATACCCTTTCACTTTTGATTGTTGGCTTTTTTAATATTAAATATGACTATCATACTAACAAGGGGAAATGCGTCAGAGGCAAAAATAGAGATAAATATGCGGTGAACTGATCTTTTTTTAAGGAATTGTACACTATAAAGGTGAATATTACCTGAGATCTCAGTTAATAGTCAAAATAAATCATAACCGTTAACCATCTAAAATCGGTTACCCGGTTAATAATTCCCAGCCCTAGCTATAATATGCCACAGTCAAATGGTGGTTGAGTCGAAAGAGGGCTGGTTGTGTAAACAAAAAATTGTACATAACTAAAACATGTACGGTAACTCATCCAAATAAAAATATTTATGCATGTTGAGGCATTATGCCAATTACCAAACCACAACCTCATACTTGATACCAGTAGATAAATTTATTATTATGTAAAACTCTAATCACTTCTCTATTAAAATTATTTTAAAAATGATATTACACAAACCTTAACCAACATTGAATTACATTCAGCCTGTGATATTTTTTCATGTAAATCATCAACTGATATATTTTTATCTTGACATATTTCTTGTAAAACCAGTCTGAAATTATATGCGTCTTCATAGCCCATGTTATTCACATTAATCACAATCCCAATGAATCTCTCTGCTATTACTGAAAAATGTAACAAAAAATTACCTTGGTGTTAAAACAGAGTGGACTTGAAACATTAATTTTAGCAATTTCATGACTCATATATGACAGAAAAGGTAAAAGTAATATATAATGCAAAAAATTGAGTTGATAGATGTAAAATAATAATAGGGATTCTGCCATATTAAGATCATCTATTCCTATTGGCAAAAATTACCAAATTATAGTGCAAATACTCTGAATTGAATATTGAAAAGAATGGTCAAAAACCAAAAAAAGGAAAAACACAAATAAAGTATATATGTGCGTACATTTTGATTTTGGATCATAATAATATGATGGATATTCCGATTGTTTCAATCCAAATAATTTCCTTATATGTCTTGTACATTCTTCTGTAGTTTGTAACCAAACCACAGGACATCCTCTGCTTAAATATGACTTGATTAATGTGATATGTTTACATGGTATCACAAGTTTGACAACTTCGGCAGAATCTGAAAAGTAGTAATCATATTTGAATACTTGAAATGTGTATGGGAAGGCACTCAGTAGTTTTAGGGTCAGTAGTAAGTAGTAGATATTTAAAATGAAAAATCTAATCAGGTTTACCAGATACAAAGGTGAATAAATTGAATGATGGAGCCGTAATTTGTCTCTGGTATTAGATGATGAAATATTAGTTTGCATCTGAAATGCATTTCAATGAAAACACAGGCACTGCTTTTAACTAAAATGGATACAAAAATGCAGAAAAAAAGATGCTAAAATAATAAATTAATGGTGGAAGGTTGCTATGCAAAACAAAAACCTCCTAAATTATTGAGGTTACGTACATCCATCCCTGCATTCAGAACACAGGAACATGAGAAATCAATTGCAAATCAGAAACCATACTGCAATATTTGAAAATCTGATTCAGTAGGTTGGTATTCCTACTGCAGTACTATATTTACAAATAAATTGTTTAGGAGCTTGGAATATGTGCTGGTATATGCCAGGATACTCTTTAATTTAGTGTCAATAAAATTGTTAAAAATATGTTATAAGATTAGTATTAGCACTGTAGCGGTCTGGCGTAGGCATGCAGAAATGAAAGTACATAATTTTGATCAAATACTTGATAACAGAATTATGGAGTCAGAAATTCCAACTATCAGTCAGGCAGATGTATTGTCTGATGGTACAACAGAAAATATAAGAATCACAGAATCAGGCAACAGCAATTATCTTATTAAAAATAAATTAATAATAAATATGCCACTCACCACTTTCAGAATTTATATTCACAGAAAACTTCAATCTTTTTTTATCAAACTTGACTGGGTGATTATCGCCCAGAGATGACGAAGTTTTCGTTCCTATACGCACAGTCCGAAAAGGAAAGCTCACATTTATAGGTCCATCAGTTATCATTTTTCCTCTCAGATAGTTACTATCTAATGGATCAAATTCAAAGCACAGATAAAAATGTAAAGAATTAAAATATTCAATACTAAAATAATATTCCATAAAGGGAATAAATTAAAAAATTGTATAGATACATAGACTGGGTCTGGTATAGTTTAGTACCACATGTACTTCTAGTTGGCCTGGCTCAACTATTTTTGCATATGTCAATCCTAACCCCTACCTGACAACGTCACCGAAAAATTACGTCAGTTCGACGTCACAGTGGCGTAATAAGGCCCACCTAAGTATGCGGAAGGTAGTCAAAAACGCGCAGACAATCATCCGAAATCGAGCAAGCTATTTCTCTCGTTTTTCGTCACGACGATCCCGATAGGAGAGAGATCGCCGGCGTTAGCGAGTTCGTTATCGGCGGCGCAGATGCCATTTCGGGCGATCATAATTATACTTTGACAAGCCCTATGACGTGATGATGACGTCGTAGTGACGTAATTTTTGGATGGCATAGTCAGGTGGGGGTTAGGAATAACATATGCAAAATTCGTTATGCTATGCCCATTGGAAGTACTTGTGGTATCAAATTATACTAGAGCCCATAGACTATATAATGGCATCTGGGTAATGAGGTACAGAAGATACACTTAACGGTTTGCAGACTGTTCGGCCCAGACCTCTCGTTGGCCTATAAATCCACATGTTTAGATGTTTCAAATAGATTGTTTATCTTGAAAACTCCATAATACACACAAATGGAGAAATCTTGGAGAGCGACAGCCTTTAAAACAGTTTGAAACAAAGTTTGACAAAAATATCAAATAGTCTACAGCCAAATTCTGAAATTGCAAATGAATGAAATTCTTCAATCCAAATACAGAAGCACCGGTACGGTACTATTCTGCTATTTGATAATATATTTACAGTCAACAGATCAAAGTCAACCGTGCTTTATACTCGATAGCTATATAAAAATACAGACTATGTCCCAATAGTGTAATCTAACAAATTCACTAGCTCTAGAGCAGTAGAGCAATCGCACATTAGCACCAACTGTTGTACTGTCCGACTGTAAAGAAGCCCTGCCGGAGAACCAGAAGCAAAGTCAAACTCGCGCCGATCGGAAAAACCAAAGTGACAACTCGCATGGAGCGCTGCAGATAGTGAGAGAGAATATTTCACTTGTCAAACCAATGACAAACCAAGAAAACACAACTATGACTATTTTATATCCCATGGATGGCAAACCATTCTAACATTCAAGGTCTAAAGTCAAAGCTGGCAATATTACATCGTTTGTGATTTAACAATACCAGATCGGTCAGTTAATCGCAATTTGCAACTCGTCTTGTTGAAGCAAGTTCGCTTCGAGGGCAGGGCTGCGAATTTAGATGTTTTATATCTATATTTAGAATCTAGATAGTTTCGTACGAGATGTAAAATTTGAAGTCTAAATATTTTTTCGGCGTGCTAGATATTATTATTTAGAATTAAATGTAAGGTTGATAAATAAGGATTATTTGACTTCATCTGCTGCTGTTTACAGCTATTTAGGTGTCGCTGACACGTTAACTTTATAGTTTATTCGCGACTCCTCGTCTATTGCAGTCGAATTATTGTACGTCTGATATTTCTTCTCTCGATTTATTTTTACTGTTTATTTGTACAATATTTCTTGCATGACGGAAATAAATATCTGAATCTGAAAATCTTAGTCATATGGATGTTTCCCCAGCATCCATTTCCTTGTTTACTTCTGTAACAACGACTAATCAGCTATAAGTAAACAGTGACGTAACCATTTAAATTGGAGCGGCCGCTCAGATACTTTGTCCGCTCCGACAGGTATTCAAGCATGGTTTTAAACATTGCCTCGTTTTCGTGGTTTTGCGTGTTATTCGCCAGTTTTCGGTTGCGTTTCCAACAAGTAAAAACAATCATACAATATTTAAAAAATGGAGGAAAAGATGCAACAGCTAGTTCTCATTGCTGCATACACAGTGGCGTAGCATCCACCCCCGCGGTCGCGCCCACAGCGCAAAGGGGCCCAAGCGGTTGGAATTTAGAAATTTAAGCCGCAAAACCAAAAGCTGCATTGCAAAACCAGTAATGCACATCTTATAACGTTGATGTTAGTTCTGCTCAAATCGTTTTGTTGCGTAACAATGCCAGGGAGTCGTAGATTTTCGGCGTCTTGTGGACGTGGTTTGATCGCACCGGCAAAAGTACGAAGGCTGTCAGAATGATGTCAAAAGCAAAACCTCTCAGTGGCGCACAGAAACGCAGAAAAAGGGCAGAAGCGAAAAAACGTATAAAAAAATTAAAGTAACCAGGATAAACGGCAAATTTTAGGTTACCATTGCCTTTTTATAGCGACATGTTATGCTTTTTGACGAAATAAAAAAAGCGTTGTTTTAGCTTATGTCCGAGAGTTTTTAGGGTCATTCCCACGAAATAGAGTCCTGCTACGCCACTGTGCATACATTGATTAAATATATATGACCCACAGTCTCATTTTTCATAATAAAAATTAGACCCATTCATCCTAAAAGGTTTGCCATCCCAGGTATAAAGTATGTCGCTCTAAGGTGCAGGGAGTAAACTACAACCAGAGTTACGCGCGTTAGGACGTTTTCGCAGGTCGTATGTATATTAGAATATGTGCCGATTTGCTCGGGGCTACGTAAAACGCAAATAGAATAAATAGTAGTGCAAATTTGCGAAACTGACCGCGCCATCTGTTCATGCAGCGAGACGACGCAAAAAAAAAACATAGCTGGTTGATACCAAAGTGACTATAATCAGTAGTCACTTTAGTTGATACGTCGGGGTGCTTGACCAAAGAATACTGAAACCAGGAACTACGGGTACATGGCCGAGCGGATTATATAAACAACACTCATACTCTCACTCAAATTACAAAAAGAAGACTTTCAAGAATAAATAATTAAATCAGCGTGTAGTGGTGTCAGCATATAACTACTGGAAGAAGGTGTTTTGCTCACAGTCGCAGGTATCACAAGGATAACTATAAAATACAAGTATTATGACCAGTTTATTAATGCAGTAATGAGACAGATATTGCGCGGCAGCACTGATCCAATGAGATGCTATACCGTACTGTATTTCGACGTACCTTTTAGCGTTGAAATTGCATTTTTTACTGGTATGAGGAAATAAACAAAGATGCGTATTTTACCATTTAATACTATAGTTATCTGTTTATACCAGGGGCGGGCAAGGTTTTTAACCAGGGGCCGAAAATGTTGTCCACCTAGTCTGGCGGGCCATGTAAGTGTGATGTAAAAAGCTGTATTTTATGAACAATATTTGCAGTTTTACAAAGCAAAGGTGGAAAACAATATGCCTAGTGCGAAAACTAAATTTAACCGCTAATCTAAGCAAATTCCTTGAGCTATTTTAGATAAAACATCAAAATCTTGTTTCAGTTTGGTTGAGGTAGCATCAGGCGGGCCATAATGAATTACCCAACGGGTCGGATTTGGCCCGCGGGCAGTAATTTGCCCATGTCTGGTTTCTACCAACGCTCCATTCTATTATGGGTTAGAGTTAAATAACGATTGAGTTTAAAAGTCTCTCTGTGAACGGACGCTCGGATCGTAGTATCATCAATTTCACGCCAGAAGGTATTGGATTACAGGATGTTACTGAATTCAAGTGCCAATGTCAAATATCAATATGGCAGCGAAAACAAAGATCTTTTTAAGAAAGAGGCAGGCAATTTTTTTACGTTTGTACCCATCACCGTATAGGATTTGTCAGTTATTTAAATCAGGAAACGGATGGCAAAGTCGACATAATTAATGTTTGTATTCAAATTAACACTATTCTTATTATGTGTCGTGTTAATCTCTCGCAATCGCAATACAGACGGCAGCCAAATTAGCGTCTCTTCAGTTGCAACTGACAGTCTAATTCTGAAAATACATTCCTCGCAATAAGCTACTACTTGACAGCGACGCCAGTACACGGCATCATATCATAATATTTAAAAACATCTCCGGGCGTCTGGATAGAGCTATTGTCCCGCAACCCTTTCCATGCTTCGCAAACAAACTCTTCGATGAGCGCATTAAAAAATCAGGTCACTCCAAAGTCTAGGTGAATTAAACATCAGCCTATTTTGATAGCTGGTTCATAGCTACGCAACTTGAGTACAAATTGGTATATTACAGAAAAGGGTTTTATTTTGTTTCGATTAGTACCAGTAACAGCGAGGTCTCTCATGAAAATCAAAACTGCAAAGTTTTTGCAATAACTTCCGGTCAAACAACGATGATAAAACCGTACCTAGCGCAAGTGTAGCATATAGAATCGTAATCAACAGTTTAACACGTCGTACGATTTATTGCCTAATAATATCTGAAGAGAGATATGGTACTCTATTCAGCAGTAAGTGAGCATTCATATAATAGAACAGTGTGTTGTCTGATACGAGGACGATAACGCAGTGGGTTGTAATAAACTAGCTTAAAATAAATATAAAGTAGTGATTGGTAGAATCAATGGATCTTTTGTACAAGGCCCCGCCACTAATTCAAAAATGTGATATTTTTGAAAAACACCCTGTCACATTTTTAAATATCAAATTAATAATTATCCAGTTAGGATAATTCCCAGCACAATTTGCATTCATACCCAACTAGATAATTACTAATATTCTTATTTTGAGCGTTGGTGGGGGCTTTGTACAAAAAATCCGAATCAATATGCTACATACCATTTTCTACTCCTTGTTTCACTTGTAATTTTATTATGATTGATCAAGTATGGGACGTTTCCCTATAATTGAAACAATTACGTTTTTTGCATCTGCAACATTCTACACTCTACATACAATTGAGAATGAATATATTTATCAGGTGAGAGAATTTTTGTCTCCGTCGTTGGTTTTGTATAAATGAAACGCGACATAATCTAAATGTTCCTGGTGGGAAAACCGTCAGTAATAGTAAGAGGTATACTGAGCCACGACGACCAAACGGCCCATACCGTTAAATTTGCTGGTATCATTGGGCCACCTCCGATTGTCGTGTAGTCTAGCCTCACACATTATTATAACGCATTAATTAAATTCATCCTTGATTGTTCATGTTTTTTTGCAGATGGTCTCTGAATCGCACAATTTTACATCGAATCATTCCGTGAAATATTGCGAAGAAGTTGATAATGTCACACAAGTAAGCGACAATGAACAAGTTATCGCAGACGGAGCTTCCAAGCAAGTGATTTTTCTTCAATGCATTTCAAATTATATCAAGTTTCTTGGCCCATTTCGGGCACCTTAAATGAATCAACTCAACGAAATCTGCCATAAACTCGACTGTGTTGTACTAAGTAGCAAATATCTCTGTCAAATTATGATTTATAGGCCTACCAGTAGTTTTCAACCGTCGGTCCGCGTCAACCTTCCTGCCGGCCCGCCAAATATATTCCAATATTATTTATCATTTGCAAAATACAGGGTATTGATGGCCTGCCCATTCACTTCGTGAGTTTTACCTCCGTAGACCAAACTTGGTCAAAGGTCCTTCGCCCATTTCAAACCCTGAATGGCTGGATTTTTTGTTTAGTCTATGACGTCATAAAGGCGAACATCATAGCTCGGTGACATTACCATTGAATTACTGCTGATTATTCATACAACTTACTTATGCGAGAAAAACTTTTCATCGTTATATCTCATCAAGACGAAACAGAGAAACTCTGTGGAAGTCAACGCTATATCTCGCTACGCAGAAACTTCATTAGAACCGTGTTCAACACGTGTAATATCCAAAAAGACAGCAGCCAATTTCTCATTAACTGAATTGTCAGATTCTGAATTGCACATTTCCGCCGTAATTACATTCGTTTAAATTATGTTTTGTGTGTTTGACATTTGGGGTTGATTTTGAGAATTCGCCAGCCCGCAAAATTAGTTTTGAAATTTTACCGGTCCGCAAACTAAAAAAGGTTAAGAATACGTGTTTTGCTAAATTGATTAATGTCTCTCACATTGCCATGCTAATGATATGTTGATATCATCTTTCGATGTTGCACTACATTTTTTCAGTACTGAAAATTGCTCATTTCAGGTGGTCAATGTACACGAAGATAGTTCTGTACACATCCAATGCAATTTCATCTTTAATTATAACAGCTTGGAGCGACAGCATTGGACGGAAACGAGCATTGGTCTTCCCTCTTTTGGGTTGTTTGCTTAGCTCGACTATGCAAGCATTGATCATATTATTCAGGTTATAAAATTCATGTTTTTCGACATATGGATTATAATTAGGCAATTACATCAGCTTTTTTATAGTCATAATTTGTTTATAATATAATTTTTTCCTAAATAGTGTAATAATCCTAAGAAGTGGAGAAGTAGCTTACTGTATCTTGTTTATCCAGTATCCACGTTATTTGAATATTCACAGATTGCCGCTGCATTTTGTTGTTATTAACGCCTTATCCTACGGCTTATCTGGTGGTTATTCGACTATGATCGACGTTGGTACTGCTTATCTCAGCGATACTGTTCAAACAGAAAAAAGAGGCAGGAGGTGACGGTATTTTCTAAACTTGATTTCTAAATTTATGAGTTGATAGATAACAATTCTACTTTGTTATGATGTAAGAATTTATTTTTTACCGCATAGATGACATAATATATTAATATATATATATATAGTGGTAATATTTATTTCCACCGAAACACTGGAAATTGCTGTGGTTTGGCATTTGCATATTTCAGTGACTTCGAAAATCGATGCCCAACGACGAGAAAAGTACAAAACACGTTTTACTATATACAGGTATACTATTTTGGAAGTTACATCGTCACTTGGTGGAGGTTTGGCGTTGATGGGAACTGGATACTGGATTAAATATCGCGGGTTTGTCCCGTCATCCTTCCTTCTTGTCGGTTGTAGCATTGTCGCCCTCATTTTGCTTCCTTTTCTCAAAACAAATAAACCAGGGTCGCATAAGTTGGCCGCAATCGAGGAAGTCGTCCAATTAAAGTCTGAAAAACTTTCAGTTGTTGGAGATGAAACTGAATGTACAATTACTGAAGAGAAACTTGACAAAAATGAAAATTCAAAACAAAAACCGTCGGGTTGGATTCAAATTAAAGAAGTTAAAAGAATATATTCCTCGGATTATAGTAAATGCGATATTTGTGATGATACTACAGTTAATGGTAAGTCCTGGAACAAAGCTTATAAATTTCGTTGTCCTAATATATCGATATGATACAACATAGATCCTTATTTATATATATAGCAAGTACAGTAATACATTCGTTTCAATTAGGAGATACGTTAGTGAAGCTAATATGCTCCCAATTTAGTTTTCCATATAATATCTTCATAAAAGTTTGTATTTTCTTTCTTTCAAGGTAAATCTCTGAGCGAATGCGCACACGGAGGAGGATATAGGGAAGGACGGGTGTGGAGACTGTGGTTTTATTTAATGGCCTTTGTAACTTACATGTTTGTTATGAATGGAATCGATATTTTTCAAACGATGTATTTTGTCTCCAGCCCTATATGTTTTACTCCTGAACTTGTTGGAGTACAAAACGTGAGTATTTTCATCCTAAAACGAGTGTACATTCCAAGAAAGGCATTTTAATTTGCAATATCTTGATCACTACAGGGCATAGACGCATGCACCATTATATTCTCTCCTTTCATCGTCATTTTTTATGAGTCAATTCTACATATGAATAGTCAGACCATGTTATTAACTTCAATAACCGGGCGGCTTTTAACTTCACTGCTGATGTTTTTTGCAAATGGTGCTACATTAGTCTTCGTAGGTAAGTTTCTAATTTTAATCCCTTATTGATATATTCCAGGATATTTTTAAGAATTGGCACAAATTGTTTCTAGTTTAATTTTGAAAAGAGGAATTTTATTCCAACTACTCGCTGTTGACGACACCAATCTATCCAACGACTCATAAACGGGTTTCTCATATATTGATAAACATTTATTTATTACAGCCACAAGTATTGGCGTTTTCAGCAGTATAACTACTCCATACATCCGATTGAGAATCTCTAGTCTTGTGTCTACCTCTGAGCAAGGTGATATTTTTATTTGATCTTGAGTTTTGTTATGTGAGATTGCTCAATAGCATTATATAATATTGTATATTGTCAAAATATGTTCACACAGAGGCGTTAAAACACCCGAAGGTGACGATTGGCTAATTGCAAGTTCGTATAATTGATTTTTATCCTATGCAACCACTGTGCGTGCCGCCCTGACGACCCAGGCACGTAGTACTCTTTGCATTTGGTTCATAACGAATAATTTAACTGCTTTCTGCTAGGTCCTGCTCTCGCATTAGTATCTTTTGCAACAGAAATCATCAACGCATCTTCTGTAGTATTTTTGGTGATTTATCCATCGACTTTATACATTTCTCATGGATTTACTTGGCTGGTGACCGCTTCTATTTTATGTTGTCCTCTCACGTTAATGATGTAAGTATTAAGTAAGGTTTTAGGAGGCTAATATTTATTTACTTATCAAAGGTATTCAGAGCGATTTAACCAAACCTGTTCTAGTTATGAAACCGTTCTTCTAAAACGTTCTATTAACTAGATATTAAAAGTAGTGCTTTTGTATTTTTAAGTATAGTAAAAGTAAATTGGGTTTCATTTTAGATGAAATAGTGCCTTTCATTTTTATGTGAACAACCAAACAAAAAGAATGATTTGAAACGGTCTCTATGCGAGAGATTGAAAACATTGCGCAATTTCTCTATATTTTCAAAATTTTTACTCAACTGTTCACATTCGAAGTACAATTCAAATATTTCTATATTGAATACTTTGAAGCAAATATCTACTGACGCCCATGCGTCAATCGACTTGAAACAAAGTATTACAGAACCCGTAAAGTATTTTAATAATAAAACAACATATTTTTGTAGAATCGTTTGGATTACAAACAAGTATGGAAAGAATGCACCAACTTGATCTACTACTATTCTTGAAGTCGACACGTAAAGTTATTTGAATACTGTCATAGTAAAAGGTAGTTAGTTGGCAATACATTTTCTCATTCGCCCACGGAAACTCGCCTAACACAACTCAATCTTTTATTTTATATGCCATTTCATTTTGCCGAGGAATTGGATAATGAAGAATTTTTTAAAGTTATAAATATTTATTCACAATTAGTCCATCAGTGACAGAATTGTGGTTTATTATCCTCATGATCATTCATATTTTTTGTATACAAATAAGCGACTAGTAGAAATAACTATCAGTAGCGTGAACAAACTTATCCACCACCATCGTCAATCCCAGCAAGTCAATGATACTAAGTACACTCAATGCAAGTACGTCGAATTCATTGTATCTCATTATATACCGATGCATATTGAAGTGAAATAAAGTTTGCTTTTTGTCTATGTTTGCAAATGTCAGACATTATTTGCACAATACACCGTTACTAGGATGGATTCATGTATAAAGCGTTTAGCTATATGGAAGGAAGCTCATAAGCAAAATTAAATTTGCCAATATCAATAGTAATCTTTGTGTGTTCGGGATTGTTAATTTTGGATGTATAGTTCAGTATAATAAGTTGTTTTGAAGTATTTTGATGAATATTTGATGATATCGTAGTAGTATTGCGCAGATGCAAAGTTCGATTTTATTCTGAACTAAAGAGCCATATAGCTATACGAGGTATCGTCGCTCACCAAAGCAAAATAGCCTTTCTTATTTAGACTTTGTTTTAAATAAATACATTAAGCCTGACACCTCGCTTGGCTATGGAACGTATCGTGGGTCTGGGAAACCTTGAACAATGGATATCCTATGCGACTCGAATAGCAGAAGACACGTAAACTGAGTTAAATCTGGTCGCGATGCACTTAGTGGGACAAAATTCCTAATTCGCGTTGTGCTGCAGTGTGTACGTAGTAGCATTATTGTGGCACCTATGATCAGAATACGTCGAGTATGGTATTAACATTCTCACCAAGTATTAGGTATATTTTGAAGCGCTAAGCGACCTAACGTATTGGATATCCGCTCAAATAGGCCTTATTTTCTGTCTGTTGATCTCCGCCCTGAGAGACCACTATTCTCAGTCATTTTGTCTGTCTAGATTAGGGGTGTGCAACATTTTTGTCGGTGTGCCATTCATTCAACTTCGGACATTTAGCTGGGTCATACAAAAAATGGTTTTTCCATGTACACAACGAATAAAAAATTACCGACAATCTGAGCGTCACGGGAAAGGAAATGCGACTATCGCTTAGACTTCAAGTGATAGAGGCACCGAGCAAGGGCGTAAAATTTAACGAGCGACAAGAGCAAAAATTATTATGTTTCTACCCATGTAAAAGCACCTTTTCAAACATGAACTTTCGGATTAGGATTCTATGCTTAATGGGGAAAATTTGCAGTGAAATACGTGGCGCTGATCTTTAGAAAATTCCCAGTTGTCTCGTCAGCCGAGTCGAAAATTAAAACCAGTGATTGGACGATATATTCCCCACCCCACATTATCGAAAAGTCAGAAATATGACGAAACTACTTTTGTTTGTGTGCCAACTGCCCATAGGAATATTCTTCTCGTTGGCGCTTTCAACAGAAGGAAGGCATAACGGCGGAGGTCCACTTCACTATTCTGGTACACGTTTATGTCCGTCACAACCGACTGACTGATCGTGTTAACTACTTAGTGCGAAAGGGCGCAAATTCTACTATGGGTCGTATTACTTAGTATTACAAAGGTGGGTAAGACACCGGTAAATTCACTAACAATTCCAGACGGCTTACATGCTATTCGCATGTAGATTTGATAGCCATACTACTTCGTTTTGTCTTTCGTGTCCAATTATTTGAGCATGGCTTTCGCGTGTTATTGTGGTATTGTCAAACATCTCGAGGTGCGCAATTTTTTATAAACGTCATCGCACACAAAAAGGAATCCCATAGAGCCCACAGAAATTGTTGAAATAAATAAAAGTAATAGCCTTTTAGCAGAAAATACAATCTTGACCACTGAAAATTTCAAAGTATTTGGCCCATTAGGATTAGGTAATGAGAAAAACGATTTCTTCATAATGAAAATGAAAAAAATACCAACAAGAACACAATTGCATGTCAGCGAATCTCATGCTATGTGGAAGTCGGGAGTTTTTTGATAAGATAGACCGGGGTGGTCCAAACCCAGGTCCGTGATTCACATATGGCCCGCGAGTCACATATGGCCAGCGGGTCACATATGGCCCGCGGCATTATTATCTGTGGCCCACGTCGCATTCGGAGAGTAATCAAAAAATCGCATTTAGTGTTGTTTCGTCATAAAATTAACCAGAAAAATCTTTTGACATATTGTTACATCACTAATGTCACTGAATAGACTAATGTTACGACTAGCCGAGGCAAGTAGCAAAGTTTAATGATGTTCCTGGCAGCAATTACATTTGCGGAAGGACTTTTCCTGTTTGAAATCTTACACTAAATATAAATATAAAAAGACTTTTGCATGTTTTAGTAAGTTTTTGGTAGTTTTTGCATGCTCTAGCTTGATAAATATGACAAATACTGATCAATGTGTTTCCACAATAAAAGTGTTCGTTTTGTATTGAACTGTTTACTTATTCTTGGCACTATTGTGGCCCGCGAACACTGCAAAAATAATATTGTGGCCCCCGAAGCCGACAACCTTACAGTAGACTAAGTACAGAGGTAAAGTACTGTAAAAAATAAGCTACTATAAAAGATTTGATACTGCATTCGTGATTCGAAGCTTTTGGTACTTCGAATCACGTTGATATTGGACGTATATATGGATCGTTAGTGTCACAGGACCTGGGACAACTAGAAGAGTATCGGCACTAGTAGCTGTGACACAGTTCCAACTTTGTTTAGGTGGTGATTTTGGCGAAATAGTAGGTAAAATATTTCGTTTCGACCTCCGTGTCCATACAGGGAAACATTGCTCTCGTGTTTGATAAAGGTATTGTAGAGTAGACAATCATTCAAATATTACGTAACTGCGATCACAAGAAAAATAGCTGACTTTAGTGAGTTTTGTTATCGTTGTTGCAGACACGAGTACGGGCGATCATCGCTATACTTTAAAAAGCTCCATTACGTGATTGTGTCGTGATTTTTGCATGATGTCGTCAGGTGGGGGGCAGGAATGACATATGCCGAAAATCGCCACGCCACGACCACCATAATTACTTGGTGACCTACGTGAGACCCGCCAGTACGGCAGCTGTTCCTTAGTGAGTGAACCTAACAGCGTGCTAGAAAATTGTCTTCAAATAGTATTCACGCAGCGACTGTTTTGTGTTCTAAAAAGGGGGATTATTACTGCAGTATTACTGATAGCTCTTCCAGATAAAATACTATTGAACGATTTTGACAGCAGAAATTCAGAAGATTTACAAATGTCTACACCCGAATCATTTGCTTAGGTTGAAGTTCGCGAATACATAAACCAAGCGTTGGTCTCGCGAAAATGTTTATATGCATTTGCTGAATAGGGGGAATTGCTAATGAACGCGCTTTCTTCAGATGGGGTGAAGTAATATCGCATCGGCGAAGTCGACTTGAACCAAAAAAAGAGGGAATGATAATGTTCTTGAATTGTATGTAATGCTAAATACGTGCAGTGACTTAAATTTCATTGAATTGGTCGCAGTGAATCTTTGGTATTTGTGACGTTTGCAAATATTTTGGAACACGAACACCGCACATTCTATTACACAGCTGCATATAAATGGCGTTCTGTTGAAAAGCTGAAAAGTCAACACAGAAAAGCACACAAATTAGATAACCAACAAACTTCTACTTGCCTTTTAGACCCAGTCTGTTAACGATCAAAAATAACAGTTAAAACGGTAACGAGCAGTTAGTAACAGTTAAGCAAAAGTAGCAGTTGTGAACGGTTCCATTACATTTGAACCCACGTACATTTGAACCCATGACAATTGCACCTGTAAGCTATTGCACCTATGGAATTTTTTTTGTTTTTCGGATAGTTGAACCCATACTAACCCTAACACGTGGGTTTTAGCACCCGCATATAGATTGAACCCGTGGATATACACATGGGTTCAAATGTACGTGGGTTCAAATGTACGGTCACCGTTGTGAACATCTCTCGTGAATATGTTCAAATTATTAGCCGCAGAATGCCTGCTTTGCAAGGATGCCATCAAGGCGAGCAGCGTTCAAAATTAACTGACAGTTTCAGTGAAGTGGCTAGCAATGTTCATTTCAAAACCTCACAGAAAAATCGTGGCGTTTATGTGTCAAGCGTGTTTTACTTTCCGGTTTATTGGCGATAAAAATTGAAATCATGTGATACCAAGAATAGGTTTGTAAATGATTATCAACGGGCCCATATCAGTTAGATATATATACATTAGCGTTTTGTAGTGTTGGTTTAATATCATCATTAATTAACACATTTGCATCCTTCTGGAGTTTCTAGATTAAGGAATACTGCCCGGCATGTAATATTTTACTGACAGCTCGATCGCAAATTATTTCAAGACCAATATTAGCTGGAAGTATCAAACTTTATAATGTCGTTCGATAATTTCCGGTTGCTATTCCTGTGCTATCGGCAGTTTACAAAAACGAAAAGTATTTTCCATGCCTATGCCCCCTGACCCTGTTTTTTTTTAAATTTCAGTTCAAAAATGAATTTAAATAATATGTTGATAAACAATATAAGCGTGGCTCTGATGTAACAAATATTTATCAAGAGGAAAACAAACATGGTTTCAGTTGTCGGCATTTTTTGTGCTCTTCTCTCTGCTCTGCTATATTCTATCATGTTGATATTTGTAAAGATGATTGATTTGCATCCGGTACAAATAAGCCTATCTCGCTGTGCAGTACAATTTTTGACAATCTTACCATACGCACAGTATAAACATAATGAAGTGGATATAACGGGACCGATGGGACTAAAACTTCTACTGTGTATTAGAGGATTACTGGGTTCATCGGGAATGATGTTCATATACTTAGCAGTTGACAAGCTTCCCGCAGGAAACGCAATTACCATTTCCTATCTTCGCATGGTCATGGTGCCATTTCTGGCACGAATTCTGTTAAAGGAGAGTTTATCTATCTATGAGATTATTTTTGCTTTTGTTGCTCTCGTGGGCGTTGTTCTCATCGCCAGACCAACATTTTTATTTCCTATAAGCTACGAGGAGGAAGCAGCGAGTTTGTCGGGAATCATTTTCGCATTGTTGTCAGCGCTATGCATGGCTTTGTCGACCATCGCTGTTAGCAAACTTGGACGAAAAACCCATCCGGCTCTTCACATCATATATTATAGTTTTTGGGGTGTAATTATGTGTCTCATAATTTTGACTGCAGGTGGAGACATGAAATACTCATGCATGAACGATTTACCTATGTTGTTTTCCTTTGGAATAATTGGAAATTTGGGACAGTTTCTTATCACTATTGCCCTGCAAAGAGAGCGAGCAGGACTTGTCGTTGTTCTTCATTCAACTCAGATTGTTTTCGTATACATTATGCAGGTAAGACATAACATTATACCATGATGATCAAACCAGTCTTATTAAAGCACATAATATTTCTATTTCCAATTTTATATCCATATCCCTATAAAACTGCAACATGTACAAAAATTTGCTTGAATACTCGAATTTTTACAGGTTGCATTTCTTGGTGATGTTCCTTCATATTTAAGTTTGATTGGCGCTGCTCTCATCTTCTCGACTAGCATCGCCATATGGGTCAGAAAAGTAATAAATGGAAAAAGAGAACTTGCGAATACATAAAAAGTTTAAGCTTTTTTATCTTTGTCGATTTTTTTAAAAGGTCCTCTTTCAAAAAAAGACTTCGTAAAATATACCAGCACATTTCTCATGCTATGAACAATCTGTTCCCGCTTCATGTATTCGCCTACCACGAGCGATAGAAATTTTATGCATAACTATGCGCAAACAACATGTAGAGCAGGTGTCGGCAAACTACGGCCCGCGGGCCAGATCCGGTCTGCGGAGTAACGTAATCTGGCCCGCGACGCTTCACTGAATTATAGTAAGGAAACAGCTGTTTTGCCGAATATATTCTTTTACGTAACAGAATTTATTGTGAGACAAGTGTAGACTAAATTATAATATAACAAGTATAAAATTAACAATTACTCGTTTAATGAGCCCATAATTTAATTATATTTAGACAAATGGAAACAAAACAAAGACAAGTTAATGCTAAGTGCAAAGGGTTCAATTGCGCCAAAATATTCAAATGGAATTTTCTGAGATCCAATGCAATGAGGAAATAAATATATATTCAATATTACTGCTTGATTTTTATTATAGAATGTATAATCCTTACGTTTTTCAACTTTCTAAAATTTATTTTGGCCCGCGAGCAACAAAAGTTTGCCAAGCCCTGATGTAGAGGCTTTCGCAAAATGAAACTTATTTCATGGAAATTTATTATGTCTAGTTTACAATTGTTACAATTCATTTCTCATGTTTCAATCAAAAGCCGTTTTTGAGTTTCTGTAAGCGTAAGAGTGCCACTATCGTCAACTGGTATAGCCTCATCGTACAAAAAACAAGAGAGCTACGCCCAAATATATGGACACGTCTGTTAGCAGTACGGTTTACCGTACCGTCAGATCACAGTCTACAAATATATTCACACCAAGCGAAGCAGTAGTCGGACACAAAATGGCGTCCGATGTCCATAGATTCATAGAACGTTCGGTGGTAAATCTAAAAAGTCGCTCTTCTCTTTGATTACTGGACCAATTGTTCTGAAATTTTCAGTGGTTACAGATAAAATTTTTCTCCAGAAGGCTATTACTTTTATTTATTTCAAATATTTCTGTTAGCTCTGTGAGATTTGTTTTTGTTTGTTATGACGTCACCGAACGTTCTGTGGGCATCGGACGCCATTTTGTGTCCGACTGTACTGCTTCGCTTAGTGTGAATATATTTGTAGACTGTGATCTGTCGGTACGGTAAACCGTACTGTACTGCGAACAGACGTGTCCAAATATTTGGGCGTAGCTCTCTTGTTATAGTGTGAATTCTCTTATTTTAATCATCGGCCGTTGGAGCTTTTGCAAGCATAACAACACTACCACAAGTCTTCAACGAGCATAGCTTCACCCTGCACAAATAATCTAAGTCGTTTTAAAACTGGACAAAATGTAACATGAGCAATGCTTGCTTGGCCTCTAAACTTTATTTTGCTTGTCGCCAGATTACTGTCAATGGCAAAGCAACAGTTCAATGAAGACAGAATTCTAATGTAGTATTACTAACAGTCCATTCCCGCAGGTTATGAACGATTAACTGTTGTGAAGCATAATAGCCTCATAGATTGCGGCCTAGTGCACGTTTTATCCACTACAAGGAGATGACCTGTATGTAGAATATATAGACATTATTACAATTTATTATTATATTACCATTTTATTCAATCTTGCGTTTTATTCAAGGTGCTGCGTCAGAGCTTGGCATTTTCGAACCTAATAATCTTGGATCAACTTTCAGTAAATTTAAGATACAAGGCTTTGTAAAATATGAGAAGTGATAACACACAAATTTCGAATATTTGCACGCTATTGTAGAAAAATCTTGAATATCTCAGTTTCAAGGGGTTTATCAATAAATGAAATGAGATTTTTGAAAGAACATTCATGCACTTTGAACCTATAAATTGCAAGTTGATACATGTCGTTAATTTTTACTAATTGAAATTACTTATTTGGAGTGAAGTTTTTTTTTTCTGAAGTGCTCAAGTTCACTCTACTGATTGAAAATATTTTTCCCAGGTTATTTCAGATGAGTGCAACTTCAGCTCGGCTAATAACCTGAATTATATATATATGACTAGAATTTTCTGTTTAGCTCCTCCGAATCACTATCTTTGAGCCGTTACAACGAGTAAATAATCTTCCAATAACTTTGTTCATACTTCTCATATTGAAACGAATGAAAAAATCATCAGTGCGCAAAAAAGAAAGTGTACGTTACCATACGTTATATTCTATGATTTTGAATGGCATTGACAATGACATTCAAAGAAGAATTTAACTGTTTTTAAATTCAAAGTTGAAGACGGTTCCACGTTTCTTTTACCAGCTACTTTTAAAACTATTAACTACTACTTAATTAAAACAGCAACAGAAATATATATCAGAGTTCTTAGTATGCATAAGTAATAGCCTTCTAGCGATAACAACAATCTTTAATCACTGAAAATTTAAAGCAATTGGTTCAGTAATTAAAGAGAATGTGTAATTTTTCCACAACAACAACAAAATGAGACTATCGGTCAGAGACCGAAGACTTATCGATCGAAAGTTAGGGGATCCCCCAAAACAGCGCTCTTACTCCATAGTGACACCTTGTGTCCCATCACTAATTAATTAATAACTCGCTAATTATACGACATAATTTTCAACTTCGCCTTCGTGAGGTATCGCGTTCATCTAACAGACATACAAATATCTATCAACATACTTACCGATCTTAAGATCGATAAGTAACAAACAGACAGACAAATACCTATCAACATACTTACCGATTAAAATTGATAAGTAAAAATACCTATCAACATACTTACCGATTAAAATCGATAAGTAATAATAACAAAACGATTCTTAAGTACACTTCGTTCCCAATATTTGATTGAAGTCCGATTGATTTAAGTACCATGGTGTATTAGTAATAAAGTAAGACAGGGTGGGCAAAATACAGCCCGAGGGCAGGATCAGGCTCACCGAAGTGTTTCATCCGACCCACTTGTTAGTTTAGTTTTTATGAATATAAATTTGAAAATTTCGACGAAAATAACGAGTCGTCGGCTAAATATAGACATGTATTATCTGCACCTGGAAATAATGTGGAAAACCAGTCACCTCAAGCTCATCCAAGATGACCCGATTGTTACATTATGCTGTTCTTTATATATATAAACCTTAGCCTATAGGTTTTGGACTTATTTTTTTACCAGCGTTCGCTGCGTAGCCGCAGTAATTTGCCAGCCACATTAACAAATCCATCAGTATGAGTGGGAAACGCAAAGTGGATTCCGAATAACGTGATTTTAACAAGGAATGAATAGGAGTATTTTGTTAAAGACAATAGTCAACTGCCTGCTTAATTTGTAACGAAAGGTGTCCGGTGTTCGAAGACTATAACATTAAGAGACCTTTTTTTAAACAAAACATAAAGAATTTGGCCAACAATTTTCGACACATGAGCTGAAAATGAAGGCAGCGGATATGGTTAAAAGCTGAAATAGCAACAGCGCCCCCTTATCAAGTTTCCACATACCCAACATTGAACAAGCTTTTGAACGCATGCAGTTGGTTACATCGTTCCTATTAATCATTGTGTCACTTGGTAGCTGTTAGTTGTACATCATCTCTTACGCTGGTTATTTGTAAGTAAACTGTTTTTATTCATAGTTTTATATTTATTTTTTGCGACTCTGGCACAGTGAATAAGTCTATTATCCATAACTGGCCAACTCGGGAAAGTGATTGCCCACACCTGCTGATTGCTGAAGTAAGATATACCACGCCGAGTAGAAAACATATCCTCTTTTCTCATTTCGGTCCAACAACCTGTTAAGATTTAAGCCATGAAAAATGATTCCCATAATCTTATCTCAATCCTTGTACACATAATAATAATTCGTTTATATACATTGCCGTCTTAATTGAACCGCCAATTATTATATATATATATCGATCCGCCAAAAGTTATTACCGTTAAATGACAATGTCGAAAGCGCATTTCCTGAGCACCACGATTCTAATCATGGTGTCAGACATAGATAAGTATGTTGCCAGGTATTCAATAGAATTGCAGTCTTATAAAATGTAGTGAAAATATTGAGGTTTGTTTAATGAAGCAATAGACAAATGATACCAAGAAATAGCCGCTTACGGCACACGATTTTCTAGAAGAAAGTGGTATTTATTTTTATTATTAATTGAATTCGGAGGTACTACTAGGCCAATATATATAGATATTTGCTATTTCCACATGAGACAAATAGCCAACGGCAATATATGAAAGAGTAGGATATCTAATTTAATTAGGCAATATATTTCATGTTTTATAAGTGGTTTGTTTCAGGTATATATCTAGAATCTAGATCAAGGTGGTATATAAAGCCTTTAGTTATTTTTTAATTGCTTCACGGAAAGTACTGTGGCATTTTCCGTATCTTTTCTCGTTTTTGGTTTTGTAATATCGCTTCAAATTATATTCTGTCGTGACAGATATTACTTAAAAGCCAACCGGCACTGCGATTTACCGTTGATAGGAGGAAGGAAATACATTTCCTCCCTTCTTTTAATACTCGTTTTATAATGAATTTTAAAATTTGAATATTTCCCTTCCTTGCTGCGTGAGCAGGCCTAGTGCTATCGTCAAAGAACTGACAAGTTCGTCTAAGTTGGGATTTCGAGACCTAGCTAGAAGAAACTGGACCGCGCGGCGCTAAGTCAGTTCTGCGTTTCGTTACTGCTGTCATGAGACCCACGCTTAAAAATAGAGGAGTGTAAATAAAGGCACAAAGTCTCTCCGAAAAGGAGTTGTTTGGCGCGAGCTTGTCGCTTAGTTGAGATGAAAGGCGCGACTTTTCGGCAGCGTCTGGACGTTAAAATTCCGTGATTAAAAACATCAATATTCATTCCCGACATCGGGATTAGGAAAATAAGGGGGTTGAAATCTCCGGATCGAACCCAAATTGGAATAGCTAAAAAAACTGAAAAATATCCTGCCAATAAATACGAATGATTGCCAATGCTCTAGTTAGTATACGGCAAAAGCTAAATTGTTCTGCGGCCCGAGTGCCAGAATTTGATCTAGACCAAATAGTAAAATTACCTTCACTTGTTATTGGTGAATCTTCATAGAATGTAATTTGGAAAAATTTAACTGTATCGATCGTTTTTTTTTTATTCTAGCACTCAGATGCTAGAATAGATCGAGACCACGAAAACCAATGATTCCAGCAGAGTTTGAACTAAGTTTAATGCAAGTTTTCCATCTTCCGTAAATTACCTAGCTGAGATACTGATATATGAAGCTACAACACAACGAAAATTCCATCAGTTAAGGGGTGTTTTGTATTTTCACCAACGACCAGTTATGAGATTAAAAATATAACTTGGACGAGCACAAAAGAGAATTAGATTTAACAGGTTCGTTGCATTTTGAAAATAAAGTCAATTTAATTTGTGATTCGAGTCAATAACAGGAATACTTCCCGCTCGTGTCAAACACCGTAGGAATTGCTCCAAAACAAAGCGACACCTAAGTTCGTAATAAGCGAGATGAAATCAGTAAAAAGCTGTTTATTCAATAAACAAAGGATTTAGAATGGATTGAGGAAATTTTTTGCTCATTTCGAACAGGAGATGCGTGAAACACAAGTAGATTTTTTCTTCAAGCGTCACTTGTCTGGAATATCATGTTTATAAACAATAATATACATGTGCATAGAACATAAATAGAGTTACAAATGGCGTCGTAGCTACCTAGCTTATACTTTTCAAGTAAGCGGCGGATTGGGAAAGATACGATGTGAGTATTATTTGGACTTTAAATGTCTTGTGTTTTATAGACCCAATTGCTGTATTGGAATATGATTACTATACATTTAAAAATCGAACCAGCTGTTTATAAAACAGCACCATAAGCCCCATTCTATCTTTTATTTACCACACACATCTATTACTACTGTAAGTATATACATTTGCATTACAGTTTTGTTTTTTACATCGGCTGCATAATTTCATAATAGGAGTGGGACAAATTAAGGTTACTAGTTTTATGTGTAATAACATAGCGTGTAGTGTTTCCTTATACAGCCTTAATGGCAAAGTTACGATGTCCTCATGTTGAACTACTTGTATTTTTTGTTTGCTGTACAATCTACTCTTCGGACACAATTTTGAATGAATTCATTTATCAGGTTAGTAGTTTATTTCTTTTGTTTATATGAAATTGCGCATTTCGTCGTTTCCCCTAATTTTTTTAAATATCGATGAATGCACCTCTGTGAAGCAATATGCCTGCAACGTGTACACAATATACAGATATATTTGAGCCAAGCGCAGCTTCTAATTACTTTCAACGCAGGTCGTTTCAGAAAGGAACAATTTCACCACAGATCATACATTAAATTACTGCGCTGACAACTTTAAACAGTCAGAAGTAAGAAGAATTGTAGCGGAAGAAACATCAAGGCTAGTTTCTAATTTCACAATGATATAAAATTGTACTAGTCAGAGTATGCTGAATTCAGGAATTGGTATTACACTTTGGAGCTGTTCGCATTGGCTTCTAAAATTGTCGCGCAGGTTACGATTCTTATTTGTCTAATTGGTGTTTCACCGAATAAGCAGCAACATTTGTACATAGCTTGATATTTGGATTTTTATAATAATTTCATCGCTATTTCAATTCTCATTTTAAAAATGTTGAATGCTTTTTTTGAAAACCGTAGTAATAATTTCTGCATATAAATATGATAAAAATGCCCTATAGTAGATTTGGAAGTTATTCAAAGATAACACAAATTATATGAGGCATATTACATCGCCTTATCTTATGTATTCGACTAATGAATGGCATGATTTTCAAGGGTACAAATGCATTAATTGATGTGAAGCTTACTCACATTCTAGCATTTATTAACCGAGCTAATCTATGGTGGCCCATCGTTGTCACGTGTAAAATTTAAAAAAAAAATGAAAAAATAAAATGAAAAAGCGAAAATAAAAAAATAGTTGTAAAAAAACATAAAAATAATTGAAAAAAATAAAATAAAAAAAAAATTGAAAAATAAAACAAAAAAAAAATTGAAAAAAAAATTAAAATTAAAAAATTAAAAAAAAAAAAAAATTAAAAAAAAAAATTGGATAAAAAGAAAATAAAAAGGTTGACAACGATGGTCCGCCTCGTGGCCCATCGTTGTCACGCGTTTTTATTTTTGGAAAATTTGATGCTGCTTGGGACCAACGTTGTCAGGCTTAATCCTACACGCACAAATGTGTTTCCTGGGTTTCTAACTCACTACTGATTTTCATAAGCAATATCCAATAAATTCAACATGAAAATGTTCTATAAATTCTCCATGCTACAAGTTCAACCACAAGCAATATATTTATAATAATGATAAGAGAATATAGAATTGGATACGAAAATTTGTTTTTACGTGTAGAAGGTAATTTAATTGGAAAATGCTGCTCAACTGCTCAGACACTCGTGCGATGCCGGTACGGTACCGTACCGTCTGACCGTACCGGTACCCATGCAATCACTCGTGAAAGAATGGGAGATACGGATAGTCTCGTATAAGTATATAAGTATAAGTTTATTTCGACTCCATAATCAGCATAACAATACATTTGACAGATAAAAACAAATAAATAAAATCTGATTATGAAATCAGGGGAGCAAACAAAACCTTAGATAAGGTTTATAACGTACAAAATATAAGATGAAAGGTTTTGCCAAGAGGAAGTGGTACGTGTTTACTCACCTAAAATTATCAAGTTATTTCACACACGCTCACATGCACCCACCAGCCACACACAGTTTACTGAAACACTCTCTGCGCCTGCCCCAGACCGTACAGCCGTAACGTACCGATCCAGACAAATGATAAATCGCCCGTGCTCAACCATTTATTTCAATCCATACCTCGACTCACTATATTCTACTAGGATCATGGTATGGATTGAAATAAATGGTTGAGCACTGGCGATTTATCATTTGTCTGGATCGGTACGTTACGGCTGTACGGTATGGGGCAGGCGCAGAGAGTGTTTCAGTAGGGTATATTCTACGAGACTATCCGTATCTCCCATTCTTTCATGAGTGATTGTATGGCTACCGGTACGGTCAGACGCAAAGCGACTATAACCGACTACCGGTATTTGGTAAGATGGTACGGTACCGGCATCGCGAGTGTCCAGACAACTGAGTAGTTAAGCAGCATTCTCCAATTAAATTTTCTTATACACGTAAAAACAAATTTTCCGAATTTTCGTATCCAATTCTATATTCTCTTATCATTATTATAAATATATTACTTCTTGTTGAACTTGTAGCATGGAGAATTTATAGAACATTTTCATATTGAATATTGCTCAAGAAAATCAGTAGTGGGTTTGAAACCCAGAGAACACATTTGTGCGCGTAGGATTATGCCTGACAACGTTGGTCCCAAGCAGAAGCAAATTTTCTAAAAATAAAAACGCGTGACAACGATGGGCCACGAAGCGGACCATCGTTGTCAACCTTTTTATTTTCTTTTTATTCAATTTTTTTTTTTTAAATTTTTTTGTTTTTGTTTTTCGTATTTATTTATTTATTTTTTTTTAATTTTAATTTTTTTTTTTCATTTTTTTTTTAATTATTCTCATGTTTTTTACAACAATTTTTTTATTTTCGGTTTTTTATTTTATTTTTATTTTCAATTTTACGCGTGACAACGATGGGCCACCATACTAATCCAACCTCAGCCATTTCTTCTTTGTAAAACGTATACACTGACGTATATATACGTACATGGTAAGGGGAAAATAAAAATGTAATAAAAATAAAAATTGTTCAACTATAATTTTGTTTAAATTGAAAAATTTGTACAGATGGGGTATGTATGAAAGAGTGGCTCAGCGAATCTCCAACGTCGTGGCAGCTTTGGTAATTACTTCAGCAAGTGACCAGATCGGACGTAAGAAAGCGCTGCTTTTTCCAGTCTTGGGAACAGTGATATCTTCAACACTTCAGACATGTATAATCAAGTTTAAGTGCGTTCTTTGACATCTATATTTCGACTAAACTTAGGGAATTTGAATTGGATCAAAATGATGAATGAAAAAAAAGAAATACGTGAATTTCTCTAAAATAATGTTTAAGTAAACTTACTTACATTGACTCTTTTTTACAATTGGTTTATTTGCAGATTACCACTGTTTTTTATTGTCATCAATGGGTTTTTTGAAGGAGCGTTTGGTGCTTATGCCGTCCTCATAGATTTGTGTACCGTCTATATCACCGATACTGTGTCGTTAGAAAACAGAGGGAAAAGGTTTCATGTTATATTTTTAATTTTTGACAATGTTCCACTGGTTCCAACAGCATAGTAAAAAAGTAATCAACTCTAATGTAACATCATGAATAAATCGAGCAAAGTCGTCGCGGAAGAAAATTAATCGACAATTATGAATCATAATGCAGATGAACACTTTTTCCCGCATAATTGAAATAAACTTTATATCGTTTTATAACGAAATGTCTATGGTAAGGTAATAATTGAACAACTCCAAAATAAATAGTAAATACATTTTTGACCGAAACGTTGGAAATTATACTGAGAATGATCTCACTTGAAGTATTATTGCTTACATATATAAAAGTCCATTCCAAAATGCCAGTTGGAATCCTTTCCTTTTGGAAGAAATTGACAGAATACTATTATTTCAGTTTTTTGTATACGAAATGCATATATGCATTTAAACCAAACAATGATTGACAGGGACTTACGTTAAAAACTGTTAAATCGCGTTAGTTAGCTTAATTGAAACATTATTAGAGCAATAATATATTAGATAGCATGTACTCAGTAACTCAGTGAGCTAAAACGCATTTGTTTCATTTAAATCAACAACCATTATTCTCAATTTTTAGACTTACAATATTGGAAGTATTTTCACATTTCGGCGGAGGAATTTCGCTTCTCGGTACCGGATTTTGGATCAAGTATCAAGGCTTCGTTCCCCCATCATTGTTTCTAGTTTCTTGCAGTTGCGTTGGATTAGTTTTACTCGCATTTCTTCCATCCAAGAATATCGTCTCAAGATATCAGGAGAATGAAGACTCAGTCAATTTAATAACAACAGATAGAAAGGAAGAGCCCGAGTTAAATTCTACAACAAAAACTAATTTGGGCATTTGGATACAAGCGAAGATATTTTGGGAAATATGTTCAAGTGATAAAAGCGTATGTCATATTTGTATACAAGGTATGCAATTTGTGTTTCCTAACGAAATTTTCCATAGCGACTATAATTCACTGTTTGTTGAAATAATTATTATTATGTTTTGTCTGAAGAAATTGGATTACGATCTATCGATAACAAATAGCATTCAATTCATGTAAATAGATCATTTTATACTAGTTTGCACTCTGATACTATCTCATTCAAGCATATTTGTGGTAATTGCCTCATACTTATTCGTATAGCACGTAAACAAAGAAGACGGGCAGCTAAATCATTATATTCACAACATAATTTTTGCGGTTTCAATTATTTTTGTGAACTTCGGAAGCATTTTTAATGAGCATAGCCATATCGCCATAATACTTTGGTAACGTTACGTTACTCAGATTGAATTGTATTTAACAATAGATTTTTATACCAAAATCGAAAATTTATTAAGATTCAATTGGTCGACGTCTCCGTTCATCGTACGTGATCGGGTATTTTGCGTTTTTATGTGTAGACTATATAATAGAGTGTATGGCAAAAAAAACATCTTCGCTATTTCCTAAAAATTCTATGCCTTGGAACAGGATGCGACCACATGAATACCTATAGCTAATATTATTATTCAAATGAGCTTTATTACTATATAAAATGACGTAAAATAATTGCTTGTCAGAATTGTTATCTACCACAATCGTTCTTATAGCCTGTTTATGAAGTTGGCGAAGGCGTACATAATAATTGATTGGACGACGAGATTGCGTTGCAGATGTTGAGAAGTACAAATATATGATAAATATTCAGCATTCTATACCATGTGAGATGCTACTCGCCTATTCATAGTGAAACGTTTCTCTATTTTAACTATGGTATATATTTTTCGAGTTTACTGATATAGTTCAGTTTACTAACTTAAAAAATATAATTATTGATTTCTTTTTATAGGAAATACTAAATTGTGTTCGCACGCTGGAAATATACACAAGGGCCGTGTATGGAGATTGTGGTTCTATATTATTGCTTATGCGTTGTATATGTTTGTGGTAAACGGAATTGAACTTTTTCAAACAATGTTCTTCATTTCTCGACCAATTTGTTTTACTCCAGAACTTGTCGGAGCCCAGAATGTGAGTGTATTTTCAGCTAGCATGGTCTTTACCAACTTCATATTTTGGAATTTGAATACAAAATCGTTTCAGAAAAACAACCTGAATTTCACAGATTTGGTTTAGAAGCAAAATTTTTACAGATTTGAGCATGTTACAATTCATTGAATGAATTTCTCACAAATACATTTATCCCAAACAGTACTTGATGAAGCAATCCTTTCGAATGTATAATATACTGAGTCTGATACCTTCTTTGTTGCATTTAACTCGTCAGCAATAAACCACCGTCTTCGATGTTATCACCCATCAGATTTCAACCAGCTTTCAAAGGTTTAGTTGACTGATTGGGATCAATATTTTGATATATTTAATGTTTAGAATTCGAATCTTTGCTGTTTCAGGCTGTAATTTCAACATGGGGTTTATATTCGATAACCGACTTAACATTTTCATTCAGAGTCTCGACGCTTCGTCCATTATTTTCTCAATATTCCTTGTTATTTTTTATGAAAACGTACTTCATATGGAAAGTCAGGCAATATTACTAACTGCAATGTTTGCTCGTTTCACTACGTCGCTATTGATGTTTTGTTCGAGTGAAGCTACTCTTATATTTATTGGTGAGTTATTCTTAGATATCTATACTGTATTTAGTGTATTATATATATAAGAAAATATCGTTATTATTTCTAATTTATCAAAGCCGATCTTTATATTCATGATACTCAAAATATAAACAATACGAAATAGTAATTATTAATTTAAACTGAATATATGATTTCGTGTCGTTGGCATAATTAAGAAATTCAGTATTTTATATGCTGTACATTTGTTGAGTTTCAAATGGTCGACTCCAATACGTAACTGTTTATCTATTTTTATATAATGCAGTACTGTACGTTTAAGTAATAAATCCTGATTCAGACGCCCAATCGAGCCCAATTTTGAATACATTTTTATTAAAGTCATACGACCCCCAAAATTTACCCAATATACAATAATTATATACCATTGGAAAGGTATTTTAGAGTACTATACGCTAGATGTCACTGGAGGACCGTAAACTAAAACACCTCTTTCAAGAGGTCTCTCGTAACGTCAAAAAATAACAAAAATATTTACACTCTCTCATTCTATCAGCTGTTGGACGTCTATACCTATTGTAAAGCTGAAATGTAACTATACAGTTGACTGCACATTGGTTTTCTCTTTCATATGATACTAAACGCTTTTCCATAGCGCGCGTTGTTCAATCGTTTTGAAAATTTTCCGTTTGAGAAGTCACCACATCTAATCAGGCCAGGCTAAGCTTGATAGATCGATCGGTTGTTTGTTTGTGCTTTATCGCGCTGAAAGCTTTTGTGAGTCATAATAAAACATTTATTATGAATCATAAAAGCTTATAATCGTCAGACAAGGAGAATTTGCGAGATAAAACGCCTAACTTTTTTTCGGTGAGGCAGCTGCGATCAAACGACTCGATATTTTTATAACTTCCTGACGTTGTGAGATGTCCACTCTCCTATGTTATGTAGCATATAAAATGACCTTCAAAATAAGACCTTATCATACTAGCTTTTGTAATTGGTTAGCGCGCAACGCCAAGGTTTATGGAATCATTTTCTTGTTGTGCGACGTTTTTATATCGCAGCGGGAAGTACACGCGTGATATGTAAGCGAAATTTTATCACTTCTAAATGTCATATAAGGTTCATTCTCATATCGTTGTGTGGGGAATAAGATTTCCTTTCAAGCAAGACCATAACAAACATTCCAGACCTCATGGTATACACACAGCATTGCAAAACGTCTGAAACGTCGCGCACGCGTCAAACCGGGAGGATTAGGATAACTTATGAAATTTATTTTCACAATTTCACATTTATGTATTATTGTATGTTATACATCTGATTATCTAATGGAATTCTATTTTATTTTCTGTATCTGCTCTTTTCCCCCTACATTCTCTGTCTTCCACTGTTTATTCTACAGCCAACTAACTGTTAAGGAACATAATTTCAAGTAGATATTAGAATTACCATCGAAATTGTCTCAACTAATTTTTGTAACACAACTACCATCGCTTCATCCAGTTTTTATGAAATGGGGATTACCCTAACCGGCCACCTGGTGAGTTGCGTGGCTCTTAAATATAATATCGAGTTTCCCGATACTTCAAACCTCAAGTCGATATTAGAACCTTAGATGTTGATGCTTGAAAACCAGCTTTGTTTCCCGGGTCTTCCTTCCTCCAGCAAAATTTGGAGTTAGACTTTTTTCGTAATTTTGCATGCTATCATTCCTTATAAACTCGACTATGGCTATGTATGTTACATGTGCAAAAATATTTCAATTTATGCAACTCAATTGTTAAAAATATTTAGCTACCAGTATCGGCCCGTTCAGCAATATAACGTCACCATATTTGAGAAGAGGGATATCATCACTGGTATCATCATTCGAACAAGGTAAGCAGCATACATCATGAAGATTCAGATTAGAATAGTTAGATACTGTATACCATATACATACATGCCTTATTTACATGTTTCAGGATCAGTATTTGCTTTGCTGTCTTTTGTCAATGGAATTATCGGGATATTCACCCCAATTGTTGTTTTGACTTTATATCCAGCAACTCTTGCTATCTCCTACTCATTTATATGGATTGTAATGGCATCAATACTATGTTTTCCACTGATTCTAATGACGTAAGTTGAATCTACATTTTAGGATCTGACCATTAGCCTAAAAGTGTGTCCTACATCATGTAAAATTTGAACTAGTGAACAGTCAATCCTAATGTCGTTTTCAGTTCACGTTCCTTAAGTATATATCAGATGTTTACATTCATAATTTAATTTGTCGAAAAACTGCATTGTTGTTTTTAGAATCGTATGGATAGCGGATAGAAAGCGGACAGACAAATGAATGAAGACAAATATTCCGCAGCTAATCATTTTATCGTGAATCATTCCACATTATTACATCCTTTTCCTGATGTTCAAGTTTTCCGTTACTACAAGAAATGAGATAAAAAAATTCACATGTAAGCAAACAACAAAAAATTTGAATCTGCGAATATTAAACATCTCAAATTAGTTTTTATTTTACAAATGAGCCAAACCATCCGAACAGAGGTATAGCTTCGACATTCATAATCTAGCATTTCGCATACCATGATACCGGCAGCAGGGCTGCGACTTTTGTCTGAATAAAAACATCTAGATTGACCTCAATCAATCTCAATTGACACCTAACAATATCTAGATTTGAAAACAAAACATCCAAAAAATATATCTAAATATGGAGTTAATAAATTTAATAAAAATAAACAAAACAAGAGAGTACAAATAGTTCATTATATTACATCATAGTAGATTACAAAGATCATTTGAAGTTGTTGTTGCTACAGTTGCTTCAGAGGGATTTTTATATGTTTCTGCTGTACATATGTTTTCAAACCCGAAACAGGTTTCTTATATGGCGTGCAACATTGTTATTTGGAATAGGGGTTAAATTAAATGATTGTACTAGTATTGCATTCAGTGAATCTGTTTTTCTGCCGTTTCTTAGTTTTTTTTTTTCACAGTTTATTGAACTAAATTTTTTTCAACATTAGCATATAAATGACGTAGTAATATTGCTGGCTTACATTACTGTTGTCGTGTTATTGTTCCTCTTTCTGACTTTACAAGATTGAAGTTTTGTGCTGACTATCTGCCCTGCCTATAGTGTTTTTTGTTTTAGTTCATTATATTACATCATAGTAGATTTCAAAGATCATTTGAAGTTGATGTTGTTGCTACAGAGGGATTTTTATATGTTTCTGCTGTACATATGTTTTCAAACGCGAAACAGGTTTCTTATATGACTTGCAACATTGGTATGTGGAATTGGGTTAAATTAAATGATAACTAGTTTTGCATTCAGTGAATCTGTCTTTCTGCTGTTTCGTAGTTTGTTTTTTACACAGTTTATTGCACTAAACTTTTTTCAACATCAGCATTTAAATGACGTAGTGAAATTGCTGGCTTACATTGCTGTTGCCGTAGTATTGTTCCACTTTCTGACTTTACACGATTGAAGTTTTGTAGCTGATTTTCTGCCCTGCCGATAGTGTTTTTTAGGATAGCTATGTTTTATGACAGTTGACAGAATGTATGTTGTATGTTGCTAACAGAAAACAAAAACACGATTTTTAAAACAGTCGAATTTGCAGGTACGCTAGTTTATGTTTCAGCTTTCTAAGTGAGATAAAATCGTTGGCATATAGTGGACCAAAAGTAGGTATACAGTTATTTTATTTATTTTTTATTACCTTCCAAGCAGCTAGAAAACTAATGTAAAATTCACAATAGATATATTATCTAAAAATAAATAAGCAATTTTTGTGGTACTTAACAAGTAACATAAAGTGAACTGCAAGTAGCTTCAAAGCATATAAAATAGTTTAATAAATGTATACCTACTTCTGGGCCACCACCTACTTTTGGGCCACCCTGTACGTACTTATTATACAGTTATATTGTTCTCTCCAGTTTTGTGATAAAAATCCCTTAGATTTCATATGATTTAAGTTTTATCAACATTACATTAAATTCTGCATACTATCGGTATTTGTTTAACATTTATACACATCGCTTTTTTTTTATTACCCACTGGATAATATTTAGAAGGTTGAAAAAAATATCTAAATTTTATAGCAAACATCTAGACTCCAAATTTTACATCTAGATCATGAACAAAACATCTAGATCTAGCGGTGCTTGATCAATAAACGCCGTTTGTTATAAATTAATGTGCATCATGTCACACATAATACATACGAAGACAGTTAGCAAAATAACACGAGCTAATCGCAAAGGAAATTGACAAGTTTACGAGCTGACCGCAAAGGAAATTAACAAGGATACGAACTAACTGCACTGCCCCAGGGAAATTACAACGAACAGATGTTTTATTTCATTCACCAGCATCCTGATATAGATAAAAATTGTAAAAGCCTGTAGGTTACAAAAAACTACATTCTGTATCAAGCTATACAAAGATTTTAAATGTTCGTGAGTTTTAAAAGAACTATATTCTGTATCCTGCTAACAGATGCCGTATCGAATGCTGAGATAAAGGTTAGACAACTGGCGGTGTTAGGATTGCTATCGAGCATACCGGACTGTAGAAAATTTTTGCGAGAAAACCGGTTATTAGCAAGTCCTATGCATTGTCCTAAGTGCAGAAGCGTGAAAAACAAATCCCCTATTCTCATTTCGATCCAACAACCTGTCAAGATTTAGGCCATAAAAAATGATTTCCATAATCTCATCTCAATTCTTGTACACATAATAATAATTCATTTATATACATTGCCGTCTTAAACCGTCAATTATTATATATATACATCCGCCAAAGTTATTACCGTTAAATGACAATGTCGAAAACACATTTCTTGAGCACCACGATTATAACCATGGTGGCAGACATAGATAAGTATGTTATCAGGTATTCAATAGAATTTGACTTCAATAGAGGTTTGTTTAATGAAGCAATAATTACCGACTTTCATACGGCTCAACAGAGCGTGACGACTGCTGCCAGAACCACTTTTCAAGGGGGCGCTGCGATCTTGCTTTGTATTCGCATGTGGTTGGGCGGTAGATTATCCGAGAGATGCTGTACTAAAGTAGGTTTTTCATATTAAGTCAGAGTTTCAAGGTACACGATAGACTAGTTTGACACGATATCCGGTCCTCTGACGGTACTACAGTATCGGTACGGGTGCACCACTGCCAGGTACCGTTCCGGTACTCAACCCAACCGAATAATAGACCGTCGTACTGCACATGCAATTTAACATTAGTTAGTCAATATTAAATTTATATTATTAAAAAGACTGTTGAAGCAACATTCACACACAGCGAGCTTTTCGAAGGAGGTACGACTAGC